AAAACTACTTTAACTAGTAAAAAAATAATAATAATAATTATGTGGTAACTTTTGTTCGAACGCTTAGGTTGTCTCCATTCCAAAAAAATTCACCATTTTTTTTGTTGCTAAAATGTCTTCAAAGAATTGCAAAGGACAAGGAGAGCTGCAAGCTTTCCGGCACACACATAGAGTCAATGCAAAGTATAATTGATAAAAACTTGATCTCAATTCAAGCCAACCATTACAGATTGGAGTCATAAAAATTAGTGAGCCTAAGCTTTTAAACTCAATTGAGCTCAAACTCAAACTCGAGCCACTATTATTATTTCGAGCTTTCTGAGCACCTAGGTTCAAGCTTGGCTCGGCTTGTTTGAGCCCTTAGATTCAAGTAAATGTTGCACTGACTAAACATGATAAAGCAGTGTCCACATGATTCACAAATGACACTCACAGTAAATTTGAAGCACAAAATAATGGGGGGAAATTTAGAGGTGAATGCATTCAGAGAGCTTTTATTTAGCAGAAAAACTAAGTTCTTCCTATTACAAATAGGAGAAATAGCGAGAGATTGAGAGAGAAGAGAGTCCAAGAATGAAGAATGCTGTGGAACATCAAAGGCTTCTGACCTTATAAGAATCAAATTTCTGTCTTTGCTTCCCTAGTGCAACACACAGCTTACAAGGATGTAGTCGAAACCCACAGTTTTTATTCTGCTCTGGATTGGCCAGCTCGCGAAGACAAGATGATGCCAACAATGAGGCCATAAAGGGCCAAAGCTTCAGCGAAAATAAGAATAAGGATCATCCCGACAAAAAGCTTAGGTTGTTGTGCATTAGCCCTGCAAATTATAAATGTTCTCAGCACACAAGAATACAAGCAGCCTGTTTCATTGATATGAAACACAAATTACTGGAAGCAAACCAAAAGGTGTTTAACTTGAGCTGTTAATGAACTAATGCTTTCAATAAGCTTGGTTTGACTTGGATAGTTTTTCTTGGTTCAATTATTGGTTTATGATAAACACCAAATACAAACAACCTTTAAAGGTTATTTAGAAAAAGAGACAAATCTCAACATGATTTGATTGCATTTGATATGGGCCCAATACTATAGCTCGAATTCAGACAAAGGAGGTCTGCTCGGATTTGGATTGTTTACAGCTCTATGCTCAACTAACTACAAAGGACAAATGTAATACTAGAATGGAAATATACTAGACACAAGTGTTGAGCTATTCCATCATCATATCGTTCAATTCTTAGTATATGCCATGTTGCATAACTTCACTATCATGTCTGTTAAATTGTTCATAAAAAAAGGTAGAGGCAGCCAGGCAGGGCATGCATATACATTCTTTAACAATTAAATAGGTCTATTAATAAAAGCACCAAAGGGGTACACAGCCCAATTGCCTAGACATGCACTTAGAAGAAAGATCAATTATAATACTTAGAACACCTCGGCCGCAGCATGGACCGGTTACAGGAAAAGAGCTCAATTTCCTAACCCAACTTGTGCCTTTTTACCAACAAGAGACCTTCCTCACATTTCCAATGGTAGGGCATGCAAATAGATGCACATTACAATCTTCTAACAAGTGGGCAAGTGGCTTTTTTTTCTTTTTTTTTTTGAGTAATATTGACTCTATTACAATGCAGTATTGCAGTATCTGTTCATTACTACTTTCTCAACCTATTGAAGCACAAAGAGTCAATCCACTGAGGCTCAAACCCACAACCTTCCATATGGGAGAGCAACTTGGTACTACTTGACCACAAGGTCATTGGCAACAAGTGGCCTTTCTAGTAGACCATAAATGATGGATGTGCTTATCCCACTTGATTTTTCAAATGATCCTGACAAGGAAAGTGGCACTATATGAAATTAAAATGCTAGTAAATTACTGGCATAGCTTATAGCTACATTGGAAATGTTAAGAATATAGGGTGCTAATGTTGGAAAAGTATTCTAGTAAATTACTGGCAAGTGGTAATCCTAAAAATGTCTGAAAAGTTAATGATTTAGAATACTAATGTTTAACAGAAGCAGACATGCAATAGGTTATACTCCAATTAAGGAGACAAAGCAGCCTTTTTCTCTTAAAGGATGTGCAGAAGAAGTTCTATGATACTGCAACAATCTCCAATTTAAAGCCTATAACAACTGAAGTCATAGAACATAAATTTATTCTATGATACTGTAAGTTGCTATATTAACGAATTTAGATAAGATCATTACTATATCCTAAGCTTTTCCTAAAGTTTGACATTCAATATTAACTCTGCAATAGAAGTACTCTTATACCAAAAAAACGCAATTTCTGCAAACATAAAGGGTAAGTTCCGTTCCAATACAGGGACTATTACTAAGAAAGTTACGATTTTGAAGCAATCCCATCAATTCCTTGTCAGAGTTTCATCAATGTTGGTGCAATTAGGTTTCCGTAACAGGTAAAGTAGAGCATAAATCAAAGAATTAATACCTGACACCAGCATCGCCAACGATCCCAATGGCCATTCCGGCAGAAAGGCCGGCGAGGCCACAAGCGAGACCGGAGGAGAGATGTGCATAACCATCGAATAGATAATAAGACTTGGTTTTGGGGTTAATACCGGTACTGATGATCACAGCAATAATCAAACCATAAATACCGAGCACACCGGCCATAACAACCGGCACGATCGATTTCATCACCAGCTCCGGCCGCATCACACCCATGGACGCCACTCCTACCCCACTCTTCGCAGTTCCGTAAGCTGCCCCCATGCCTACAAAATCAATCAATCAACCAATTGAGATCCGCACACATATCAAAGCAGTATAGGAATCTACTCGTGCGGATTAAGGATAGAAAAATATGCGTACAGGAGAAGACGAGAGCGGCAGCGGCGCCGAGGAATCCGAAAAAGGGAGCAGTTTCATCGCCACTGAATGTAGAAGACATTGCTTGATCTTTTGAACGGATATGGGATCTGAGATTAGCAGTCGAGCTTCTCTTTCCTTTACCTGTCCAGTCTGGAGGAATGAGGTTTGGTGTAGAGCCTATACCGCCAAGAAACGATGGTGCAGTGGGACTGTACAATGATGTCCTGTCGAGTGTCGACGATGCAATCACAAACGCGTGGTTCACGTGACACCAATGGGCCTGGCCAGAGATTATTCTTACTGGGCTTCTTACATCTTCAGCCCAAATAAGGTTGAATAAATTGGCAAATTATGCTGTGCATTGGTGCATGCGGATGCAAAAACGGTGTCGTTTTATTAAAAATGCGTGTCTCCCTTTAAAAAAAATCAGGTTTGATTCCCAGCAACAACATATGAACTAAAATTTCACAATCGATGAACTATAATTTCATAATCGATGAACTAAAATTCCAGAATCTAATCTATGAACTAAAAACTCCAGAATGAATGAACTAAAATTCCAGAATCTATGAACTAAAATTTCATAATCGATGAACTACAATTCTAGAATCGATGAACTATAATTCTAGAACCAATGAACTAAAATTCCATAATCTATGAACTAAAATTCCAGAATAAATGAACAATATAATGTTGTTGCTGGGATTTTTTTTTTTAAAGGGGAGACGCGCGTTTTTAATAAAACGACGTCGTTTTTGCATCCGTATGCACGGATGCACAACATAACTACTCGAATAAATTGGGGCACATTCCTCTTCAAATTGCTTGCCTCAAAGCCTTTTACAACAATGGTTTGTTTGTTTGTTAGTTTTTTTTTTTTTTTAACATACTTATAACATATGTTCAACATAATAGGTTAACATTTTTTATTCAGATGGGACCTAAGACCTTCTACTTGGAAAGATAACATTATAGTACGTATATATTATAAGATAAATTTTAAGATATTAATCTTGATTATTATCTTTTTTGCATTAGGTACGACCATATATGTTAATAGGGATTATTTCTTGACCGTGTCGTATTTGACAGTAGATCGGTATTGAACCCATTAGGTATGTACAGCCCGATCCAATCCGAGCTCATGACTTCCCGACGCCAAATTCCAAATCGAGAGGCCCTCATTAAGGGATTAGAGATCAGCACTAATAGCATTGTCCCGATCATTTTAGGTTGGGATCGAGTCCCGACCTCTAATACTTAGAACAACGGCTAAACACAACTACATGACTCCGCAAACACGTGGACGGGTCAACCTAGACTGTCGGGCTTGACCTCTGCATGCATTCCACGTGTTGTGCATGCCGATAGTTTGGTACATTTTCTCTGACACTCCCTATAAATACCGCATTAAATGCGAGGATGAGGAACTTTTTGAGCAATTTTTACACACTGTTTCCTAACTCGGGAACCTCTGATCCACTATAAAAGCATCCTAGCTCAGAGACTTGAACCAACAAGCAGACTAGGTAAAGGGGTCGTAATCAAAATCGACCCTAATACTATAGAGACTAGTAAAAACCCCGTATTTACTACATCATATATACTATTAACATTTGCTTTTACAATATCAAGTACAATTGGTCACATTATATTGTGAAGTGTGATTGCACAATATAATTAGTGTAGTAGAAAATTTTTATATTATATGAAAAGACAATTAGAATAGTTGGAATATTAGTAATGGATTCTATTCGAGGCATTCCATGTTACCTAATGAGGTAATTGATGGAACATATAATTTGATATAACGTTGCATCTAATGAGCAATTCAGGATCAAGTGTTATAACAATGTAAGCAATAAATTAATTGTGTCTGTTGTAGAGTTTATATAAATAGCTATACTACTATAAAGATGTTATAAATAGATGCATTAATTCACTACGTAATACAAACATTTGGTCCTTGTTATTACATTTCATCTCATATTTTTTAAACTCAACCCTTAACTTTTGGTGTTAATTCAATAAACTCTATCATTATAGAAATACATATTTTACCATAGTAATTTATCTATTGTGGGTCTCTTTGGATTACAGACTCCAATTATAAACCATCAAAGAAGTGCACGGAAAAATAAATAAGGCCCACATTTTTATTGAGCGGTCGGACAAGTCCACAAGAGCGTTGGCGAGTATGGCGACTACGGTGTAGAATCAAAGAGAAACAGTAGAACAAGTAAGCTTTTATCATCGGACTCGAAACTGCTCGTTTCTTCGGAGGGTTTCCGGTAGATGGGTTTCTTCCCTTTTCCGACGGATTCTACTGCTCCCCGACCACCTTCATCGTCTTAGTTGGCCGGTAGGCAGTTCTCAACTTTTTGTATTCGACCATTTTGATTTCTTACTATTTTAACCTTTCGCGTTGCAATTTGCTTCTCTCGAAAAGCGCAGTCGTGTCTCAGCATTGTTTGTCCGCGTTCCCTGCTCGCCCCGTGTCGTGAATGCTCAAATCCTAGGGTTTTTTTTTCTTCGAATTTATCAAATATATGCACTAATCGAGCATTCACTATTCACGAAAGTCGATTCTCCGGTTGACTTGATTGACAAAGTGTTTTAGTTCGAATTACTATGTTCTCAAGAAAGCAAATTTTAGTATATTCAACTGCCTTGATTTCAAAACTCATCTATTAGAACAGTGAATAGCTACTGTTTTCCTCTGCCATAGGGGTAACCATATGAAGTTGTGGACAAAGGACTCTGATTATCCACTTTTATAGCTCCCTAGTTCATCTGTGTATATTTGATTGGAAGTTCTTGACTGTAGTTTAGATTAAATCAATTATTCTATATTCAAGGAGTTGCACCATGAGCATATCATCTTCGGAGTAATGGATGCACGATGTTCATGTTCTGAAGATTCATCGTGCATCTTTTCGGAGTGTTGATTATGCAAATTTCCTTTGTCAAAATGCAAAGATCTTTTCTAAGAAAATCTGGCGCCATTATTAACTAGGTTTAGAGAAGTCTAAGTAAATGGCCTTTGGAGATAGTATATCCTTACAAAGAAGAAAGACATATAATGTAGTGTTTGTTAGATATACTTGATGAATGAAAAAGGTTATATCTTGAGATGAAGATTTATACAGTGTGTGGTCTAATTTGTTGGAGGATCTCATGGCATTAGTTTTAGTTGTTTACTTGTTTGTATAATTAATGTTTTTTACATATGCTAAGTTAGCAATGATTCCTATTCCATTTCAGTCTTTTTTACCCTCTTGTAAGGATTAAGCAAAAATTGCTATATCCACTGCTAGTATGTACAGTGTGGTTGAGTACTTTTTGCAATCAATATTCTCCTATACTTGGTGAAGATTTTTTTTTTTTTCTTTTTCTCCAGTCAGAAACTATGTTTGCTTTTCCTTGTCCTCAACTGCAGAAATCTGGACTTTGGTGCTTACAGTAGTTTTCTTGTCTGGAAGTTTTAGAGGGATTTTTTATTTGCATATATAAGTTGGCACTAGAATAGTAGAATTGAAATTAGTATATTTGCTCTATAGCCATGACAGATATATGCTGTGGTGTTTTGTTTTTTCTGTCCTATCATATCTCGCTCTCACTGAATAATTCCTTTCGTAGGGCCTTAAGAGTAGTTTGCAACATTGTAAAATGTCATTGCCAACATAATATCACAATCAGTTAGATGTAGCATGTGGAGTATTTGCTTCCACCATTTCAATGTTCATGAGCTCAATGAACTGTAATGAACATTAATGAAACCAGTTTATGGTTTATCGTATTCGACTAATGTAAACTATTCTGTTGAAATTATTTGGGATTTGTGCTTGAATTGTAATTTTAGCAATGAAGTTGATAGGACAAATGTTTTGAAATGGAATTGAGTGAGCTCATAAGTTGGTGGATGCCGGATGCGTAATCTCTAATATGTTGCTCCCTTATCCATTCTGCAGAAATTCTCTTTTCTCTTTCGGTACATCTGCATAAATTCTGTACTTGAAGTCTTGAACACTTTTTCCCCCTTCCAGTTCCAGCTGCAGTGTGATTTTTCAGCAGAGAGTGAGTTGATATCAAACTCTGGCGTAATAGGATACATAAGTTGCTCTCTAGATTACTTCATGTCAAGATGGATGATGGGCAAGAAAACAGGAGACAGAGGATGGATTGCTACAGAGGAGGTCACCCACAGGTAATCAGCAGGAACATAGTGGATATATAGTAATATAGTATAAGTATACAATTCCCTAATTTATTAAGGTTTAAGCATTCATTTTGTATTGTTTTTGAAATACGCTGACAATGTTTTTCTTTTTCAACAAAAAATCAATTTCGTAACTCAGTGGAGCATGGTTTCTCAGCAGCAGATGAAGGAACAGAATGCTTTTCTTATGAATATGAAGATGCTCTTTGCTGAAAGGGATGCTGCTATTGAAGAGCGGGATAGAGCACTTGCTGAAAAGAAGGCAGCAATAGAGGAGCGGGACATAGTTATCCAACAGCGTGATGCAGCGATTGCTGAGAGAGATAATGCTTTAAGGGAACGGGACAATGCAATCGCAGCCCTCCAATTTCAGGAAAATAACATGAGCGGTGCATTAGGTTACAGAATAAGTGGGACAACAAAGCACCCGAGCCACCTCACAACTCATCGTGGCAATAATTTTCAGTCTTCTTGCAACACAAGGGATGCGCCCGTAACAGATGCTGTTCCCATATCAGCCGTTCCATCTGAAGTTGTCAAGGCACAGCAAAGGAAACAAGCAAAAATAAGCAGATCCAATTCGACAAAGTCACTGGATTCTCCGCGGAAAACAAAAAGGGTGAGCGAGGATTTGAATAGGCATGTTACAACTGATGGCTCAAAAGCCGAATGGGATGCTCAGTATCTGGGCTCCATTAACCAGATCAATTTCGATGAGTCTACCATGCCAACACCTGTCTGCACATGCACGGGAGTAGCCAGGCAGTGCTACAAGTGGGGAAACGGTGGATGGCAGTCTTCTTGCTGCACCACCTCTCTGTCAGAATACCCGCTCCCACAACTTCCACACAAGCGCCATGGACGCATTGCCGGGCGGAAGATGAGCGGAAGCGTCTTTAGCAGATTGCTTACAAGGTTGTCATCTGGAGGCCACGATCTATCTACTCCACTCGATCTCAAAAACTACTGGGCCAAGCATGGAACAAATCGATACATTACAATCAAGTGATACATTAAGTAAAATACCAGGTAGGGATATGTACATTCTCCGACTTCATACTAGGTATATAACTGTCTTTTATCTTGATTTGCTAGAAGCAAACACTTTCTATCGCCTTCATCGTCGTTAACTACTTTATTTCTCTGAAATGTCGGATAGAGGTGTTTGTCTGTTTGAGCTTGTAAAGTATGGAAATAATTAGAGTAATCATCAGCACAAATGATGCTTGCATGTTTTGGGGGAAGTAGAGTCTACTCTAGTACTCTAGTCTAGTTGGAGTCCTGGAGATCAGATCAGATTATCCACGTTTTTCACCCTATGCTTCTAGGTTTCCGGCATCGAAGTGCGGTCATACCCAACCGACAACATTGTCATTTCAGTATTTCACAATCATCAGTTCACGAAAAGGGAATGTCAGTTCGGGTCAAACATAGCAACGACTTTCATTGGCTTTTTCTATCGAAATCTCAGGAAAGGAAACTTGTTAGTCACAAATATGATTAGAGACTGGCCGGAATCATTGACTAAGTGCACGTTCATAAATTTTGCAATCGATGTTGGTTGTTTCTTATTCCGTATAGACCGAACCAATAAAGAAAAATTTATTGCCACCAATTAGTGCTGAAGATCTGGCCGTCTAGATCTTGATCTTATCTACTACCCACCCACATTTGACGTTATCTCTATAGTTCTTTTTTGGGTGTAGTCCATAGTTTTTCTCGTTAGACACAGTGATTAGTTTTCTCGCTGAATTGTATCCACCTTTATTGGGTGGAACAGTTGGGCTAAGGACTTAAGGCTGTTTTATATCCAAAGACAAAGATCGAACCCTTTATCTCTATTGTTGCACATGAATACTAGGCAGACTACATTCCCAACATTTTGCTCTCGGTCGGATCTGAGCATTGGTGGCATAAGCCTTACAAGCTTTGGAAAGAAGCCATCTGTCAATAATTAAAATTTTTATTAATTTGAAAATAAGAAAAAATCAGAAATTAGATTTGGAAAAGATAAGGGTGTGTTTGGTTCGCACATAGGAATGGAATCGGAATGAGTATCAAATATTTGGTAATGGTAATGGGTTTTGGTGGAAGTATTTAACATGTTTGGTAGTAGGGTGGAATGAGAATGGTTACTAATAGTAGTGCTTGAGAATAAATAAGGGAATGAAACCTTTATTTTATTTGGGTATGTGTTTTTCAATTGATGGGGTATTCGAAACCCATAGTAGTGTTATAAAAACCTATCAACCAAACGACAATAATCACTTTCATACCCATTCTTATGGGCAAAACCCACCAACCAAACACACCCTAAGTTGTTCCAGTATCATCTATAATTTGATCGGAATTGTTTAGAAGTTAAAATAGACAATCATTTGAAATAAAATATAAGACAAATCCGAAGTAGCATGTAAAGATTGGGCACGATATTTAGTCATGCCCAGTTATGTCGGCCGAGGATTCTTTTTCGTGTACAATTTGATGCTTGACAAATGGGTGGATGCTCCGGATCAACCGCTTTTCTTTTTGACGCTCTATTACCATTCAAAGATGTTACAACACGTGTGGGCCCAATGTCTCGCCTTTCAAGTTTCAAGTCAACCTTTCCTGATCATCTCTGTGCAAAATTATCCACTTAATTACTGTACTAATTACTAATGATTAATCTGGATTTAGGATTTCACCACTTAGCATCAAGATGACTGCCGTAATTACAATGAATGCTGTAATTCCCCACCTCATTTTGTTAAAATCTAAAACAAAAAAAATCATCACTCCAAAATAAGTGATTGAGTAAATGGATTATAATTTTCGTATTAAATATTACGTTCTCAAACATGTCGCACAGATAAATTAAGTTTGAATTACAAAATATGATTCCTATTTAATCAAACTTAACTTATTTTAACCTAATTAATTTTTTAAGTAAAATTCAGTTGCCTATTTATTTATTTTTTTCAATTAACAATTATAATGTTTAACTCTGTATAATTCAATTAAATAACTATCCAAACACAACACAAATTGAAGTTAAACAATGTAGAATGCCCACGTATACTAGGTTTTGATGTCTGCTGTATAAAAGGCTTCTTATATTATGTTATGTGTTAAATCGATCAATAAATAATTTTAGTAAAAATCGGAAGTATATCCTTGAGGGTATATAGTTTCGTACATAGTATGCATTAATTGGTTAAGATAAACTAAATAAATAAAATTTCCTTTATAATCAATAGTCCTCATATAGCAACATGCCAACATAAACAAATGTATAAACAAGCAAACTAAACAAAACGTGGTTCAACCACAACTACATTATCAGTTGTTAAAAGTAACTTAATCTTATTATATAACTGGACAAAGTAACCCGCAGTAGTCAAAGCAATCAATACGGTCAGTTGGTAACGGTCAAGAGTGAAGTAGGAAGATGTGGAACGGTTCTTAGGGCCCATTTCATTAAAGAGCAGTTACGAAGGACCGCGTCCGCCTCATCAAAGAACAGTTACGAAGAAGCGCGCACAGTAATTACTAAGGAGCTCTGACACTTATGGAGGGGAGCCGTTGCACTTATTATGAGACTGTGAGTCCATATTATTGTAGCTGTTACATTGTACAATATAAAAGTTGGGCCCATGTAACAAGTAGGGGGACGCTCTGACAAATTTTGTACTCAGAACATACTAATACAATTGCTTTACATATTTCCTAACATACTCCGGTAACATATTTTACCGCCACTTATATGTTGAGTCTTCTACATCTTACAAATCATATTATTTCCATCACATGCCTAGAAAACAGAGGGTTTCGACGCGACTAAACATTTAGATCTTATTTTTTTTTTGAATTGAATTAAAAAAAAAAAAAAGAGCGATTGAGAATCTCGAGAACCTAAACAAAAATGCAGAAGTGAGCAACAAACAACGGCTAAAGCCAGATCAAATAATGTACGGCTAGAAGATGAGAAGATGCTCAGTCCAGTCCCAACTGCTTATTAAGGGTTGTCGTTTCTGTAACCCTCTACCTCGCCCCGGAAAGTCTCAAAAGCCGGTCTCTCTGTTCGGCGTGCGGTCGGTAGTATCAGGGCCTTTAGCTATTGTTCTTGAAAAATGACCCGGTCTGGCCCATTCCTCATTATATTTGTTGTGAACAAAACATGATCGTAGATCTTTTAATGTTTCAATGAAATTAATAAATCTCCTTAAAAGAGATTATAAGGATTATTAAAGAAGACAAATTGAGCATAAAAGGATCACATAAGAGGAACTTAATGTCCTACAAATTCCCGCGCTCCTCTTAATTGAAAAAAATTATCAAATTAACACATCACGATTTAAAAGTTTTTATTTTATTTTATTTCAAAAGATAAAAAAAGGAAAAACGCATTTTATTGTCACTTGGCAGTGCGTTACACGCTCTTGACAAGTGATTGCTGCAAATTTGCAAATTGCACCAAATGCTATCACCCGAAAAAGGCCAAAATATCCTTTTAGAGAGAGAGACAGAGAGATTCATTGCTACATAATCTGCGGTGATAGAGGGGGGAAAAATAAAAAGATTTGCTAAATGCAGTCGGAATGAAATTGAAATGCAGCCAAACGCAAATTCCTTGGAAATGAAATTCAAATTCATATTAAATGCACGCGTCTAAGTAGTAAAAGTGTGACTGTGTGAGTACGCTATTGTAGCAGTAGTCATGAAATCCGTGTAATAATACGAGTTGTTGTAGTTTACTCATCGTCGATATAGAGGGAGAGAGAGAGAAAGAGATATATACATACACATATACTTTTAGTGAGAGAAAGCGAGGAACACACGCAGAAGAGAGAGAAAGAGAGAGAGGTAGACCTTCCTTGGCCTGGCCTGAGGCTTCGGTGTCTCCGTCCCCACTCCTCCTTCTACCCTAAAATGTGGCGGATAAACTCTCGCTAACGTGCGCCGCTCTCCCTCCTGAAAGTGTCCGATTCACTCTCAGGTATTTGCGCTGCCTGTGGCAGCTTTTGCTTGCCTTTTATCCCAATTTCACTGCTTTCTGTTACCGGTTTTGAATACTTTTCCTGAGATTGTTGATTTTTGTTGTGGATTTTAGCGTTTACGCAAGCTAAACCTTTGCTGTTTTGTTGTTGTTTACAATTCAGGGTTTACTGAAATGAAAACTTAGGTTGTAGTCATCTTTGAGATCACTGGTTGAGTGTTAGTGGTATTGATATCTATTTAAGTGTTGCAGTTGGAATTTTGGAGTGAAAATGGGTGGTAATGGTGAGGAAGTTAATACTGATATGATCCAGAGACTTCAATCATCTTTTGGGAAATCATCATCTCCAGTCCTTCCTAAACAACAACAACAACCTGGTTCAATGAACCAACTTGACATACCCCAGCTGAATACTTCGCAATTTCAGAGTCAAATGCGACAGTTCTCTCCAAATTTTAGCTCTGAAAACACAAGCAAAAGGGCCGGCATCCCGCCTTCTCATCCGCAAATGCCTCCCATTTCGCCTTATTCGCAGATCCCGGTGTCCAGGCAGGTGAATCAGCAGATGGGTGTCCAGAATTTTAGTGCTTCAAGCCCAGGGCCTTCTCACTCGCGATCTCTATCACAGCCTTCATTTTTCTCTCTTGATTCCTTGCCACCGTTAAGCCCCTCGCCATATCGGGAATCCCCTTTGACATCCCTTACTGACCACATGTCTACTGATGCTTCAATGGGGGAACGGGATGGCAATTCACATTCTTTATTGCCGCCCTCTCCTTTCTCAAAGTGTAATTCGATGCGGGCAGGGGAGAGTCTTCCTCCTCGTAAGTCACACAGACGGTCTAACAGTGATATACCCTTTGGGTTCTCTAGTATCCTGCAATCCTCGCCCCCACTTGTCCCATTAGGGAGTGCAGGTGTTTTAGATAGGTCACTGCCTGCAAAAGAGAATTCGGGTGGCAAGCCAGTGCAGTTGGTTAAACGGGAAACTAGTGTTGATAAGGGCAGCGAGAGCAATGCTGAAGGAATGGGTGAGAGAAAATTTGAAGGAGAAATTGTTGATGATCTGTTTTCCGCCTATATGAATTTGGATACCATAGATGCATTGAACTCTTCAGGTGCTGATGAGAAGCTGGGCAGTGAAAACCATGAAGATTTAGATAGTAGGGCTAGCGGTACAAAGACAAATGGTGCTGATAGCAGTGATAATGAAGCAACAAGCAGTATTAATGAAAGCGGAAATAGTATGCACATGTCAGGAGTGCCTGCTTCAACTGAAAAGAGAGAAGGGATTAAAAGGAATGCAGGGGGAGATATTGCCCCAACAACCAGACACTATAGGAGTGTTTCCATGGACAGCTTTATGGGAAAACTAAACTTTGATGATTCACCAAAATTGCCCCCGTCACCTGGAACTCGCCCTGGGAATCTCTCCCCTACCAATTCTCTAGATTCAAATTCAAACACATTTAGTTTGGAGTTTGGGAACGGTGAATTTAGTGGGGCTGAACTGAAAAAGATCATGGCTAATGAGAAACTTGCTGAGATTGCATTAACAGATCCAAAACGTGCCAAAAGGTAATAGTACATTTCATTTTGAATATTAAGTTTCAATTTCTTTCCGTATGCAGCCAGATGATATAGTCTAATTATCTTGTTCTAGAATTTTGGCCAACCGTCAATCTGCTGCTCGTTCCAAGGAACGCAAGATGAGGTACATTGCAGAGTTAGAACATAAGGTGCAAACATTGCAGACTGAGGCTACAACATTGTCTGCCCAACTTACACTTCTGCAGGTGTTAATGTTGCATTGCTTAAAACATTTTTTTGTGGCAGGCCTTTTAATATTCATAATCTTACTGAGTTTTTCTTTTATCATTCAGAGAGACTCTGCTGGGCTAACAAGCCAAAATAATGAATTGAAATTTCGCTTGCAAGCCATGGAACAACAAGCTCAACTTCGTGATGGTATGATTCTTTTCTTTTGTTGCTTGGATAAACTTAATGAGCACATGTTGAACTTATTCTTTTGTGTGCACACTAAATTGTGGATTGTGAATCATATTGGAGTTTAGCATACATTACACTAACTTGATCACTCTTCATTGATTGTTGCCAATTGAATTTATGTGGAACTGACCCAATTTAACAAGCTCAACTCTGTAATGGTATAAGTTCTTGTGTATTGCTTGGTTAAACATAATGAACACATTGGATTTATTTTAGTGTGCATGTGCTTGATTACACTAACTTGAATACTTGATTGCTGCTCTGCTTTTGCTTATAGCCAATTGAATTGTGGAACCAATCCAAATTTTCACATGAGACCTCTTTGTTAGGATGTATTGTTATTTGTGTCTAGTTCTTTGTATGCCCGTGTGCTATGTTAAATGGTGTTTTTCAAGGTATTGCTATTTAAGATTTTACCAAAATTCTTATGCTATTTTGTTATATAAAGAAAATCATGTATAGAGTGATTGAGTTGGCAGTAGGGTTCAATTTAGTATGCAACCTAACCATACTATTGCTGAAAACAGCTCTGAATGAAGCATTAACTGCGGAAGTCCAACGCCTGAAGATAGCAACGGCTGAACTAAACGGAGATGCCACCAAGTTTCAACAGCTTTCGATCAATCCTCAGATGTTGCCGATGCACCAACATCAGTCTGCTCGAGTAAACATGCATCAGTTGCAGCAACAGCAACAGCATCAACAATCGTCCCAGCCTCAGCCGCAGCATAACAATACTGCATCAGCAAAGCATGAGTCGAAGTAATAGCAGCTTTTGATCGACGGCACACAATTTGAAAAAATAGAAAGAAAAAAAAATCAATGTGTGCCTATGGCCCTGCTTTCTATACTAGTAATATCCCATTCAATGCATTCATTCATTAGTTTTGTGTTTGCAAGAAACATGCCAAGGCAGCATTTTACATGATGTACTGCTCGCTCTTAAGCACTTAAATTTCGGTTACTTGTCATATACGGGCTTTAATATATAGTAGGGAGTATATATTGTTTACATGAACTTATGACATTTGGAAAGGTGAACTCAGATGTTCTGTCAACAGTAGTGGTTTTCGAAGCTCCTTTCCTGTTGTTGCTTGCTCTGTGATGAACAATTGTATGTTTCGGAGGTCTTAGCACAAACCTTAATTGCCCCAAAGTGGATATGTGTGTTTCTTAGCCTAAATGGTATTATTCATTTGCTCTTGTTTTTTAATAGAAATAGAACCTCAATTTGGCTCCTCAATTGATTTATTCATAAGCAACACTTGAGGCTAACAAGAATATATGTTCATTCAACTTTGATCCACTAATGGAAAAGTAAGGACTTCTACCCACCACATTCAAAACACACTGAAAATGGAATGTAATATCCAAAATTGTATCCAATCTGCAGTTTAGATCTTATCTTCTAACCTTCTAAATTCAGTAAATTTAGCAGAATGGAATGCTAACTCAAATACAAAGACAACAACTAAGACTCAACTGTGACTACTTTTTCATCTTCCTTCTCATTCAGAATTCTAGTTCCTTGTAGCCATCCTCCATCAATGGAACCCATGTTACCACTCAATCCATCGTCCATGAAGTCGCCCACCCTTTTCACCTTGCCCCTTGGCTGAACTGGATACTTCCCGGAAAAGCAAGCATAGCAGAAATTTGGAGATTCGCTGCCTAATAAGTTCTTCAGGCTATCAATGGGGAGAAAAGCGAGTGAATCTGATCCGATGAAGTCCCTAATTTCTTCCACAGTCATCCTATTGGAAATCAACTCCTCTGCACTGGGGGTGTCCACTCCATAGTAGCAAGAAGCTATAATGGGAGGGCTGGCAATCCTCATATGCACCTCCTTTGCTCCTGCCTCCTTTAGCAGCCTAACAATCTTGGACGAAGTAGTTCCCCTTACAATAGAATCGTCCACAACCACGACCCTTTTCCCTTCCAATACAGCCCTTACAGGTGAGAGCTTGAGCTTAACCCCGAAATCCCTAATCTTTTGAGATGGCTCGATAAAAGTCCTTCCCACATAATGGGACCTTATCAACCCTTGCTGAAAGGGCACCCCCGCTTTCGCAGCATAACCAAGTGCAGCCACAACCCCAGAATCAGGAACAGCTATCACAACATCACACTCAACAGGGGCTTCAGTAGCAAGAATTTCCCCAAATTTACTCCTCGACTCATAAACAGACCTGCCAAAAACTACTGAATTTGGCAGAGCAAAGTAAATATGCTCAAAGATGCAAGCTTTAGGCTCAGGATGAGTCATCAAGCAAAGTGATTGAACCCCTTCCTTATCCACCACCACTACTTCACCAGGCATAACCTCCCTCTCATATGTGGCCTCAATCAAGTCCAAAGCACAAGTCTCTGAGGCAAACACCACAGCACCATTGCTCCTTCTACCCATCACTAATGGCCGAAAACCATAAGGATCTCTCACAGCCACCAGCTTATCCTCAGTCACAAATACTAAAGAATAAGCTCCCTTAATCTTCTCACACGCCTCAACAATCCTAAGAAGAAAAGGCCTCGCCTTTGATATAGCAATTAGGTGAAGAATTACCTCTGTGTCAGAGCTGGTGTTAAAAATTGATCCACTTTCCTCAAGCTCAGCTCGCAGGGCTTGGTAATTCACCAAATTGCCATTGTGGGCAACCCCGACTGACCCGAACCTATAGCTGGCAACAAAAGGTTGAACATTTTTAAGCATGGAAGAACCAGCTGTAGAGTACCTTACATGTCCGATAGCCAATTCGCCGGGAAGTTTATCGAGTTTGGACTCGCTGAAGACATCGGAAACCAGCCCAACACCTGTGAAGTGCTGGAGAACGTTGTCGTGAACCGCCACGATGCCCGCGCCTTCCTGACCACGGTGTTGAAGCGCGTGAAGGGCCAGATAGCAGAGCCGGGAGGCTTCAGGATCGCCATAGATTCCCACCACGCCGCACTCTTCGCGGAGGTGTTCGTTATCGCCATCATCGAAATAAGAAGCGAAGTAATCGTCATTTTTGTGATTCGAGACGACATCGGAGATGGGATTTTTTGACGCCGCCGTGACGATGGATTTGCGGGTGGCAGAACAGGGGAGATGGCAGGGTTTTGCGAGGGTTTTCTGGAAGAAAGAGAAGGGCTTTAAGCATGGGTTCCTGGAGAGGAAGTTAAACGACCTTTCACCAACGGGTGAAAGAGCAGGTAGACTGGAAGCAGCTGCGGTGGCGGTGGCGGTGGCGGCGGCGGCCATGGATGACTTGAGGTATTGATGGACTATGAATAGCCAAAATTGCTGGGCTTAGGTTATGGCTGTTTTATGTTATGAGAACTCGCGTCCTAGGTAAAGTGACGGTTGGTGAGATTCGTTAATCTCACCGCGACGTATGATTGGCTGCTCTTTCAAACTTTAACAAGTTGCCCAATAGTTTGGGACAATGCCAATTATATAATGACCTGGTCTTCTCGGGAATAAATTCGGGTTCTCGAACCCGGCATTTACAACTTTAGTAAAATTCTTCGCCATTATTAATATTGTTACGAAATCTAATTAATGTATGACCTTTTGAGATTTATTCTTCCCAACCTTTTGAGATTTATCTTTTTATCTATTCCATCACCATTTTGAGAAGTAATTTTATCACAATTTTAAATATCAAGTAATTAGAATATAGTTAATTCTATTTTTAGTCTTAAATTTATAATTGTCACATTTTTAGTCATTTTTATCAGAATATTTACATTTGATCCTTAGTATTATTATGGCAAGATTATTTTTGGTCCTTAGTCAACAAAATCGTCGTTAAATATAAAGTCATTTCGATTTTCAGTTACGATTTAAAAAAAAAAAATTATTAAATATAACGTGGTCAACTCACTTTGTATAAAAATGATCGAAACTTCTTTGTATTTAACGACATTTAAATGATTTTGTTGACTAAGGACAAAAAATGATATTGTCACAATAATAATATGACCAAATGTGAATGTTACATTTTTCGTAATAAGTAACGTTGACAAGTGCCCCTTACTTATAAAGAAAAATTTTAATACTTTTGAGAAAAAAAAAAAAAGTAATACTTTTAAATCGAAATGTAAAATTATTATATTTTCCCTTAAAAGGACTACATTTACTCTTCTAAGTAACAAAATTTTTATTCCTGACCCGATTCATCTTATGATGAGACGGTGAGCACACAGGTTAGACATTTACTTATTGCGTACAAGAAGCCCCTCACTTTGAAAGGTTGCTCCCACAATGCTGTTGGTGGGACTCGATCTCCAGTCATTTTGCCAATTGATTAGGATCTTTAAATGAAAAGTTGTTAAATTGGATTTGATAATGGGTTGGTTCCTTCAATAACATTAGACGTTATTCTTTTTTTTTTTTTTTTTTTTTTGAATGACATTAGACGTTATTCAATAATATTTACAAATTAAAAACATATGTATCTGCCTAAGAGGTCAACAGCAGCATTTGTCATATGATGAAACTCATGAAAGTGAGGTTTAATCCATTTGGTACCAAGAGAATTGGCTTACAAATAACTGGCTAAGAAACCCAACCATATCTATGCTATGAGAGGACCACCATACGCCATTGCTCACCCAATAACTCCCTGTATTATGTACTTTAGGCCCAAATAATCAAACCAAGCCCATATCACTTTTCATTTTCAGATTTCAGCCCAGCCCAATTATCATCTACACCAATTGTTATGTCGTGGAACCGTGTCTACCCTGTAAGGTGGACACAGTTATATGTTCATAATTTTTGAACTTCATATTCACAATTATTAAACTTTATATTCACAATTACAAAACTCTATGTTCATAATTCTATGTTTATAATTATAGAATCTCTATAATCATAATTTTTTAACTTTATATTCACAATTATGACAATTTTAAAATTGTGTTCACCTTGCATAGTTCCACAGCATAATTTGCCATACTCCATTAGGCATGTTGAAAGAGAGGAACAAAAGGCCAAATAAAAAGATACAATAGTACTCCGTAATTAATACTGTAATAAAAAAAAAATACCCAAATAACGCGAATCTACGGAGCATAATTACAATCTTCTTTCACCAAAACTTAATAGAGGACTGACCCCACAAAAAGATTACGTAAATATCTCCAAATACGAGGATACTTTGGCCTTTTCACGTATCCGAGGATAATCTTGGCTGTCATCATGTCAGGCATTAGCTTTTTAATAAGAGCCTTGGATTGAATTCACATACACTACTACTACACTACAGATATGTCAATGGGGATCAGAAAATCCAATAAGATTCGCCACATTGTCAGAATCCGGCAGATGCTGCTGCAGTGGCGGAGGAAAGCGGCGTCATCGTCAGCCCATCGAACCGGCGTTCCGGCGGACGTGCCGGAGGGACACGTGGCGATCTGCGTGGGAAGCGGTTGCACGAGGTTCGTGGTTCGCGCAACGTACCTGAACCATCCCATTTTCAAGACGCTCTTGGCTGAGGCGGCGGAGGAATACGGGTTCGCTCATCACGGCCCACTCGCTATTCCCTGCGAAGAGTCTTTGTTCCAGGAAATCCTCCGCTTCATTTCGCGAGCCCGTTCCAGTAACTCCGTCAAGGTCGATAATGAATTCCAGCGGTGCTGCCTCGTCGGATACCATAACGGCCTCGATTTTTTCGGCGATTCTCAGCCGTTGCTCCGTCAATACACCGGCAAACCAGTGTGTTAATTAGCTCCGATCCGATCCGGCGACTCCAATTCCAAATTCTAATTTTTCTCTGCTTATTTTTGCTAAGGAGATGGCAAAGCGGAGCCTGGGAAGGGAAAACCGGGTCAACTCAGTCATCCCGAGTTACACATGAAGAAATATATGATGTTTTTCTAGTCCATCCATATATTCTGTTATGGACTGTATGTGTGTAGTAATGTTTGAGGCTTTTCAGCCTTTTAATTTTTTCCGGTTCTACTCAATCCGTAGGGCCGTGTATGCATTTCTCTACTTTTCCATTTTTTGCCTTTAATTTCTCTTTTGTCGGTGATTATGGAAGCTTTGTATATGTTACTGTGTACGTTCGTTAATGTTAATGTAGTAGTTGATAGGGTTAATGTTATTATCAAAGACAGCAGGAATGAATTGAACTTGAATATGTTCTCCTGCTATATATTGTATGTTCATATCTGTGTATCACTTGCAATATGTCTAAATTATTCTTTCTCCTATTGTCCTATATATGTATCAGATTACAGTCATTTTTGTGTTGCGTCTGTGAGTCTGTAACATATAATCACTATCTACCAATACTTATCTCCTCACTTTACCTTAAACCTTAATTTATTTGTAATAGCTTATTATTGGTTGAAACCAAAGATAATAGATTGTCCACGAGAATTAAACTTGAAACTTTGTAATTACTAAATTAATGACAAATTGAAGATGAAAGATGAATAATGGAAAGAACTTTTTAGTAGTATATAGTAAAGTCACACTAGTCAACTTGATGATATTATTAAATAAGATATTCCAATAAAGGTGTGTAGAAAAAAAAATGAGAATTTTGTGTTGTTGTCATTGTCGTACATAATTAACTAATTATTCAACTCAAAAAAGCACATAATTTTACTTGCAAGGTAGACCAGAGTAGGGTATTGGGAAAGGCCGAGGGAGATGGAGACTTTCAATCTGGAACAATAAATGTAGTGTAACCAAGCTAGGTGGATATATATAATGGACATCAATATTACTCCGTAATACATTATATATATATATATATATATATATATATATATATATATATATATATATATATATATATATGGGTTGCATTCACATTCATATATCGTGCACACTCTTGGATGCGGGTATGCACACATCCATTGTAGTATGCATGTGTGAATTCACAGTGTTTGAGCCGGCGCGCACACGTCCATGAACGACAGTGCACATAGGCGGGCAGCACACAAAATCATAAAAACTAATCACAACCTTAGATACCCAAAATCCAACAATCCAGAAATGTCCACACGTTTGTATTTTAAGCCATGTTTTTACATGAATGTAATTATATGTATATATATATATATATATATATATATATATATATATATATATATATAGTCGATTTTAGGTGCGGTCCTGCCTTTCTGTGCGATCAGTGCGGCCGTACCAATAGTTATACAAATATACACCAACAATGTTAGGAAATGCACAACAAAAACACATGCACAAACAAGGTATGCATCACCAAAAACGCACCATTAGTCATTAGGTATGAACAAAAAGCATCACACAGTAATCGAAAATGCACAATTAGGGTGTGAGAAGTTATAGTGAATTTTTTTGGGTGTGTTGTGAGTTTTTTGGTGTATTTGTGCATTTTCCTAACACTATTAGTGCATTTTGTTAACACTATTGGTGTATGTATTTTATCAAGTGGCTGCACACTAGCACGAAAAGGTGCGACCACATTTGAACTTTTGTCTATATATATATATATATATATATATATATATATATATATATATATATATATATGATTTACGGAGTATTATTTTTTTTTGTTTACATCCATTGGAGGGGACATCCCAATTATGTATGAAAGTGTATTAGCTAGCTTTCTTCCCTGCCCCATATATGCAAATAATAATTATGATTAATTAACGTAACGTAAAAATGTTATAGTTTGAGTGGCGCATGTTGCAGGAGAGAAACTTCAATTTGGTTACGGAAAGGAATCAACGGATTGAATGAAATTAAAAGTGAAAGGCGTAAAGAAGTGGGATGTGAACTTTAACGACAAAACATAATTGATTTGTCATCAGTTTGTCACCTTGTACGTACTGGAAAGCAATATAATGTTGTATTAAGGATGGTTGTGTGTAAGAAAAGTAGGAAACTGTAGCTAGCTAGCTAGCTAATTAGGTTTGCATGCACCGCCCTATCCCAACCAACGGAGATATTGTTGTTCCACTCCTATCCATTTTATGTCGTTGGAATACAGCTTGTGATTATATTTGTGATTTCAAAAATAACATTTTACATCTTAATGTCAATTACGAAAAAGTTTGAAATGAGCAAATATCAATTTTGGTCCCACGAGTATTAACAAAATGATAGTTTTAGTTCACATGTTTAATTTTTATTAAATTTCATCCACGGTTATTGTTTTAATATCAATTTTCATCCACAACTATGATTTTAGTGCTAAAATGCCTTAACCTTAGAAAATTCTAAACCATTTTATTAGGGCATTTATACACAAGTGTTAGGCCCAAAAAAAAAAAAAAAAAACTTAAATTCCAATCATCAAATCTTTGGCTAAACAAGCCCAGATTTGGCGCAAGCTATTTACTAAAATTACAAGATTATTATTTTCCAAATCTAGAAAAAAAAAAAATTATCTCACTATGTATGAAAAAAAATTTTCTAAAATCTTGGTCATTATTGATTTTAAATTTCGTTCATCTGCCTCTTTTAAAAATATAGTAATAGATTACGTGTCGATCCCTTACGAACACATGTACACAAATTGTGAGATCTACTCAACTCCACGAAATTTTACTTAACTAATATGGTTGGTCTAGTGTTTCAAGCCTTTGAAGGGACATGGACGGCAATTGTGTAGCAATTCATCTAAATAAAGAAAGGGGATAAGATAATAAGTTTGTTTTCGGAAAAAAATAATGAATAAATTGGAGCAAACATAAGGTAGGTAGTACAAATGGGTAGTTTCTATAGTTAGCCAGACATGATGTAGTAGTTTATGGATTGACACGTGGTGGTCTTATCAATGATGCGCACAGTAGACATAATTTGGGGCAATTGACTTGACCCGAAGGCCCCGGCCCGCAACCAATTTGTTTTGATAATTGATCAGATGGCATATGTTGTTCCACTTTCCAGTACTGGGCTTTCGTAGGCCCTCACCCCGTCTAATCCTTTATCAACTTCACTTTCGTCTGTCTAGTCCGTCGCATCGCCAATTATTTTTTATGATGAAAATTGCTAATTATTTTATTAAAATAAATTTTAATATGCTTAAAAAAAATCAATCTTGGTCCCAAGTTGATTTTGTGTTTGGGTCTTGGACCTTCAAATTGTCAAATCAAAACCAGTACGTAGTCTAGGACTAAGAATTGTCGAACCTATGATTTGCTCAAATCCTTAACCAGCTTGTAGACTATAGAGTTGCACGTAAAATTGTCCAATTGGTGTGCGAGACCTAAAGAGCCCGTGGCAGTTCCCAAAAGATATAGGGACAATTGGACGGTTAGGAAGTACGTAATCCGATTAGCTGTTGCTCAATGGTTGTTTGAGATTATAAATATTGTACTCCCTCCGTCTCATTTTAATTGTCTTACTTTCATTTTTAGTTTGTTTCAAAATAGTGTCGTTCTTTTAAAATTGAACATAACTATCACTCTATATTTTTCTAATTTATCATTTTGATTTTTCAAATTTCTGGAGGTAATTACAATTGCATTTTGTATAAATAACGCTTACTTTTGATTGGCAAAATTGAAAAGTTAGTTACATTTGTTTGGAAGTATTAAAAACCGTGCAAAAAGCAAATGAGACAATCAACAATTAGGGACAAAGTGAGTATATGTTATCAAGAAAGAGATAACACGTCTTGATCTTACAAACCTGTTGATGGAACATGGACTACATGTAGTCAGTCTTGCATTAGATGGTAGTCGGACTGGCACTCGGATTCAGCACTCGGTTCGGGACTTGGCCAATCAACCGCGACGGTAAAGGAAGGAATTATATGACAACATAAATTCGCTCATACCTCCTAAATTATCCTTTTCCTTCCTAAAATCACTTTCTAATCCCATTAATTACCATACTCCACCATAAATACTGAATTACCATATATTTGACCTATTTTCCCACTATAAAATGTCTTAATCAATCACAAATAGGGGCATCGAAATCCTCTCTAGAATCCCACATCATCTAGAGAGCACCCTATTATACATGTACCAAACTACCAAAATACAGTGATTTTGACTTAATACCGTCCAAAAAAATTTGTGATTTTTACCTTTCGATTTCACGTTAAAATTATAGTGTTTTTTTTTTTTTTTCTCTCAATTATTTATACTTATTTGATCCGTAATTTTGGCCCTGTCAAGTGACTACTCCGATACTGGTAAAACCAACACTTGTTTAATAGTAAAAGCAATTGTTTTTTCATCATTTATCCTTTTTCTTTTTTAAAAACATTTATCCTTTTTTATATTCGTGTTCATTAACTATAAATAATACGGAGTACATGATTAATGATTTCCATCACATTCGTACACTACACAGTAAATCATATGTAGATTGGACAACCCTTGAACAATCACAACTAGACTTAGTCAAATCCTCACTCGCTTATAACTATTTTTTTTTGTTGGTATAAAAAAAAATTATTATTGGAGCATTATTTCTGATCTAATTCGTCGGTTTACCAGCTTTAGTGAGAGACAACCAGACAATTCATATCTGCATTCCATCCAGTATATGATTAAGGGCTGGACGGTATCAGATCCAAAACCCATCAATAATTATGAGCCGTACATGAACTTAAGATTATGAGATGACCATTTTCATTTTCATTTTCAATTTTTTTTTAAATAAAAATAATTTCTTAGCTAGCTATAATAGTTGTTGGCCCCGACAATTCATTCATTTGGGAGTTAAACGGTCTGTTTGTACGTGCGTAGTACTACCACCACCTTGCCTAAATTTTGTTGAAACATCTTTCGTGCATGCATGAAATTAAAGTTATATTTCTCCGTCACCGTTAGGTTTCCGTACGTTTAATTAATTCCCACTAATTAGTATACCCAGTAAGGTGTATATATATAGGTATACAGCCTTACAATAAAATGACTGGACCGGACATTTCATTCAAACCTACCTTCATTTAATACTATCTATATAAATATTTTATCACTATTTTGTGACTTTTGACATACCATGTGCAATGAAAAAAATTGTAATTATTATTTTAAACTCTTAAAGTATGTTATGAGTGAAGTCTGTCTTGTAATTGGTAAATCAGTTTATATTGTCCATAACTTAACTGATCGGGTTAATTGAGGAAGATATATTTTAGAGAGCAGGCCGGGGAGATGAGAATTGTGTGATGTAGAAGGGGGGGGTGAGTAATTGAATGCAATAGCATGCATGAATAGAGGAAATTAAAGATAAGTTGGTATCCCATCTACTCCATGGACAGCCCTGAGGATAGGTTACTATACGCAAGTAGTTTTGGATGCAACTTGAATGCATACATTTTTCAGATTTGTGGCTGAAACTAAAAGAAGTCGCCATTGCAATAATGGCATTCAGAGGAATCCAGGACCATCCCTAAGCATCATCAGTATTCTTTGTCCCTCTCATATCCATGGTCCCCTACCCTTCCTCCGATCCGCCAATTATCCCGAATCAAATTTTGTCTGTACGGTGTTAATTACTCGAGTTGAATTCAAATTAGTATTACATAACCAGACATACATTGTAACTACGTATACATGTTTGTGGTTTCCTGTGATCGATGGGATAAAGAGAAAATTTGCATGCAACTACTAGGTAAGCCAAAACCATGACATTAATTTCTTCGAAAAAAAAAAAGGAAAAAAGAAAAAGGCATAACATTAATCAAGTTCTCTCGCAGGGAGGATTGTAGGTTGAAACACATCCCTGGCCTGCGAGGAAAATTTTCATTTTTTTTTTTTTTTTTACAAATTAAGAAGAACCCATAAACAACATGAAATGGGATCGGCCGGGCAAATTAGAGGTGATTGACCCAAAATGAGCTCGGGAAAATTTGCAACTTACAAGAAATCTAAAACAATATACTCCGGCGAAGGAATTAAGACGTTGAAAAAAGATAAAAGCTAAACACAGATCAGACCGATCAGATCAGAGCTTCATCTTAAGCAGCCATCTTCTCCGCGCAAAGTCTTCATATATACACACACACATATATATAAATATAGAGTTGGAGGTGAGTCTACCGGAGCATTGCCGTGAGCGATCGGAAAGCCATCTCGTCGCAGGGAATGGTGATGCCCATTTCGTGATGGAATCCGAACTCTTCCTCGGCGCGTCTGAGGAGACATTGAAACTGGGGGTGATCCAAGAACGAGATTGGTACTATGTATCTGCTTCTGTTTTCGCCGACGTAGACTGCGAAATGCCCTTTCGGCACGTCCACCGGAAGGTCGTCGCCGGCGTACCCGTGTTTCTGCTTGAACTGACTGGAGCACCTTCTGATCATCTGCTTTAGAACCGCAGCTTGAGGAAGCTTGCTTGATTTTCTCATTCCCACTTTTCTTTTTATTTTATTTTATTAAGTTTGGAATATAATATTATATTATATTATATTTAGCGATTGAATGAGAAGAAAGAATGCAAGAATGTGAAGACTAGTGGAGTGGGGTGAAGTAGATATGAAGGTATTTATGGAGGAAGAAATTAAAAGAGCAGAGGATATATGGTTTTTTTTTTTTTTTAATTTTTTTAAAAAATAGATTTCAGGAAAATAAATATTGAAAATAATATAAAAATAATTCTTATATTCTTATATCAAGTCATTTGCTCTATTTTTAATATTATAATTCTTCACAAGATTTAAAATCAGACAATTATGAAATTTTTTTTTAGGGAAAGTTTCATCTAAAAACACTTATACTCCGTATTTAAATTAAATCAGCCAAAAACCTTTGTGGTCAAGTGGCATGGCTGTTAATTTTCTTAAATGAGAGATCACAAATTCGAACGGGTACATTCACTCTTTGTGCATCAATATATTGAACAAGTAACAGAGTCACTAGTAAACTTCAAAAAGTTTTTTTTTTTTTTTTTTTTTAAATTTGAAAATAAGTTAAAGAAAATAAAGATTATGGAAAGTGGTGGTGGGGGTTAATAGGCCCAATGCACAATGGGATCCACATTCTTTGTTGGCTCTCCTAATGACAATGCGGGCCCTCTTTCTTATTTCCTGGATTCTGAGTGCTTTGAACCGAAATTTCCTTAGTCTTTTCATATATATTTTTTTCCTTATCTATTCTATTTTGATAAATTATAGGATGCTACTAAAAATAAAAGAGGATACAATAAATCAATCACACATAACATAATAGAGTTGTTGATTTTCCATTTAACTAAAGCTTCAATCTATCATGCTGCTTAAAGCTTGTACTTGATTGAAAATCATCTTTTGTCCCTTCAAAAGATCTTGTTCGAAGATAAGTTCGGTGTCCTTAAACCTAGAGAGGTTCCTTGTTTCTCTTATGTTTTAGATTTCCATTCATAATAAACAAAAAATAAAATGTACATTACGGAGTAATTATTTGTCCTGGTTAAACTAATCACTTTTAACACTTATCTTTTTGATTGAATGGTATATTGTAAAAATTCTTAAAAATTTTATACATTATTTGAAAAGATTTTAGATCTCTAGTTAGTTTAATGCAACATTTGGCAGCTGGGAAGGTTGGTGTCCAATCTCCAACACCATACCTTTCAGATTATACTTTTATTCCCATTTCCAACATTTTGTCTCTAACTCATCTCCACACCCTTTTAATTTCTCAAGAATTTAGTTCTCCTGCCCATATCTACATTTCAGTTTGATTGGCCCTAATACAATTCAAATAAAACCCCTTTCAACAAACTGTAAAGATACTCTCAAATGAGTAAAACTTACCTGATACTTACAATGTGGTCCTCCCCTCCCCTTCCCCACAACAGCAGAATCCCTGCAATGTAGAATAGAATCAATAATATCAGCCAGAAAGGTACCCTCCTGGAAGGAGCACCATGATATCTTCATAGCATGGCTCTGTAATGGGGAAATAAGTCATGTACCTGCATGTTCTAAGGCTCAGAAAAGAGTTCAGAAAGGCTAAAAACCAATGTAATGCTTTACTAACATCAGGCAATGGTCATTTCTTTCTTAATTTCACTCTGTATCATACCTTAATAAGGTCTTTTTCAGCTTCCCATCCACACATACTTTCAAGTTTCAAGACATCCAAGTGCGAATACTAATGCCAACGTCAGAAAACGTATACAATAATCCGTTTTCCACATAATGGCTGTACAAATTGCTGGTGGGACAAATGACCAGCATAATAGCTCAGTTGTCACTTTCTTGATTAATCTGCTGCTTTCATTACAGATGCAAGTTGGAAACACAAGTACACAAAGCAAATGCAAGAAGAGTGGGCAAGATGCATTGTGTAGCTGAAAATTGGAATTTTGAACAACTGAAAGTAGATTGATGATTCTGAGTGATTTAACCTGTGTCATTATGATGATTTATTGATAAATCATATGAGAACTGAATAGTGGGTGCAGATATAACGGACTCTGCGCCCTTTTTGTTCTCACCAAAATGCAGTGATCTTAAGAAACTAATCACTCATTATCAATCACATTTGTTCTTTCAGGTGATGGTGACACAGACTCCTGTGTAAGCACATGAAGACCATGTTATCCTTGGCCCCAGTCCCCCCCTCCCCCCAACTACCTAAACGTGAGCAGTGAAGACAATGCTTCAAGGCTCTCTAAAATCAGCATGTTCATATACGATGGCTTTTATCTCCATGGTGCTACTCACATCACCCTAAACTGAAAGCTTCACATTTACTGAGTAATATCAGGACCTAAAAGATACAGTAAGCAACAAGCCAGGCTCCATCTGCATAAGGGTCATTCCATACTGTCAATAAACAATATACTAATGTTCATGTGTGCAAATGAGAAATTCAATACCGTTGTATACCATCAATAAACACCATACAAATGTTCATGCAAGATGATATCATGGTACATAATCTATGCAGAGTAGCAAAATAAATACCTCAGTTAACATCAACCATAAGATGTCCTTGAGACCATAACACTCATCTCCATTCCAACAAGAATTAGTTCTATAGGATCCACAGATTATTTGTAAATGTAAGGAAAAGAACCATATACTAAGCAGTAAATAAATACACAAGTAAATGCCTTGAAAATATTTCTGATAGCACATAAATAGCCCATCAAAACTCTGGGAACCGTTCTCTCACTATTTTGAACAAATATACAAAATCTATTCCACTGTATAAAAAGGTGCAAATAAAGATAAAATCATACAGGAAAGCGTGGTAGAAGTGTAGAATGTATAACTTTTGAATGAATAAGAAAACTATATTTGGAACTAAGAATATCCAATGCAAGAAACAAAAAGTATATATTCACCAGAACTTATGTGGTAAACCAATAGCATTTAAACAAAAAATTGTTGTTGTTGTTAAACGTGTATATGAAGAACTTACAGATGACAAAGTTAGCTTGAATCAACTAAGAACTCATTTACATTTCTTGCTTGGTAAAAGTGTATTTCTTTTTCCTGAGGAAAATACAACCCAAAAAAAAAAAAAACAAAAAAAAAAAACAAGAGAAAGACTAAAAAACATTGTATTTGGAATAACTAATAATACAACAATTTTCAGCTAAAAAAATCTCAGCAGAGCTCTTAACAACTTAAAATTGAATGACTGTTTTGAATATGATATACTTTCAAAACTCGGTCACAGATTTCAATTGCTGATTCTGCCCATCAATCAAGCTCATCTGCCTTCTTAGCCTGGCAATATGACCTTGTACCTACAACATTAAAAGGAACAGAACAGGTTTAAAAAGCATCACCTTGCTATTGGTTCCTTAGTCAGGACTAGAGCAAATGCTATAATCATATGTACTAAATATTCTATTTGTAGCTAAACTATCCGACATGTGTAGCTGTATCAAACTGAGTTTTATTGTCAGAGCTTTAGACATTTAGGAATACAAAGTAAACATTTTGTTCTACACAACTAGTTGCAGCCTATGAGTTTTCAGTTTGTTCTGTGTTTGTTTGTACAGAAATACCCCCTTTAAACCTAAGAAAGTCATAAATTGAATCAAGCATCTATTCTAGGTAGTAGTTTCTGCCAAACATGAAAGGAGTATATTTCATGAAAATTTCACAATTACTTATTAGCTTGTAAACGCTATAAAGAAAAAAAAAAAAAAAAAAAAAAAAAAAAACCACCACATAGTCTACACAAAATGAAAAGCATCTAAGCCATACTAACCTGCTGGCGTGCTGCTGTAAGCTTTAGCAGCTCATCTGCCTCAGAGAAATTGGTGAACCATTGGCTTTGAGGATGATCCTTGGTATCACCTCTCTTCCTTTTGTCAATATCCTCCAACGGTGCTACATATAGACAGAGAGTAAATAGTAACTCAACAACGACAACAAGGTATAATAAACAGACCAATTGAAATGACAAAATATTCAAAACACACCAGCAGGAGGTAAAGTAAAACCAGAAGGTAATCTGGGCACACTAACTGCTGGATGATTCTGCACACGTGCGAGAAAAGTCTCTGAAGGTTCAAAAAGAACAATTTCATCATATGATTCAACAACTACGGGTTTCTTAATGGATAAAGCACCAGATTCATCCTCGGGATATAACTTCAGATGGTGATACCTGCAATTTGAAAATAAATGCATCACACTTTGCAAAGTATGTGAAATGTGAAGCAACCTAAGACTGTAAAACTAGTTAGCTAAAAAAGATTACTTGTGCGGAATAAATGGATATGACCGAGTCTAATCTGTGTCAGCATTTCAGCACTGGGTGGTACAGTTAAATTTCTAGGCAAAACCCAATACAAAAGAGAGAACAATAGTAAAGAAAAAAAGCTCACAAGTGCAATGGCTTATCACAAACATCACTGTGGAAATGAAGGGTAATAGCAATTTCAAATTCACCCCATCCACACTCCGACACCTCAAAAGGTGGAACTTCCACCACCCTTGTAGGATTGTTAAAACTTGAGTGTAATTGGAAAACTGCACGCTTTATGACTACACCCAGATCCTCATTTGTTGCTCCACGAACATAAATAGTCCATCTATGCGACTGATACCTATCCCAAAAACAAGGAATACAGTCAGGCATTTGATCAAACAACAGATAGACATAAAAAGCTATCAACTTTAGAATACTCACTCGCTTGCCTTCTTACCAAGCCAAAATGCAATGTTTCCGTAAACAATTGGAACACTAATTTCAAGGTCTTTAACCTTCTTTGCCAAGCTCTAAAATACCCCAAAGGTTAACAATAAGTTTCAATAAGAAGCTCCAAAGAATAATAAAATTGTCAATTGTTCTAAACTATTTGAATTGAGAGTGACAATATTTCACCTTTCTTTCATTATCGTCAGAAGATTTAACGATTTTTGTGCGCTGAGACCTTGGGGTGGATCCGGCTACGTCGGACTGATCCGAACCATGCTTCTTCACCGACGAGTTCTGAATCATTCTAGGATGCCGTTGTTGTATTGAATATTGATTGATTAAATTGAAATTAGGGTTTTTTTGTTCATGCGATAGTCGTACCAAATTTGAGGGCAGGGTTTTGGAGAGAAAAAGATTGTATGTGGGCGCGTCTATGCTTTCTTCAGCCTATGACCAATCAGCAAAAAGGGTATATTAGTATTAAAATTTCATCTCATTAACCATCTATGTTTTCAAGCTCAGAATATGATATATGAACTCCAAATCTCCAATAGATCTAGTTATACTATCTTCCCGTGTAATAATTTTATTGATAGGATATTAGGATTACACTGTGAAAAACTTATAACTAATTGGTTCAAACTAATAACGTTAATAAGTCGGTCCGATCAACTTGACAGATTTTTCTTTTCTTTTTTAATAATATTTTTATTATTAGGTATGCAAACAGGTATATATAATTAGATGAAATATTGTATGTTACATAACAATTCGTATGGGATTCTATAACTCAAAACTTCTGATATCAAGTGAAGATAAAGGTCATATATAGAGAATTATGATGAGGTTATCATTTGACAAACAAATTAAAGATTTACTATAAACCAAGATTGTATATTACATACTGGTACTGATGAAAGATCCTACAAGGAATGGATATATCATAGTATAATTGCTATAACTGTCTCAAATGTAGAAGATTCAACTTCCATAGAATAGTTTCTGATTGACTCTTACTCTGCTTGACTCAACATGTCTTGAAACCAGTAAGGGTGGCTCAAATATGATATTGGAATCGCATATCTCTTATTCTGATCATCCTGGCCAACATAAACAGCAAGATGGCCTTTCGGGATATCTCGAGAAGAAAACTTCCTCAAGATTCTGCTAGAATGAGTTACACTTGGCACTCTGATAGCCATGATATGATCTTGAAGATTCTGCTAGAATGAGTTACACTTGGCACAAGTAAAAGTGAAGGAATTCTTGGATTCTGCAGAGAGTAGCAGAGAAATATATATTTTCAGTATGTAGTTCTGAGAAGCCTATAAATGCAAATGGTAGGTCATACATATCCATATGTTTTGTGGTGAAATGGTAGCACAAATCCACAATGATAGACACCACCACATGAGACCGATATCGCAAGGGTTGCTTTCCAACTCATTGTGAAAGCACCTAAACCATAACAATAGAGAAGACTGACCCCACATGACTAGCTCAACTGTTCACTTGATTCAACCGAATCACTTAAAATTTTGTTTCAAAGGCAGTGTGGCCGTGTGGGAGTGTTACCGATCAGAGAGGAGATGAATACCACAATAAAAATCAAACCAATCGAATAAACAGGGACGGACCCACAGTAGGGGCAATTGTCCCTTCCCCCACCCCCACCCCCTTTTATATATATATATATATATATATATATATATATATATATATATATATATATATATATATATATGTATGTATGTATATATATACATATAGCATTAAATTATATATAAAATCTATATAATGTAATAGAGCTAGTAGCATTCAAAAAAAAAATATATATATATAAAATCTATATATGAGTAGTAAATGTTTGAGTAGTTTAGTTGGTTGGAACTCTAAACTATTGTAATTTATAATGTATTTTGTATTATGGGTATTTGATATTTTGTCATTGACATTTCTAATGTCATTGAAACTTTGCTCCCACTCAGATGATTTTCTAGGCCCGCCCCTGCGGATAAGAATGGATTGAGGCTTATATATGCATGTTCTCTACAAAGTAGCACTCAAAGAGACAACATGAATCATGAATGTGATAAACTTCAGAAAGCAGTTGAATGCATGACAGGCTGTTGATTTTTAGTGTGTTAGTATGTAGATGTAACAATATACAATGATAGAGCTAAGCAAAAACAAATAATACGCATGAATTAGGAGGACAAAGTGACAAAGTTGATGAGATAAATCAGATAATTATGAGGGAGTTGTTGCTGGACATGATGTTTGAACGTTAGGTATTGATGATAACCAAATAGTATTAAATGAGGGAAGGGATATGGCTAATCCAATAAATGCAGACAAGAAATAATTCTCTCATTAGCATATTATTATGCAACATTATACTAGCTCTTAATTTTTTTTCAAAAATATAATGAATTTCAATTACACTTGAAGGAGTTTCTGCAGCTTAAATTAAAATAGCCCCTTACAGTTGGGAAGCCTACATCATATACATGTAGTGTTGTAAAAATCAGCCTAAGCGCTTCTAGGTCGAGACAATTTCAGCCCTAGACGACGGCTTTTAGTCAGCTGACCGACTAACCGGCCAACTGCACTGAGTCAGCGTCCAACTGGGCTTTATCAGCTCTGTCAAGTGGTTTTTTTTTCCTGCTCGGTTGCTCATCTTCTATATTCCTCTACCCATGTACTCAACTAACCATATAACATATGTAGTTCACTAGTTTGGAGAATTATAACAATCTAACAACTTACGGCCCTGAATGAAAAAAGTAAAGACAATATACTAGGATTACTAGGCCGCCTAGGCACTAGGCGCCCCTCGGACGCCCGACTTTTGGAAGATTGAATACATGTTCATGTTCTGTACTGTGTCCATATATATATAGTTATGCATAAACTATATATGGACTATAACACTGAAGCTAATAGCATTGCACTAAAGTTATATGTCCAGAAAAAAAAAAAAAAATCTTGAAAATCTGATGCACTAATGAAGTGTAATATATTTGCTGTTTTTAAGCTCTCTTTTTTTATGATTTACATGGTAAATCTCAGGAATTCTGTCTTTTCTGTTTGTTTTACAGAATTGTGTATTCCAGATGAGGTAGAAATGATGTCAATGAAATCATCCTCTCTGCAGGGAATTGTGAGGCCGCCCATGGGATGATCAACCCCAAATTCTTCGATCCTCGGCTTGACTCGATCAACAAGCTAAGTCTCCAGACAAAGGATATATGGCTCAAGTATATATATGTATATATGTGTGTGTGTGTACGTGTATATAGGGACAAATGGTAGCTTATACATATATATATATGAAGAAAATATAGGTTGATGACAGACAGCAGCACATGAAGTAACATGTGGTTTTGCCATCCACCAAAATTTCATGATTCTGAGTAATTTAAGGTATAAGTGCGGGCATGTCAACTTGGGAGACGAGCTTTGGTGAAGTGCACGTGAATTGGAGCCTACATGCAGGTCCCCATTCCCAAACAAGTTTCCATATTTTAAGGACAAGTGGCCGGATTGAAATCAAGAACATGCATTGATTTCTCCTAGATATATCAGTTACGTTACTTAGCTGACCAGGCAAATTGATGAAGATCATATGTATATATGTTTTGTAGTCCAAAAATGCATGCAGACAACCGGAGTTAATTGTGTGTCTTCAACTTGTGAACATAAGTACTCGCATGATGTTGGAACACAGGCTATGCTCGGTTATGAATATGGCCTATGGGTCAGGTAGTTGGTAGTGTAATTTCATATATCCATTAGACAGTTTCATCATTAAAGTTTTTTTTTTTTCCAGATATTCGTAGACTGTAAGTTTGATATATGTTAGGATCAAGCTAGTAGGACTTGGTCCAACACCAACCAAGTGACCTGACTCTGATACAGCTTGTTAGGATCAAACGCTTATTACTACTGTCAAAAGCTATAGGTACTATCAGAATGTTGGACTTGTTCCTTAGAGGTTTTACCGACCTCGGCCTAACAATTCCCTAATCATTGGGTACTAGACATGGCCGCTTTACCGACCATGTCCAACAATATAATTAAGTTTTATAATTGGGATTTGGTGTGATGATGATCTCCATATATATTGGGTTGACTTGGCGGAAGTGTGGTGCATTTCATGGTATAAATTTTAATTTGAGTCTGACCACACAATCCAACTAACTATGAGTTGACTTGGCCAAAAACGCGTTTATGCAAGAGGTTTTCTTTAATATCAATGAATATCTCCAACTCCACTTACATAAAGTCCACCACTTTAGGTACATTGGTATCTATTAACAACTAACCCACCAATTCTTCAACTTTAATCTGTCCGGTACAGTACATGTACTGTTAAAGTGTTAAGGACACTTCCATATAGGCACAATCTCTAACTAGCTACTATCTAGCTGCTCATGATAAATGTAAATCAGAATCGTTAGTCATAAATTCAAACCTATTCGAGCATCTCAAATTAGAGAGAAATCTCTTTCACATGAGCTAAAAGATGATGTGGAGAAAAGAGAGACAATGTGCCAAGTATACAGATATTATACAAAATTATACAGAAAAGTGCAACATAGATAACATGCTATATCGGCGACACACTTGTAATGGCATGGAAAGTGACAGACAATTGTTCACTACTTTATTGATAAATAATTATTTTTTTATTAAAAAAAAAAAAACATACTATACCTTGACAGACACCAGGAACAAGAATAATAATTAAAAGTTTGAATTGAGATTGGGACCAGTATTTGAATACCCACAGAAAACAGTTATTGATAAAGAGGATTGGTAGAGACAAGGCCAGTGGATGAAAAGAGGGAGTCCAAGTTCAATGCCCCCAGCCACAACAGGAAAAGGGAGTCTCTTCAATTTATTTGGGTATGAATAAAGTAAATAAGCTGGCATGTATAGTTCAGTTGCTCACATGAATGAAATTTGAGAAGAATGATCAGGGATCAAGTCTCACCATCTAGCATTTATGTGGTCCCTTGAGATTGGGAATTCAACCTTTATATATAATAATATTATGTAATGATATGGTTGGATCAGCTTTATGAGTCTGCAGGTGGGTTGTTCTGTTTATACAAATATTATATTGTGCAATATCCACAAGTTGTTTCGATAGATCTTCTGTTCCCCAAAGTGGTAGGGCATTGTGACTTGAAATAGATTGGACACAGCCATGTGATTCTTTGGCAAACAATCTCTTCACCTGATATGTTTAATTGCATGCCAACTTTCCTCATTCATTCACTCCATATCTTCTACCTTTCACCTCACTATTTACCCAATAATAATACACTGCACTTTACCGCCCTTCTATATATATATATAGTCATTAGCTAGCTAGTCCATGCCAGTAGATCAAAGTGTACGTACTTGACTTCAAAGCTAGCTTGGATTGTTCTGGAAATTTGTTAGTTGTTAAGTTTCGACAATAATGGGTATTAGACTGGTTGGGATTTCCGAAGCCAAGGAGAAGCTTCGGAGAACGCTTTCGCCGAGAAAAGGGAGCATTTGGACGACGTCGAATGATGTCCCAAAAGGCCACTTTCCGGTTTACGTGGGAGAAGCACAGCGGCGGTTTGTGGTTCCGATCGCGTACTTGAAGCATCCTTTGTTCCAAGAGTTGTTGCATTGGGCTGAACAAGAATTTGGGTATGAGCATCCCACCGGCGGTTTAACTATTCCATGCACTGAGCATTACTTCTTCACCCTCATTTCCCTGCTCAAGTCTTCATAGCCTCAACTCTCTTCTCATCTCATCATCATATATCTATATATATGGAAACGCTCCAATTAATTCTTCCATCAACATTTTTACAGTGCTGCAAATATAAGTAGTGCTGTAATTTTTTTTTTTTTTTTTTTTTTTTTGTGACAAGGGAACCTACCGTCACATATGAGCGTGTGCACAACTGCACATCTTGACCATCAGGTTCGACTAGGAGAGTGTTGGCAATGTGCTATAATTAGTACATGCATATTTTTAGATTTAGTTAGCCCTTAAAAATATGGGCGGCGAAGCATGCAATCGAGCCAACCCTGCTAGTATACTCTTAAATTGTGTAAAGTGGATTAATTCTATGTGACTTTGTAAATGCATTCAATGATCAATATTTTTAAGGGTTATTAATTTGAAATGTTTCAGCTCAACAAACTATATATCTATTTATATATTTTGATTTGATTTACAAAAAAGATCGCAGTAGTACGTCATTATTTAAAAGTATGGTCCGAGTGAACACGTATATCTATTTATACACTCATTAATAACTTTGTGTTTAATACTAATACAATACTATTTACGTTCGTGGAGTCATATATGGATCATATATACCATGCTGGCCTGATGGATAATGATAAGTTTTTCTGTTCAAACTATATATCTATTTATATATTAATTACTAATAAGGTGTGTTTAATATTGTTAAATACGGAGTAATAGTTATATTTATGTGTTTAACACTTTATAATACAATATTATTTACGTGCATGGAGTGATACCATGATGCATATGAGGGCGTGCAGTGTCGTAGGAGCAAATCAATGCTGAATCGAAAGGGTGTTAGCTAGTAGGAATTAAATTTGTAATTTTTTGGTACAAAAACTTAACCATCTATTTTGGTACAGTCCTAAATTTGTAATTTTTTGGTACAAAAACTTAACCATCTATTTTGGGACAGTTTCATTACATGTCTTAACTCTATTATGACTTTTTGGCCCTATTTGGTAAAAAATTGCCCTATAAGTCAATTTTGGTTTTTTTTAATCACTATTAATTGTTTGATTTAGTTAAAATATCAATATAAGTGTTTGGTTAATTAGGCTTTTGCAATTCCAAAATACAAAAATTCAAAAAGCTACTCTAAGCAACTTTTTCAATTATCTTTTTTAGAAAAGAAATTATAGTAAACAACTAATTTACCAAATACTTTTCTACAACAGCTAATGTTATCAACTAGTTATACCATCTAATTAACATAATCAACTAACAGCTAACAACTATCAGCTAACAGTCATTTACCAAACATGGCCTTTATCTAGAGTAGATCAGATAAATTAGAAACTATCACATTCATAGAAAGTTTAAGAAAAAAATGATGCATGGTAAGTGTAATACTGTCTCACTTGCTCTATACAACCGATGGTTACCTTCTCATCAAGTGTATTCAAGTCTAAGGGCATGTGTTTTGTCCTATGGTCCCTCAAATTCCTAACATTATTTCAAATTTGACACTATACATTAAATCTCAATGTCTTTTATACTTCTTTAATTTCCAGAACTATATATGCTAATATGTACTGCTTTTGTTATCATTATAAAAAATTGAAATATTATAAATGTAAATGTAATAATAATAATAATAATAATAATAATAATAATAATAATAATAATAATAATAATAATAATAAGATTCTCCATTATATTATAAAGGAACGTAAAAACAAAAGCAACAATCTAGCTACCCTTGTATTTGTGTCAATCACCATGCATGCATGGACCTACCATCATCCAACTTATGTTTCCAGGATGTATAACATCATTAATGGATCCAATAAATGGAATATAATATAGCCTCGATCTCCTATATATGAATTCTCAATTAACGTCACGTAGCCGCCACCGCACGCGGTTGTGCGTTGAAACTATGGGCTCTGATGTTCTTATGCTCAGACAAGTTGCGCGCGCGCGGTGCACCGCCGGCCTGGTAAGGGAAACGGATTTCTAAATTTCTGCACGGCGTCGCGACGCACATGTCTCTCACCAATAATTGAAAAGGGCAAAGAATCCCATGAACTCGCTGACACAAAAATCATCGCAATATTGTCTTCAGACTTCAATTAACCCAATGTCCAGTTAGTTTATTTATTAAGGGAAATTATATTTTTGTTCCTCAGTTATTACTTATTATGTAATATAATTTTTTATTGCTGATTTTTAGAAATGTAATTTTCAATAAATTGTTTCAAGAACATATCAGCCAGAAAAGATCAAGCAAGAAAAATAATAATAATAATAATAATGGCAATGATGATAGTAATAATATTTTTTTTTTTGAAAGAGATAGTAATAATATTAAAAATAAGAAATATTTGAACGTGATAAATGATTGATTTTTTATCTGTAAATTATGACATGCCGCATGGTGTAACTTGGCGTGGGTACACAGTTTATTGGTTGAAAACCAAGTGCTATAATGGACATACACTAAAGTATTAATTTAAGTATATATACACTGCAGAGGATCGGATATATTATTTATATTAATAAATGAAGAGATAATAATTTGTTGGATCATACAATCCATATATACAAGTTGCTTCTGCATGCCATTAGAATGCATGGCCGCAGACATCAGAGTCCACCATTGTCGTTTTTCGTCCTCACCAGTCATATCTAATTATACAAACCTTACCACATGCTTAATAGTATATAATAACCGTACCGTACCATTACTATATATATGAAGTATATATCAGCTAAGATATCATAATATCTATCGTTCTCAGAAAACCTATCTATATATCTAGCTATCTGTATACATATGAATATGGGGATCCGTTTACAAACGATGGTTGGTCAGGCACGGCAAGTGATTGTGGGAGCAAGAGCGAGAAAAGTGGGCGATGTTCCTAAAGGTCACATGGCAGTGTACGTGGGAGACAATCAGGACGAGGAGAAACATCGGTTTGTGGTTCCTATACGCTATTTGAAGAACCCATTGTTCCAACATCTTTTGCGGCTTTCCGAGGAAGAGTATGGGTTCCAGCATCCAATGGGCGGGCTTACAATCCCCTGCACCCAATCTGCATTTTTGACCCTCACTTCTAATATCCATTAGTTTCAGATTTAATTTTGCACTTTATATTATATTGTCTCCTCGTTAAATGTACATAATTGAAGCTAGTGTTCTCTGATAATTATCGATCGATCCGCAAATTAAAGTTTTGTATGTTGTCGTTCGTACATTCTGCTCATAGCCAATAAGCTGGTTGTTTAATTTCTATCATTTTGTATCCGGATGATCGGGCCACACGAGCGGATCATAGCTTCATTTAATTTTCTCCTTTTCTCTTTTCAGTTGGGCTCCACAAAAAACTTAAATTTACACTATAAAAAATCACCAAAAAACCAACCTTCCCATTAGTTTTAAAACTATAGTATTGGTTTTTTTTTTTTTTCTCTAAAAAATATTAAAAATTTACTATTATAGATGCTCTAAGATTAAAGCTTTAGAAACGTTTTCTTAATTATTATTCTTACTTCTAATTCGATCCTGATAATTGATTTCAGTCTTCAACTAACATGTGTTTGGAATGAGCCATTTATGAGTGAAGAAGTGTAAAATCTACACTTTTGCCTTCATGGACCCAAACATAATTTTTAATGAAATATTATTCCAAAAGGCTGAACCTCAATCTTAAAGACCCCACACATTCCGATCCGACAGAGTATTTGAGTCAGATAACCAATTATGATATAATAATTGAACGTCGAGAATAAATTTTTAAAAATATTAATAATGAATAAATTTATGGAATTAATTCTAGAATTTCTAACTAATTTTAGACTAACACGTGCATGCATGTTGGAATTACAATGGCTAATAAATCCAAACCCAACGGCCTTCCACGAACCCAAATGATATCCATGTTCAACTTTATTTGGGCCTGCCTACCGCTTACACATTGGGTAATGGGATCCACTCTTTTAATTTAATCAATGAGATCAAGACGGCCCACTTATTTGGGCCTGTCAAACATTGTGCTCCTAGTTATGGGAAAATTATATCGTGCACCACGGTGCACAATGTATTGTGCGTCCTAACAGGGCGTTTAGTTGGAGAGGGGAAATTACGTGAGAAAAGAATTATAATTTTATGGGAAATGAATTACTGAGAATAAAGTGTGAATTTAAATTTCAGTGTTTGGTTTACAGGAATAGAATTACTATAAATTTCAATTCCAATGTTTGGTATACATGGGAATTGAAAGGGAATAAGTAATATAAAGGAAAAAATGTCAATTTTTGTTGTTAGGCATTAATTTTAGGTTAAAAAGGGAAGGGGTGAATTTAAATTCCAGTATTTGGTTTACAGGAATAGAATTACTAGGAATTTCAATTCCAATGTTTGGTATACATGGGAATTAAAAGGGAATAAGTAATATAAAGGCAAAAATGTCCATTGTTGTTGGGCAACTTGGGCATTAATTTTAGGTTAAAAAAGGAAGGGGTAATTTTGACTCATCACTATCATTTTTCTTCCTAGAATCCTGCCCTGTAACACAAAGAACCAATAACGCAAGTCTAACCCGTGTACCATTAGACCACATAATCTTAGTCATATAACAATTGCTAGTTATGGAGTAATGCTATTATTATGGGCAACTCCAATAGAATTTATTGAACATGTAGTTTGATAATTATAAGATTTCAAACACAAATTGACACAATATATTAGCATTCTTAATTTGATTCAATCAGTTACTTAAATTGAATTTTTTTTAGTCTTTTATTATTTAAGATCATTAGGTGAATTTTACTCAAAATGTTTCAAACAGCGGTTATAGCATTTACATAAATCAAAGGAGTAATGTTATATGTGCACTAGTAAATCAGTAATGAGTGTGAATCTAGAATTCCAAGTACTTAATTAACTTTTTTGATTTATTAAGTTTATCAGTTATGTTATTTGTATTAACCTGTCCATTCATAAGTTGATAAAAACTGTCACATTTGTCATACTTTTGAATGTAAATTTCTATAGTTGAATTCATTATTAACTTCTCCAATATAATTCATAATTATATTTGTATTAACCTACTTGATCCTACCAAAAGGAAGCCTACCCGTATTAATTATATCTTGCTTCACGTAACCAAATTGGTGTGGGGCTATGAACTTATGATTGATATACGCCGACCAAAAATGAAGGCAGGCAGATTTGGGTAGCGGTAAGGTCCCACAAAGTCGTCGTCACTATCCTCCAAAACCGTCACAGCTGTCCTAACCACACACTTCCCCGTGTCCCACTTTTTCCACCCTCTCTAGAATCCGCGAATGCTGACTTCTTTCTTTCTTTCTTTCTCTCTATCTACACTTCGCCATTACTCGTAAGCGTTGATGCTTTTGGAGCGGCCAGCGAAGAAAAGGGAACAGTCACGGGAAGTTGGGGGAACACAGAGAGAGAGAGAGAGATAAAGAATCGGAGTGTGAATACTGTGAAGATGAAGAAGAAAAGTTGTGAGGGAGAGGTGTTGGACGGATCGGATATAATGGAGTTGGTTGGGAATGAGGAGGTGTTCAGTAACTTCGTGGATCACAAGTTTCAAGAACTGGACAAAGACTGTGACGGCAAGCTCTCTGTTAAGGAATTGCAACCCGCCGTCGCCGACATTGGCGCTGCTCTCGGCTTGCCGGCTCAAGGCTCTTCTCCCAAGTCCGATCATATCTACTCTGAGGTACTCTCTTTTCTGTTTTCTTGGTTCCTATTTCTAAATGAAGTTGAAATTCTGCAGAAATCTCATCGGACTTCTGCACCTTTACAAAATCACATAAATGATTAGTTGCGGGAGTAGGCACCGACGATATGCTTAAATTGTTGGCTACGTATAGTGGATGTGGATCCATCCCGGCTTTCTAAAAGTGCATATATTGTGATTTATGAACTGTGACAATGACATGCCATTCTTAGTGCTATAATTTGTTTTTTTTTTTTTTTTTTTTTTTTTTTTTTTAGTACTATTGACTCTGTTATGTCGTAGTATCTGTCCGGACATATTGAAGTATGTTGCTCGACCCCAAGGTCTTTGGCCTGAGTGGTATAATTAGTCACACAAGCACTACTATTTTTGCCTCAGAATTGAATCTTGCTTTTAGGAAACAACTGGTTGGTTGGTTGGTTTTGTTAGTAACTAAAAATACTTAACTAAATGCAAGTCACTGTTTGTATATGTGATTAGCATTATCCAGAATGTTAGTGTCCACTTCTACTTTCATAACACAAGCTGGCATATATTATTTGCATGCGTAACAGTTAAGCATGAGTGGTGGTGGTATTGTTATTGTCACATAAATTTAATTTGGACCACATTTGGCCTGCCATGATAAAACATCATTCTAGAGTTTTACCATGTAGTTAAATCCATTTCATAATTTACCATTTGAATTTAGGTGATGCACTAACTTCACTCAGTTTTGGTTGTTGGATCCTATTTTCCTTTTTTCTGTACTGTAATTACAGTTGTAGATAACTCATAAGTTGGATAAAAGGGGTGTCCAATGCTAGATAATGTGGTCCACTCTCTGTTTTACTGTGTAATGTTGATTAGCTTTAATGGCCTAGTGTATGTGGCCTCTCAGTTATTGGTTTCGTTCTTTTAAGCATCTTTCTTTCTTCTTCTTCTTTTTTTTTAAGCATCTTTCTGGTTATGTAAAGGTTGTTTCTTGACGCAGGTGCTTAATGAATTCACTCATGGAAAACAAGAGAAGGTAAGCAAGACAGAGTTTAAAGAGGTTCTCTCGGATATTCTACTAGGCATGGCTACTGGTTTAAAGCGGGACCCTATTGTAATTCTTCGCATGGATGGTGATGACCTGCTAGAGTTTATTAATAGTCCAAGTTTTGAGTCGGACATGGTTTCGATATGTTCTGTGATAGAATTGCCTGATAATGATGGATCCCTGAAAGATTACATTCTCAAGGTCTTTGAGAAGCTTACAGTGGATCAAGGGATGCCTCCTGCCTCAGATTCTTGGGTAATATTTTAATTGTGTTCATTCATAGACATTTCTATTTTGGTTTTATCATGAGATATATGTTCTTTTGTAGGTAATGAGCAACATTGTGGAACCGGCACTGGGATCATCTGACACTGGTATTCAGCAGGAACCAGTTTCGCAAGACTCATTTCTGGCTGAGTTCAAGAAAGTTGCTGTGAGAGTGGCTCAGCGTCTTAAGGAACAACCTGTAATTGTTGCTCATAGTGAGAACACCTTTGATGGAAGTGGCATTAGGAGATTATTGGCCAACAAATTTGAACTAGATAAGGTTAGTGACTGACTTTAATGGATCTAAACGATGAGACTTATAGTTTCCTCTTCTGGTGTACCTAAAAAGAATTAACTTAAGGTCCCATGACTTTCAATCAGAATTCTTTCTTATTTCCCAGAAAACCGTTTAGTTTTAGATCGAGTACTTCCTACTTATTTTGTATGTTTCATCTCCTTCAGACTCTGGATTCTGCTGTTAAAAATGTTCCCAGAGATCGTCATGGGAAAATATCCAAGGAATACCTTCGTGTGGCACTTGATGTACTGGCTCCATCGGCTGGCTTACCTCCCATTGGCGCAGTTGATGAGGTATATGTTTAACAGTAACCAAATTGCTTTCTAATCTCAATGGTGCTTATGTTTTTATTATGCAAATCTTACTGTGAAATCATTCATATCCAAAACAAAAACTGTCTTTTAATGATGTTTAATTAGAACATACTTGCTGCATGCCTAATGTAGATCAAATTCAGATTATTGCAGATGGACAACATAACTGATGTAGCATTTAATGATGTTTGAAATATTGTAAATCTACCTTAAACTTGGGATTTTTGCAGATGGACAAGATAACTAATGAAGCATTGAAGATGGTGGATGCTGATGATGGGAAAATGGTTAAAGAGGATGAATTGAAGAAAGTGTTGACAGAGGTACTAGGAGCAATAATGCTGCAGATAGAAGGCAATCCTGTTTCGGTTTCCACCAACTCGGTCGTGCACGAACCCCTTGCTTCTGCATCCACACTCTTGGACCCATCTTCAACATAAGGGTACTTAAATTTACTGCTTTAAACTCTGAGTTCACGTGTATGGATCAATCGGAATAACACTGTAACGTAATGTCCATAAAGAAGATGACTCAGTTAGTTAATCAGTTACTAATGCCGCCATAGGGTATTGCATCTATAGAGGATGATCAGTGATCTGATTTGCTACTTCAAGAAAACGAATTATATATATATGTCAAGATATCACGTTCAACTGTGCAATTATCTGAGATCTTTAGTTTTTAATGGACCAGATCTAATCATTGATCTTTGGATCATATCTGTCCACACGAACTCATGGAAATAAGTCATTATAGTTTACTTTGACAATGGAAATAAGTCATGTGGGTATCCATCTGCATGGAAATGCTCTCTGGGAATGATTTTAGTGTAGAGATAAAATGCCATACAAGCGATGGCCGGCGCAACCCAAAACACCCAAAGTCCATCCCAGAGGTGACCTCCCTTCACCAGTGCTGCCCCCAAACACCTCGCCGGATTCAGCCCAGCTCCGCCGTACCCCTTTTGCTTGGTCACGGTGGTGGAGATGAACACCAGGAGGCCGAACACTATTCCGACGAACGTGAAAACCTTGACTTGGCCTAGCGCCTTTGACTGGCGGTAGTCGTAAGCCATCCATAGTACGGCGAAGAGAAGCACGAAGGAGCAGAAAAACTCCATCCAAAACGCCTGCTTTATGGCAAGCCCGGCGATTACGGGCCCGTTTGGAGCTTGAGTTACCGCTCTAATGGTGCAGCCGCCCAGGGAGAAATTTTCTTGGATTGTTTCGCTCACCACGGCTTTAAGCGCTAGAGCACCCAGCACGGCGCCGATGCACTGTGCTAGGATGTAGATTATGGCTCTTGACATGGAAATAATCCCCACCAAGGCGGCGGAGAAGGAGATGATGGGGTTGACATGGCCGCCGGAGATCGGAAGCAGGGCCAATATTATAATCGTCGCGAAAATGGCAATGAGTATTGACATGATCAAATTTGGCGTCTTGGTTTCAGTCTCATACGTTGAGATCACTACGGTGTCCAACACGAACACCAGCACCGCCGTTCCAAGAACCTCCGCCACCGCTGCTCTCCACACCTTTATATATACGTATATAAATATAATTAAAAAAACCCAGAATTTCTATGAATTAATTTGTACGGAAATTCACTCACATCTAAAGAAACGAAGTCCATCAAGCCCAGTTTCTGCACCAGCGAAAAAATTGGTTTATCGTCCTTTGACTCCTTTCCAGTCCATTCTTCACTCAATCCTTTTGCTCCATCATCCCTGCTGCATCTTCTACTGGAATGAGTTTGGCTTTCTTCATCACCAAAAGAATGCATTAAATTCGCCGCCATTTTCTGATGTTTTCGGAGATAAATCTGCTTTATCCGCTATACATATATATGACAATTAAATCTTGATTAAATGTTGGCTTGATCTTTAAATAATATGTATAGTTGCATATTCGGGGAATATGATGCGGAGCAAAGAGATTATGCTTCAATTTATCCTAGATCAAGAAACCATGATTTGGACAAGAGAACAGTATGTGCTGCTGGCATGCATGCAAGATTAATTTCTTGCTGTTAACGCTTCTCGAAAGATGACTATAGAAGTCATTTAGGGACAGATTAATGACTAGACAAACTTTGTTTGATGCTAACTAGAAAATGATCCAATAATACAAAATCCCCCACCCATGCTGTCAACAAAATCTAGAATTACTGACATGGGTAACTCAACTGGTGGATGATGTGAAATTTGTCACAAATGACCAATGATCAAGTCTTACCAGGCCAGCGGCAGAGCAACATCTCAAAATGAGAGACATGTATAAGAAAAATGACCATAAAGATTAAGATTTGATCTGTGAGTTGATTGCACCACTTGTGATTTACGTCCTGGACTTAAGGATTATTCTGGTGAAATTGAGATCACCTAAGTTTAAAATAATAATAATAATAATAATAATAATAATAATAATAATAATAATAATAATAAAAACCTAGAATTGCCCAAAAGAGTGGTTCATAGGTGTAACATAGTTTACGTACTTAAATGTCACGAGTTTGATTCTTACCAACACCTTTTAGGTTGATCCTGTTGCACTAACCTTAATATAATTTATCTTTCCTGTATGGTTTAAACCTAGAATTGCCCAAAAGAGTGGTTCATTGGTGGAACATAGTTTACGTAATTAAATGTCACGAGTTTAATTCTTACCAACACATTTTAAATTGACCCGTTACACTAACCTTAATATAATTTATCTTTCCTGCATGATTTACGAGCTATTATACAATAACAAAGTTTATATACTTACACTATCCATTTAACTCTTATCCATTTAATTTTATGACACTTTGAAATCGTGTTTATTTCTTTTATTCCGAGATCAGCGAATAAGTTAGCTTATGCAATCGCTAGAGCTACTCGTTCACAACCGAGTCCTCTACTTGACTATCTTTGATTCCTTCTTGTATTGAACAAAATTTTGGAATTTTACCCTTCAACAAAAAAACTCTTATCCTCTAATATAATTAACATTGGACACCCTTGGTTGAATGGATATACATCAAGGTTGTGCACTAAATGGACTTAGTGGGCCATCATAGAAAGCCCAATATCATAGAAGAAGCCCAATAATCTTTGCTAACAAATAACTTTTGCACGTGATCCAAGCCCAATCTTCAGACGACAAAGATTCGGGTTCTTTTGTAGCAAGAACACCACGCAACAACATTCATCAAGTTTTAATATTATTTTTTTTTTTGCTGCAAAATCGATATAAGTTGAAATGTAATTATGCATCTCAGTTTTTGGAATTTTGTTATGAAAATTAGAGTGAGCTTGAGCTCAGGGTGAGGGAAGTTGGCATCCTGAAACCTGAATTATAGAGATGCTATTTATCTCTGCATCAAACGTCATGGTCTTGATCAAGACTGTACTTTTCAGAGCGAAAGGGGCGTTTCTTGATCGGTTTCAGTTGACATTATCGACAAAAAACAACGAGAAAGTTGGATAACATGCGAGTTTGTAAACTTTAATGTTGATTCTCCCTCTGACTTGTTTCAGGTTGCTGTTTTATGGGAGAGGGGACAAACATTTGCGTGTAAGTCCCGTCGTTCTTGGATCATCCATACTTTTTGTGATTATTTTACTGAAAGTAAACGCTTTGCCGGTTTCAATTCCATCGTCAGATAGGAAAGCTAAATCCTTTATTCTTTATCTATTACTTAAACCTTTAGAAATTCTAAAATTGTACTGTGCTTAACAAAAAGTAGTTGAAAAGTTCATGTTGAACATCATGCGTTGTTTGCCGCCTTGCTTAAATTGGGGGTTGGTGGAAACAACAAAGATGCCTTCCGGCTTTTGTGATATGTTTGCTAGTGCGTGTTGGACAAGAGAATCTATTCTATGGGGATTGAGGAATTATTATAGTTTTCAGTCAGCTGATGATATTTCCAATGTTTCTGTCTTGTTTCAAACTTTTCCAGATAACATTGGAGCACTCCTTTCTGCCTGTTACTAAAATATAACGAATTTTGTGTGTCGTGCTCCTCGACGACTATACTATTAGTCTGGTTCAGAAAGCTACTGTATTGTAATGTAGCATGAAGGCAGTCAAGTATCATGAACTGGTGTTGGTATTATTGATATGCAGCAGCCTCTCAGGCATAAAGCTTGCTTCTTTAGAACATTGTGAAATTTTTGCTCGATCCGTTGTTGAAGTATTGATTTCGATGATAAGTTGGGTGACTGTCTTTGGTTGCAGATTGCTATGACCCTCTGGATCCAAATGGGAATATTACAGTTACATTTGATGTTCTCCAATGGACAGCCGATGGATATTTGGTTAGTTAGTGATGTTTTGCCTCGGCCTAATTTATCTTATCTTCCACATATATATAACTTCCAGCTTCTTAAAGCTCAGTTTATGGTGTTTTGCAAGTAGCCATGTATTCATGTTTTTCGTCCTCTGATCTGCTCAGGCGAGGATAACCATTCAAAACTACTACCAGTATCGGCAAGTTGAGAAACCAGGTTGGAAGCTTGGGTGGAGATGGGCGAATGATGAGGTTATTTGGTCAATGTCGGGTGCTTTTGCCACCCAACAAGGGAACTGCTCCAAGTTCACGAACGAAATACCACATTCCTGCAAGATGGATCCTGTTATAGCTGATCTCATGCCAGAAGCGTTGCCTGAAAATAGGTCAGATGATTGCTGCCATGGTGGCTTCCTTTCTGCTTGGGCTGTCAGCCCTTCCAACTCATTCTCATCCTTTAAGATGAAAGTTGGCAACTTGGGGGGAAACTATACTGCATTCAAGCCTCTAAATCTTTCTCTGATGGCTCCAGGACCCGGTTATACTTGTGGCAAATTTGTGGACATCGATCCCACTGTTTCTCCAGCCATTGGAGGAAGAAGGGAAGAACAAGTTTTCAGTAAGTATTTGATTTCGAGGCTAAGACTAAATAATTAAAAACCCATTTCAGTTCGCTTATCAGAAATTTTACTTTCAGGGACCTGGAGATCAACTTGCACATACTCAACATATTTGGCTAACAAAACCCCAGCTTGTTGCGTTTCACTGTCAACGTTTTATAATCCTAAGATCACATCATGCCCTAAATGTAGCTGTGGGTGTAGACTAGCTGATCCGAGTACCAAATCATGCATAAGGTCTGTCATCAAACACAGAAACCTTAAATTTTAATGTACAATGTAATCTATTTATTTATGTTTGGTGTGTGGTTTGTCGGTGTGGAGTAGAGAAGGTGCACAACCATCAACCGAACCTGATGTGGTGTGGTGCACTGATCATATGTGTCCGATTCAAGTTCACTGGCATATCAAGAACAATTACCGGGATCACTGGAGAGTAAAACTGACAATATCTAACTACAACTATGGAAGAAACTACTCAGACTGGACTCTGGTAGTTCAGCATCCTGGTTTCAGCCAGACCACAACTACCTACAGCTTCAACAGTACTGTGCTTCCAACTGCTGGTGTCCCAGGTATCTCTTTCGTCGATAACCTTAAAACCATCTTATGATGTTTGAGTTAATTGTGGCTTATAAACTGGGGTTTTGCAGATGAAATTGCACTGTTTTGGGGGATTGACTTCTACAACACTATACTGTTGCAAGCTAGTGAAGAGCAAGTTGGGTCAGTGACAACAGAGATACTTCTTGAAAAGGATTTAAGCTCATTTACCCTTAGTAATGGGTGGGCATTTCCCAGAAGAATATATTTCAATGGTGAAAACTGTGAAATGCCCCCTCCAGACACTTTCCCAATGCTGCCAAATGGTAACTCAAGCCTAAAACCTGCTTACAGCCATTTAGGTTTGATCTGTCTGGTTTATAAAATGCTTTTTGCTATGTTTTGACAACTATGGTGCTTTCTTTCTTTCTTTTCTTCTTTGCCCATTATTATCAAAACCATGACCCCAACAAGATAATGCAGATTGTAAATATAAAGTTTTAACATTAATACGATCTCGATATTAGTAGCATTAATCATTCATTCAGGGTAAAAACAAGGGAGAAGTGTACAAGTGAAAGACATTCTTGCTAAAGATCACAGCTCCTATAAGTTACCATCATTTCCAGAAAATGAACTGAATTTAGATATCCAAGAGTGAATTTTGTAGAACATTGTACAGATCAAAGAATAAAGGAAAACGAACAAAGTGATATGTTCCATAATTCCAGTCAAGTGTGATGCTATTATCAACAGCTATACTACTCCAGAAGGAAGGCGCAAAACAAGCTGTCCTCCAAAAACGCTGCAAAAATGACAACCCCAGAATCAATAAATCGTTCTAGTATAGATATAATAAGAAGAAGAAGAACAAGAAAAAAAAACAGCAACAGAGTTTTTAAAACCTTTTTACATAGTAGTAACAAAAGTCTGCTAGGATGAAGGTCTGAACAACTTCAGATATTAGAACCATCGGTGGCCATAAACCATGGCCCAATGCCACTAGTAGATCACCACGGCTGTCCAAAACCTGAGAAATCAACGGTTAACAAGAAGTTAATACATCACTCAAGTGACTCAACCAATCAGTACTTCACAGCTAGAGATATATAGACAAGAAATCAGTTTTAAGGGATAAAGGTGATATTGCTAACTGCTAAACAAACTCACTACTACCTAAAAACACAACCCTATGATTCTGTGAAAAGTCTGATGAGTTGATTTAATAAATTTAAAATCATTTTACAAGGCTAACTCACTTTTTTTATGGCAAAGTTACAAATTTTGTGCCCAATTTAACAACATATAAAGTTTAGAAGTCAAACCTGTAGAACCCAGTGAGCACAGCTTAAGAACCTTGCAACACCCAGCGCAAATACATAATGAGAAGTAAACGGTTCAACAATCTGTGAACACCAACAAAGATCATAAGCTGTGCATAAGCATGTTATACAACCCCACACCCTCCCTTCATCTGAAAAGGGAGAGAGAAGAAAATAGGAAGGAAAATCAACATGTTCCTAAATCCTAAGATACCTTGGTGTTTTGCATGACACGGAGTTGAGGTAGCACAGAAACTGCCTCCATGTATACACAGAAAGCCCAGAAAACCTTGTTTACGAGGTGGTGTGATGTAGCTGGATGAACTAGAAGAGCTAAAACAGCACAAGGGACCACCTACATAGAATGAGAGTTATCAAAAGACCATAAGAATAAAGTCTTGTACAGCGCATATATAATTTGCATGTGTCAATAAAACTTAGTACATCCCCTCTTCCATTATTCTGATTTAACAGAAATGCCCAAACAAAAGATTCAGAATTGTCTTTCTCTAAAAATTTGATTTTAACACACTGAAAGAGTGTAATGACATGAACATCAAGAACCCTTACCACATAATATATTGCAAAATTGTCTTTATCCTCCATGTAAGTTGACTTTAGATTGAAACGAATCATATAAATAACCCACAAGGTTGTAGCTAGGGTAGCCAAATCAAGCACTGTGTGTATGTCGTATTCCATGACAAAACTGCAGTACAATCTAACGGCCAAAAACATTGCTGTGAGCTCCTGGGTTTTGAGTGAAAGTCCTGCAATGATTTCCAAGTATCTGATTAGCAATATACTGAAACAAATAAGAGAATGCACAGGATGCCTGATTGCCACGAGAATATTCCCAAATCTTCACTCTACAGTCAGTCCCATACATTAGAAAAATAACATGGAAGTGCAGTCTCCAAGAAAAATTAGACTCAATCTCTTCCTTCAGCTAACAATATGTACAAGCACAAAAAATATTTAGCTTAACTATAACCTTTGCTCTAACAACAAAGGCTCGAATCAGCTGAAAAGATAAAGATTTCCCCCATATTTTCATAAATTTGACAGAGCTTATTAGCAATTAACTTCCCACACAACTTTGCATGGATTTTGCTGGAGAATGGAATTAAAAAAGGTCAACAAAACCTAGGTCAAATCAAACTAAATAACTGATGATAACAACTCTATTTCTCCGTTTACCAAGTCTATATATGATACTTAGTATATTTAATCCAACAACCCTCACATAGTCACATCTAACCTAAGAAACACCTAAATTATTAATCCCTCAATTCACCCAGGAACCAACAATTTAAAAAAAAAAAAAAAAAATCAATTTTTTTATGAGACCATTGAAATTAGCATATCCCAGAATAAAGAAGTAATTTTTCTCCTTCCGGCGTGTGATAATAGCTGAAAAGAATTACGGGAAGTTAAATTTACCGGCGCAAGTCTTTTCTTTCATGAGCTTATAGATGAGAACGGCAATTCCGATAGAGTGAACGGCCTCAGCGGCGATGAAGATGTTGTCGTGATCGTGGACAACAGCCCAGAGCAGCACCAACGCCGCCATGCCGGTGATCACGGCCAGGAAAGCCTTCACCTTTGGAGGTTGTCGCCGGAGCCATGTTAACACAACGTGGATCGGTCTCCGAGGAGCCCTCATATTGCCGCTGTTTTGCTTATTTCTTGTGTCCCAACCTCTATGCTGTATCCCGTAAAAGATGCACTTAGCTAGCGATAATAATGGTTTAGAGCAAAGTGGTGAGCATACACTAGGGGAAAATATATTATTGAGTGTTAGATAGGATCTCTACAACTATAATTCCACCCCTACACCTTTTTTGACGTAATTGTAATGAAGTGGTTACTAAATTAATTGTCTAATTACCTAGATTAGTTAAATTGTTTCTAAGTATGTATTTATTCAAGTTAAGAGTTTTTATTTTTAAATTACAATATTATACTAGAAAATAACATTAATTGATATTGGAAAGAAAAAAAAAAAAAAAAAAAGGTTAATCAAGAAAGAGATTTTGACATGAAATTAGACAGAGTTGTTATACCATGAATCATGGTTCACTTTATGACATATAAATTGTGTATTTTTAATATCAAAATTGTAAATTTTTAGAATATAAATTGTGTTTTTCTTAATGCTGCTGACTCTATTACAAAAAAAAAAAAGAAAAAAAAAAAAATATTACAATATAAATTGTGTTTTTAAGTCAAAACACAGAGAATTTGTGAATATAATACAAGCTCATTAAATTATAATCTGTTACATCAAATTACACTACTAGCTATACTTGTATATATCCCTACTAGTAGTTGGCTTTTTGAACGAGTCCAACGACACTTCAAAAATTTTCTTTACTCAACCATGAATTACCACAGAAGAAGCATGGCCTCCTCATTTCTCGATGCTTTTTCTTTGAACCCTCTACCATACCCAGTTCTTCTAGTCCTAGCAGTCGTTTGCATCTTTCTTGTTATCCAATGGTTCGTTTCTTACGAGGTCGTGATTGAGTCCGCCAAGGAAGGCTTTGGTTGGGTGCTACTGCCTGTGCCTCTGCTGTTGCTATTCGCCGCGCATTGGCTGTCGAGTACAGAAAACCTGGAATGGATGTTCAGTGTACCGCCATGGGCTCGTCAGAGAATAATGTACATCTGGCCATCCGAGGGGAGTTCGCCGTGGGGCGTTGCAGCATTCATCATTTTGTTGCTCGTCTTGCTTCAGTACCAGTCCACTTTCCTTGGTATGTGGTTTTAGTTCGTTTAGTACTATAATTAACTTTGTACTCTGCTTGTTTTAGTTTAACAAATACAGCGAAGTTAAGTTGCTTTTAATAATAAGAATGTAAGATGTGGTTTACTAAATAAGACAATTAGAATGCTTTATTAATTGGAGATACGGGTTTTAGGCTAAGTCAATAAGTCATGAACTAAAGGCAACTCGAGTTGGTAAGTTTTAAGTATAGTAGTTAAAAATTTGGTCACCTTCTTGCCGACTCGGTGGTTTTGCAACGGATGAACGACTGGCACCTAATAAGATCAGATCACATGAATCAGCCACTATTAAATCCAAAAAGCAGCTCAATCTGGGATTGTCTAACAAGTCAAAAGAATAACTACAATTGTCAATCATTTGGGGCATCTTTTAATACATTAAATACATGGATACAAGGAAGTTAGACCATTATAAGGTATGTAGTAGTTGAAATACATGAAGACAAGAAAACTTTCCCCACACCCACTTCAGAGTACAAGGAAAATACCTTACAAGAAATAGCAAATTAAGGGCTACTCGTTGTGGCAGGAATACCCTCGCCTCACTAATCAAATGTATTGTGATACAGAATAGCTAATTGGGTAAAAAAGAAAACCAGGTAAGGTATAAACTGTAGAAAACCTGGCTCTTATTCTACTCCCTTCATTTCTCGTCTTTCTTTGAGTCACCAACTACACTATTTGATGAAAACGCCTGTACACTATGAGACGATGAGCACCTACTAGAAGAACTTCCATCTGTGAGGCTGTTGTTCTCCATTGTCCGTTTTTTAGCCCTCCTTTGTCCAGATGAGAGTTCCTACATAAAGTGATATGTTCAATATATAAATCATAACGAGATTACTAGATTTCCCTTCAACTCACAAAACATTTCCCTAACCTGTTCCGAGGTAGATCCAGGTGTCTTGAGCTCTAGATCTGTTGCAACTTCATTTGAGCCCTCACTTCTTTCAATCCTGCTCTCTTCTTGATCTGACTTGTGTCTAGAATCTTGTTTGCTTAAACCATGGGTCCTACTACTGGGTTGAACAGCTGGAGAGACGTGTGTGGATGGCTGCTCAATGATTGTTGTTGGAGTCATATACGGAACAAAAGTTGAACAAGGATTGGGGATAACAGCTGGATTCTGATTCCCAAAAAATGGGTAAGCTTGCATTGATGGATGCATAGGAATTGGTCCAGTTGGAATTGGCACGGGCACTGGATATGGGTATGAAGGAGGATGCATGACTAAAGGATGATCCATCCCAGCCCATGGATACATAGTCCTAAGTCTTTGTTGGTATTGAGCATTCAGGCTTTCAATATCAGATTTAATAGAGGACTTCTCTTCTCTAAGATCATTCTTTTCTTGAGTCAACTGTTTGGGACAAAAGCGGCCAGTGAATATATACTGGAACGAGACACATGACTACATCACAGAAGGGTAAAAGATCACTTCAGGAAGTCAAGAGCTCACCTCACGGCATTCATCAGTAAGAGCTGCATACTCCGACTTAAGCCTGCTAACTTGATCACTCAAATCCTTCACCATTTGAATGGTATCGGTGAGAATAGAGGCTTTATCGTTTTTAGGCCTATCAGGATCTGCACATGAAGTTTGGTGCAGGATATTAAAATTCCTGTGGACATTCAAAAAGCACAACCACTCATCAAAGAGAAGTTAGTGTACCAAGAGTGTTTCCCAATTCTGTGAACTGCTCATTCAAACGATCCCTCCTCAATTTCTCCCGATCAGCCTTCTGCACTTTCCGTGCAGCAATAGAGTCTCTGAGTTCTGCTTCTGGGCGGTCCTTAGCACTATATGCACAAAAAGATGAAAGAACAGTAAGCATAAAGGAATGCTAAACAAATGGCAGCCAACTAATACAACCAATTAAGAACACCAGGAAAACGGCTTTCAAATCATGGTAACACCACATTTTCTTCCACTTTCATTCACTTTATCGAATATAGTAACAGCAATCAATTAAGGAGTTGTAATATTCAGCAAACATTCATCTGAGTATAATCGTAAAAACTGTCCACCTCAAACCTATTGTTGTACTACGACATGTTAATATGAAACTAAACACCGATAATCAAAGAGAAACAATCCCTAATTCATGCATACACAGCTAGTGCGAACCTGCAATCGGGAGGTAACCGATGTAAGCTGATATCAGGAAGAGGGTGCTGGGTGAATTCCGGTAACGATGTGCTCGGGGCGTTAATCGACTGATAAAAAGCACCGGCGTCGTGGTTCGATCGATCCATGGCTGCGATGATTGGTGTGACCTGTGTGAGATTATTGATTCGCGACTAGTGGGCTATCGGGTTTATCCATTATCCTCATTCCTTGCCAAACTTCTCCGATATTCAATTGCGCCGCGAAACTCTCCTCTTATTGTATTTTAATCCATGCCAATTCTATATTTGCAATATTTAACCACATTCTTATTCAATACCGCGTTTGCTGCCGCTGGTTTTCAATGCAGCACTTAACTTGCAAGGTCGCGTTACGTTTGAGAAAATTAAATAATTTTATATCAAGGGTGGATGAATATGCAACTCACTAATGATTGCCAACAACATACATACCTTTTACTTTTAATATGATAGTTTCTCAAGAAGTTATAAAAAAAAAAAAAATCATATAAATACTTATAATTTCAATAAATTATTTTGCAACTGTGTAATGCCTATGTTTTTAGCTTTGACTCAACAAATTGCCACAACGAGGAGATACAGAAAGAATACGAAAGTTTTGTCAACGATGTACGAAGATAACTAATATATTTTCTAAAAGTTTCTTGAAGAAGAACTGGGCATTCGTTGATGAAGATTGGGAAGACTTCGTTGGTTGATGAAATCAATAGGTGGGCATGAAGGCAAAAAGGCCTAATATTTTCTATATTTCAACTTTGTCGAATATTATGTAAATTGTCCCCAAAATCTTGTCGCCTAAAGGCTAAAGCTTGTAATGTGTTCACGAATAAAAGTTATTTTGTTATGTAAATAATTATCCAAAATTGCTTTGTATAGAACTATGATTTCTTTGAACCTCGAACTTTTATAAATAATCATCAAAAGTTATGTTGTTCTATAACTAACTAGTATTTGTCCCGTGCGATGCACGGCAAATATGTTATAAAAATATACCCTATATGAGGTTTATTCATATATAAAAATTTTGTTATTTAATAATTATGTGTGAATTGCTACGATAAAATTATGAACATAAATATATTTACAATTTAAATAAGAATTGGTATTTAAGGTGGGTGATTACTACAAATCTTAAACTATATTAAAAATTTAGTACATAGTATTTAATATTACAAATTTTTAAGAACTTAGTAAACTACAATAGTAATTGAATTACAATTTTCAGAGTCACCACGGATAAAAATTTTTAGACCTTTGAGATTTCTAGAGTTAGAAATCTCAAAGGTCTAAAAATTTTGATCCGTGGTGACTCTGAAAATTGTTAGAAATCTCAAAGGTCTAAAATTTTTTATCCATGATGACTCTTAAAAATGTTAGAAATCTCAAAGGTCTAAAAATTTTGATCCGTGGTGACTCTGAAAATTGTTAGAAATCTTAAAGGTCTAAAATTTGATCCGTGGTGACTCTGAAAATTAAAATTCAATTACTATTGTACTTTACTAAGTTCTTAAAAATTTATAATATTAAATACTATGTACTAAATTTTTAAGATTGACCTCAATAAAATAATCTCAATTGAAGTTTATTTGTGAGTTTTTGGATGGATTGGATGAGGCAAGAGAGATGAAAATGAATTAAAGTTAATTTGAATTTTTATGCACCATGTAATAAATAAATAAATAAATTTTAACTATAATATAACCATATGGTTTGGTGAGCAATTATTGTTACAATAATTGCTCACCAAACCATATGGCTATATTATAGTTAAGATTTCTGATGTACATAGTTTCTGGAACATTGTCGTTTTGGTGGGATTGGGGAGAGACGATTAAGGTTTGGTTATGGTGCTTTGTTGAGTGTTTCCATGACGTATTCTAGTGAGTCGAGTTGTAGAGGGACGATGAAGCCATTGGATAGTAAAAAAGCTCTGGGGTAGGAGAGAGTGCCACGGTGGACGATGACAACTTTTGATAGTAAGAGAACTGAGTTTTTTGCACTTTTAGTCCCACGATTATAGTGGCACTAGCAGAATTGATCTACGACTTTTGAACCTTGCAATTTTAGTCAACGACTATTGATTTTTTTGCAAAAATGGTCCTTCCGGCCATTTTTCCGTCAAAATTTCACCGGAAAAAAAAATTCTCCATTTTTAGCCGGGTTAAAATTGACATTTTACTTATCTCAAAAAATTTAAAAAAAAATTGATAGTTGACTACATACAGTATTACTGGGCTACATACTACTGCCCCAGGCGGCGGAGTTCCTGGAGCAGGCAGGGCTGTCAGTAAGCAACGGAGCGGTCGTGGTGTTCCCCGGGCTCCGGCAGCAGCATTGGAGTGGTACATGTACTCCGCCGCCTGGGGCAGTAGTATGTAGCCTAGTAATATTGTATGTAGTCAAATATCAATTTTTTTCTTTTAATTTTTTGAGATAAGTAAAATGTCAATTTTAACCCGGCTAAAAATAGAGAATTTTTTTTTTCCGGTGAAATTTTGACGGAAAAGTGGCCGGAAGGACCATTTTTGCAAAAAAATCAATAGTCGTTGACTAAAATTGCAAGGTTCAAAAGTCGTGGATCAATTCTGCCAGTGCCACTATAGTCGTGGGACTAAAAGTGCAAAAAACTCTAAGAGAACTTTGTATATGGTGAGGATGATCTTGAACCTAGGTTGATGGATAGAGAATATTACAGTGCGGTGGTGCGTGTTAGCACTGTAGCGGAGCATCTGCAAGGCGCCAGCGACGACATGCCCAACTTCATCGTCGACATGTCTCTGGTGACGAAGTTTCTAGCCGGACTATTTATGGATTAGAGATGTAAAAATTGACTTTGAATTGTGTCAAATACTTACATGTATTTCGCGTATGATATTAAGAAGAAAATAAAACATAATTACACATGACAATCCAATCCGCAGAAACCATATAGTAATCTATTAAAAATTTTAATTGCAACTTTTTTTTTAAAAAATTTATAGATTAATTTATTTTTTTTTTCAAATTCAGTAGCTTAATTGATATTTCTCAAATAGTTGGATAGATTATTTGTAACTTTTTCCAAAAAATAATGTTACAAATAAATCATATTAAATGTTAATGAAAAATTGGTCAGTTAACAAATCGTTGATAGATCAAGGATTAAACCAACCTGTGTCCAAAAAAAAAAAAAAAAAAAAAAAAAAAACCAACCTGTGTCCAAACCAGACCATTGGGTGTATGGGCTGGGAGTTGGTCAACTCCTTAAAGAAGATCGTCAAAATTTCACCTTGCCTTTTCTTTCCATCTCACGAACCTCATCGCTCGCGACTGTGTGCCTCTGCATACTTCCTACCTCGGCAATGACGATTAGGGTTTTCTTCATTTTCGCTCTCATTCTCTTCTCCGCCTCATCTTTACAAGGTATGCTTATCAGATCCTGACATTTTTCTGCCCAAATTTCTGTTCAAATGCTTTATCTGCATGTTTACATTCTAATATCTATATTTTTATGCCCATTCAAGACAAATATTTGCACATTTCTCTGTAATTTTGCTCTCTAGCTTTTCGATTCGTCAGGTTTCCAACGAGTTTAGAGTTTTCTTAGATCATGCGGATCTAAATTATGCTAGTTTCTATAGATGCGCATGCATTTGTCTCTGATTGGAATTGATCCTTCGAAATACGTTTCATGTCAATTGATTTTTTTGCCTCATGAACTCATGGAGTCTGCAACCATGCAGCATGGTGGATCGGAAAATACTATTCATTTTTGCTTGCTTTATATTTGGCAAATCACGTCACCTTTAAGGAAAGCAACATTTCCAACAAGAGCTGGCTTTCAGAAACCAAAAAGGAAACTAGAAATGGTGTCTTACCCTTGATGTCCAAAAATTTTAGTATTTGGCAGGAAAACAAGAAAGGGTGTTGATTTAGTCAGGCTTTTGTTTGACATGGTAATTCTAGTGTTATGCTTTCAGTTAATCTTCAGTCATCTAATTAACATAGGTAATGCATTTAGCTAAATCCGTCCTAATAAAAAGCATATTATATTGAGATTATCAGACAGTTTCTTTGAGTTGTTCTAGATTTCTTACCATTTCAGTAAGTATATCATTGTTGTAGCAAGTCGCATTTTGCAGTTCAATAAAATTTTGGGTAATGACATTCATTCTCATATAATATTTAATTTTTGATTCAATGAGTTGACTATAAATATGTTGTTGGAAATTATACTAATGTTTTCTTTGGATTCTTTATTGTTTTCTAATGTTTTTCTCTTTTGCTTGCTAGTTACTAAATGTGAATCAGAAGCTGAAGCTGAAGCTGAAGTAGTTGATGGTACTGAGGAAGTAGGAGATCTTGGAATAGTTGGTGAGGATGTTCAAGACTTTGGCGATGAAAGTTTAAGTCCAGCTCCTGGAGTTGATACAGTTTGTGTTTTCCCCAAAAACCCTTCTAAGTGTTAGTACTTCTGTGTTCGAGTTCTGTGAAGTTTCTAGTTTTGCTCTTTGGGAAATGCATTGCTTGACCTTTCTTTTATTTATTTATTCAGTTGTTACAGCTGGGGAGCAGAGCGAACTTTTAGTTGGAATGAAAAATGATGGTAATTTCTGTTGCTTGGTGCTCTGATTTTGGTTTTGGTTCATTTTAAAGCATTTGGTTTTCTTGCGAGTCTTCCCTTATTGTCTACCGTTCTTTACGATGCCTTTATTGCCATAAATCCAAAGTTATTTCTTTAGTATTTTCCATAGTATTGCATGAATGCTGCTTAATGCTTATTTTCCATAACTTTTGGATGGTAAAAACAGGGGAATCAAGAGTGAATGTCTTAGCAATCCGGGCCACTCTTCATCTTCCTTATGATCATCGCTATTTAGTTCAAAATCTCACTACTCAGGTAGTGGCTGCAGTCCTTCTTTTACATTATTTTTGCATGGTTACCAGACTCCAATATAGTATATGGTATTTCTTTCATGGGTTTGTGAGTATTAAGATATGATAAGTAGACCTGCATACCTGAGGATTTTCAGTAATTCAACTGCTTGGGTCTTTGTGACTGGAATATGCCATTCCTAGAAATGTGCTATAGCTCAGATATTTCTTGTTAATTACCAAAAAGGAAAGATATCATCAACTCTCGTCCAGAAAGAAATGCTGAAGTGAACTGAACCATGTTTTGCATTAGGGATTATGTGTTAGAGGTGGGCAGCAAATGAACCTAACCTAAGTTTGCATCGATCTCAACCCTCAAATCTGTGGTTTTTGAATCCTTAACTGATATGTAGTGTACTGAGGCAAATTGTTCATTTAGCAGTAAGAATGTGCTCTCTATGCCTTGGACATCAGTATTGCTGTGCATGTAATTAAAAAATCTTCCATTTCATATGCCGTTTTCTAAGTGGAATTCTCTTTTGAACAAAGGGATATGCATAGATTTAGGTGGAAGGCTGCATCCACTGTTAACTTGTATCTGTTGGGATTTCACATTTCTTTTACATGCTTCAAAGTTATAACAAACTTCACTACTTCTCTTGCATTTTCTAGGGGTTTAGCAACGCAACAGTTCCTCCTTCTGCCCAAGCAACACTTCCATATATATTTGGTGTGAGCAAATTCTTGCAGGTTAGTTAATCAGTGGTGGATCCACATTAGTAGTAGTGGGGGTGCTTGTGCCCATTCAGTTTTGGAAAGTTATACTATATTATGCATAGCAATGTAGTTTTAACAAATTCTATTATGTAACTTACAATTTATATTTTATAGTGATTTCCCCCTAGTCAATTAATTTTAGAAAATCTTTATATTACTAAGTTTGCCCCACTCTTATAAAGTTCTGGATTAGCCCCTGGTAAGTTTGATTGTTGAACTGCATGCCCTTATTTATTCCAAAAAAATGCTTATTTCAAAATTATTATTTTTGTTTAGATCCTTTCTTTCTTAGCTCAAACACATCATGTTATTACTTATTGCAGCCTGGAACATTTGATCTTGTTGGAAGCATTATTTATGAAATAGACCGACAACCTTATCAAAACACATTCTACAATAGCACTATTGAAGTCACTGAGCCTGGAGGCCTTTTCAGTGTTGAGTCTGTTTTCTTGTTTTGTCTTGGAGTTGCCATTGTTGCCCTTCTTGGGTTCTGGATCCGTGATCGAATTCAAAATTTGTCAAAGGTGATTAGATATTACATTTTACATGATCAATCCATCCTATACTTGTATAATTGTCCTAAGTTTTTGGCCTAATGAAAATTCTAAGCTTGTAGCATTTATTTTTCTTCCCCATTCTTTAGAAAACCAAGAGGGCTCCGAAGGCAAAGGTTGAAGTTGGAACTGGAACAACAGATGCCTCGATGGATGAATGGCTGGAGGTTTGTTATTCACACATATCCACACTCATTTCTTTTTTGCAAACACTCATTTCTGAATATGCTTCTAAAATGGGTTTGATATACATTCATGAAAATTGCTATAAATGGGATGTTACTTCAAAATATGCGGTATGATATACAACTGGTTTATATACAGGGAACTGCATATGCCCAGTCTCAGTCCAAATCAAAGAAGAAGTAAAGGAGAAATGTTTGAGTTAGCTTGTAACGAGCATAAGTCGTTTGAGGCAAAGCTTCATAGTTCTCGATATTGAGGTAGTTAACATCCTCCACCGCTGTTGTAGCGCTACTAAGAAACCACCTTACCCATTTTTTGGTTGGTCTGAAGCTGAGATAGACAGGAAACACTTTTGTTAAAGACACTTTCATATCACACTATTCCTGTTTATTAGTTGCTTATTCCTCGTTTCCTTGAATGGTTGTTGGTTGGCGTCGGCGACACTTCCGTCTCTTTTCTTCATATCCTATATAATTTTATTATATAATTCCCTTACCAATTATTCTAAATTGTTGAATTATTAGTTTTTTTTTTTTTTTTTTTTTGGTGGTGGTGGGGGGTCAAAAGTGTGTTGTCTTGAGAGGTGCTATTTAAGTAAACCACACTTAAAAGCACACATAATCAGTTGCATATCATTTTCTGGATTGTAGTATTTTCACATTTCTTAGTCATAACCATAACTGAAAAACAACCATAATTAATACAATTCTCAACATTGCAGCTATACCAAGTAACTATTGATGTGACTATACAGTATACACTCCTCCGTCATCTCCTATTCAGTGTTATAACATATATAATAAAATTATTACCACTTTTAGTAAAGACTCAATAAGCAAAACCACGTGATTTACGGTAAAGAATATTAAAAATAAAAAAAAGTCACTAATTTAAAATTACAATTATTGCTCTTATGAATTATTGGTGCATTATAAATTTATACTCTAACGTACCCTGGGCCAGGGGACACTTGGGGAGTAAAATTCAGTTGACACAAAGTGAATCCACCCATGTGAACTTGATGGTGTGTCTTCATCATAATTATAACTACCCTGACATTTATGCATCCTGAATTGCAGAAATTGAATAATATAATCATCAACAAGAAACCTGACCTCGTAGAAGTGGAAGTAATGTTGATCTCCGCTCATAATTAACGTCTTGTTGATCTCAAGCTGATCACCATTAGTCATTTATATCCTACACTTGATTCAGAACCAACCACAGATGGTATATTGGTGTCTACTGAGCTAAACTGAATGTGTTGTATAATGAATATCCTGTATCCTATCAATCCAGATTTATATTAGACATAGGAGTTTGGTTATTTAACAACTTCTAGTTATTCAGTTTAACTAAACTACTTAATAAATTAAGACCCTAATATATAATATATAATAAGAAAATTTTACACCATATAAATTCTCACTTTTTTATTTCTTGCAAATATTATATGTTTTAATTAATTTAACAAAAAAAAAAAGAAGTGAGTCACAGTAATTTTTTTTTATCCAAGAAAATTTGAACATAAGACATAAATTATATTGTATGAGAGTACATATATCGTTTTTTAATTAGTATGGCAGGATTGGCATTTGCCTATTTGGTAAGACCAGTAGTTAAGCTGTTTGACACTTTGACCCTAAGGCATAGAGTTTCCAATTAATGAAAGCACCTACTAAATAGGTTTACAGATTGGAAATACAGTTGAAACTTGAAACCTCATTTATTGTGGAGAATGGCTCTTTGCAATATAGGTGGCTTAATTTTTTATTTTATTGGAGATGTATTGTTATACAAATTACGTTATTGATTGATTGATCACATGTATATTTAAATGATTTCCTCATAAGTTGGTGTCTTAAAGGGTGATGTTTGTCATTTTTGGATGACAGATTGAGTGTTGCATTTACATGTACTATATACTTGTATATACAAATATTTATTATTTTAACATCTATCAATTAACTATTACTTCTTCATGTGCTCATTCAATTTTTTAATATGAAACTTTGTAGTCGCTATCAGAATGTAGGTTTTGAGTGAAATTTGTTTTATAATCCTAATCGAGAATGATAAATCAATCTAAATTATATATAGTTGTGTGCTGATTTAATCCTAAATGATTACAAACGCGTTCAAGTAAGAAAGTGGTGGGGAAATCAGTCAGCCTCATTGCCTCTGCATGCAATATAATTGGTGGGTTCAATTCTATTTTTAAATGTATATGAATACAAAGTGACCATGCCTGTCAAATCGCTCTCATTAACACACATTCTATCATTTTAGAATTTCATTTCATGGGCACATGCATTGACGCGTTTTAGGTTTGTTTTTTTTTTTTTTTTTTTTTTTTTTTTTTTTTTTTTTTTTTTTTATGTTACATTAAACGATTTGTGTTTACCAAAATTTCCCATGATATATTTATATTAACCATTTGCTTACCAATCATCTCAATCAAGCATGGGGCCGGTTAAAGTGGTGAGGTTGAATAGTGAGCCCACTCGGCCAATGTGTGTCGGCGAAGGTTTCTTAGCTTCCATTATAAATAATATCCGAGGGCTTGTGATACCAGTCACCAAAGCAAAGCTATAGCTAATAAGCTAAAGCTTCTATTGCATATAGTTATAGTGGGAGACGTACGTGGGCTGAGGGGGCGGGGGATTAATTATATTGCTTAATATAATTTCTTCCTCATCGTAACAATAATGGGGCTCAAGTCCCTTTGTCGTCGCGGAATCCTTCTGGGATTTCTGCTGTCTTTATTCCTAGTTATGAGTTTCTGCTACGCTGATGATAAGACAGTCCAGGTTGTTGGATTCGGAGAATGTGGTGATTGCAAGGAGAACAACATTCAGACTACTCAAGCTTTTTCTGGTACATATAACTATATATATTATATTTTGTCTGATCTGTTAGCTAGTTTTAACAACACAACAGAAAAAACATAAACTTACGTTAATATATATATGGTTGCAGAGCTTAGGGTGAGCATTGACTGCAAGCTCGAGAATGGAGAGATGCGGACGAGAGGGATGGGGAAGCTGGATAAAGACGGCAAGTTTGAAGTGTCGTTGCCGGCGGAGATTGTGAAACACGGCGGAGGTTTGAAGGAGGAGTGTTATGCTCAGCTCCAAACTGCATCTTCTTCTGCACCGTGTCCTGCGCATAACGCCATTGAAGCTTCCAAGATTGTTAAAACAGGTGGAAAAAAGCATGGATTTGAAGCCGCCGGGAAACTGAAATTCTCGGCAGCCATTTGCACTTCAGCTTTCTTGCCACACTTTAAGAAACCCTTCTTCAAGAAACCACTTCCCCATCCTTTTCCATTTTATAAACCAAAACCACACCCCATAATCCCCATTTACAAACCCAAACCAAAGCCACCGGTTTACATTCCTCACGTCCCCATATACAAACCCAAGCCTAAGCCACCCGTTTACAAACCTCCAACTCCCGTGTACAAGCCAAAGCCAAATCCACCAGTTTACAAACCTCCTACCCCGGTATATAAGCCAAAGCCACCAGTTTACAAACCTCCCACTCCCGTCTATAAGCCAAAGCCATTTCCACATGTCCCCATTTACAAGCCCTTTCCAAAGCCACCCATTATTTATTACAAACCACCATTTAAGCCGTTTCCTTTCCACAAGCCAAAGCCACCGGTTTATATTCCTCCCTTCAAGAAACCATGCCCACCACCCTTTGGCTAGGGGCTGCATGTAGCTAGGCTCTATATGCAGTGACTCAACTTGAAAATTTCATCTTGCATGCACAATAAAAGCAAAGTAAGAAGATTAAAGATGTAGTAGAAACATGCAGCTAGGTTAATTAGTGGATCGGAGTGCAACTTTCTACTTATTTGCATGTGTTTGTTGGCTTCAAATTCAACCCTCTTCTTGGATGGTTTGCTTGTGATTTCAATCAAAGTTTGTATTAAGTTTCTATGCCACTATGCATATTATTGTGACTAAATGTGATAATTTGATTAAGTTGTTTAAATTGTTCATTATTATTATTGTCTTTAATTTTAGCCTTTTGGATGAGTCCCTACAAGTTAAATTAGAATCCTTAAATTTCAACTTTGATCAGCTCAATAAAGTGAATAAAAGCTTTAGATTAGATGACATTTTTTTTTATGAATATTAAAACGTTAACTTTTATGAATAATTGGATTTTAATTTAAATTATTATTTTAATAACATACACTTTAATCTAGTTTTTTGTCCATCAATCAATTTAAAATACTCTTTGCAATTATTTTTTGATTAACACTTGACATTGTAGTTACCAACCACTTTAAACTAACAATTATTTTGAATAAATTTTAAAAATTACATACAGTAATTTTTTTTCAATCCATTTTAAGTGGTCCAATTAAAGATCACATCAACGGATCATTTACAACCTATAATTGTGACTATTCTTCATGAGATGTCAAATCGATCACATTGTCTCTCTCATGGTTAACAAATTATATTATGCACCCGGTCTATGTGTTACAAGGTAGTGAACACTAAAATATGCTTATTTTTAATATACAAAATATATTTATTTTTATTAGATACATTTTTAGTGTTGTACAAGTCAAAATGAAATTATAATACACTTAAAATAAACTTGTATCAATAGATTCAATAGCAATATTGTAAACATTGCGCCTAGGCGCAATATCGAAATCGGCCTTCTCTGCGCCCGGGCGTCTAGGCAGCTCCTAGACCGCTTAGCCGCCCGAAGACACTTTACATGATTTTTTTTTTTTGGGGGGGGGGGGGGGGGGGGGGGGGGGTTATTCGCTCAAAACGACGTCTTTTGAGCAATAACCCTAAAAAAATCGCACTGTCTTCGCCTCCAGCCGTCGAGCGCCGCTCGCCTCTACCTCGTCGCTGGCTCGCTACTGCAGCTTGTAGGTAAAAAAAAAGGGGCACCTAGCAATTTGTTCTATCAAGTCCATAATGTTACATGGTCCGTGATATAAGCATTGCTTATGGTTATAGAAAAGTTAATGAGAAATTTTTCCAAAGCCCACGCCAAATATAATGGGCTATAATTTATTTGTAGCATGGATTGAAATATGGGCCTGGATCTTACCAAATACCATATTGGACATGGCTGATGTCGACCCAATTGATCCACTGCTACCCACGGCAAATTATGCTGTGCATCCGTATGCACCATGCATAGTGCATACGGATGTAAAAACGACGTGATTTTATTAAAAACGCGCGCCTCACTTTAAAAAAAAATATATCAGTTTCGATTCCCAGCAACAACATATGAACTAAAATTTCAGAATCGATAAACTAAAATTCCAGAATCGATGAACTACAATTCTAGAATCAATGAACTAAAATGCCAGAATCTAATCTATGAACTAAAAATTTCAGAATGAATGAACTAAAATTCCAGAATCTATGAACTAAAATTTCAGAATCGATGAACTAAAATCCCATAATCGATAAACTACAATTCCAGAATCAATGAACTAAAATTCCAGAATGAACGTAATGCTGTTGAGAGGAATCGAACCTGATTTTTTTTTTAAGTGAGATGTGCGTTTTTAATAAAACGATGTCGTTTTTGCATCCGTATCATATGGATGCACAGCATAACTATCCCCTACTCACGATGAAATTTGAAGTTACCTGCAACACGTGTCGCTTCTATACGGCATTTCCCTAAATAAAGTCCCGTTCATGGCCTAAACAGTAAGCACAAGGATCTATTAACAATTTGAGAGCATTTGGTGTTGGTGAGAAAATTTGATGGCTAAGCCTAAAGTTTTCTTTGATGTCACCATCGGCGGCCAGCCGGCCGGCCGTATAGTGATGGAGTTGTTTGCCGACACAACTCCGAAGACGGCTGAGAACTTCCGCGCTCTCTGCACGGGGAGAAAGGCGTTGTGAAGTCAGGCAAGCCGTTGCACTACAAGGGATCCACATTCCACCGTGTGATCCCCAATTTCATGTGCCAGGGTGGGTATTTCACTGCCGGAAATGGCACCGGAGGAGAGTGGATCTACGGATCAAAGTTCAGCGACGAGAATTTCGTGAAGAAGCACACCGGCCCCGGGAATTCCCAACATTGCAGCTATACCAAATAACTATTGATGTGACTATACAGTATACACTCCTCCATCATCTCCTATTCAGTGCACAGTGTTATAACATATAATAATAAAATAAGAGTTAATATCCAAAATGTTTTCTACAATAATAGTTTTTCTCAATTTCATTCTAAAGGATTTCGGTGACTTAATGTAGTCCAGACTTTTGTGCTTTTGTTCAATTTAATCCTCTGTGGAGGATTAAATTGAACAAAAATACAAAACTTTGACATTACATTAGGTCACTAAAGCCGTTTAGGACGAAATTGAGAAAAATCGGGAACATTTTTTATATCAACTCAATAAAATTATTACCACTTTTAGTAAAGACTCAATAAGCAAAACCCGGTGATTTACGGTAAACAATATTTAAAATAAAAAAAAAAAGTCACTAATTTAAAATTACAATTATTGCTCTTATGAATTATTGATACATTGGACCATTGAATTATACACGAAAATACAATTTGGTTATTGAACTCAAAAGACATGCAATTAAGTCCATATAAATTCTCACTTTTTATTTCTTACAAATATAATATGTTTTAATTAATTTAACAAAAGAAAAAGTGAGTCACAGTTTTCATTTAATTATTTTTTTGTCTAATAAAATTTAAACATAAGACATAAATTATATCGTATGAGAGTAAATATATCAGTTTTTAAATTAGTATGGCAGGATGGGTAAGGCCAGTAGTTAAGCTGTTTGACACTTTGACCCTAAGGCATATAGTTTCCAATTAATGAAAGCACCTACTAAATAGGTTTACAGATTGAAAATATACAGTTGAACACATTTATTAAGAAGTTAATTACCGTTATTGATTGATTGATTACATGTATATTTAATTGATCTCCCCATAAGTTAGTGTCTTAGAGGGTGTTTGTCATTTTTGGATGACAGATTGAGTGTTGCATTTACACGTAATTGTATGTACAAACATTCATCATTTAACATCTATCACCTATTACTTGTTCATGTGTATGCATATATACGAATATGAGTTAAGTATATGAAAATTGATTACACACAAATCAATTAGTTGTGCGCATTCAATTTTTTAATGTGAAAGCTTGTAGTCACTATCTGAATGAGTGAAACACGTCTTGTGATCCTAACATATCGCTGGAAATAAACCAATCTAGATTGTTTATAGTTGTGTGCTGATTTAATCCTAAATAATTACAAACACGTTCAAGTAACAAAGTAGTGGAGAAATCACTCAAATCAGCCAGCGTCATTTAGTCATGATCACGGTTCGATTTGAACCGTGCCTTGTTGGACCCAGGATCGGAACCGTCGAACCGTGAAATTTAAAAAATAAAATAAAAATTCAAGTAAAGGCCCTGCGACTCCATCCTCCCGCTGGTGACTGACCCTCTAATGGAGGGTTGAGCCGGCGGTGCCATTAGTAGACTCCATCTTCTGGTTGTTTTAGGAATAAGCGTTATATCTTAGATTATCTCCGATCGTTTTTTCAGAGAAGGCGTCAGAGAGACTCTCCAGATCAGACATGTTTTCTATCATCTTTTTCATTTATTTTGTTATCTTTTGGTTCTACGTTATCCCTTTGTTCCTTTGACTAGTTTATTTTCGTCTCTCTGGCGAGTGTTTCCCTCTCGTTTCTTTGGCGAGTTCTCCCTATAAGCGTGGAATGATAAAATGGTCACATCAGAGTTAGGCTTGGCTATGTTTGACCAGATCTGTGAAGAAGCACCGAGTTCATTCAACAACTTCGACTTCAAATTTATAAAATAGTCCGCGCTTCAAATTTTATATAACATTGCTAGAAAATTTGTCTCTATGTCTGACTGTAAAGAATGCACTATCATTCTAACGATTTGTATTGTAAACATTTATGTTTATGATTAAAGAATTAGCTTTTGATTTTCAAAAAATAAAAATAAAAATTCAAACTTCATATTTTAATTATTTCAAAAGCCGCCAAAGCCAACTGGCCATTTTTGGCAATTTGGTATCTTAAAAATAAAATGGCCAGTAGGCCACTAGGCCAGTGGCCTACTGGCCACTTTGGCCAGTTTGCCTGGCGCAAAGGTCAGGCTCCTGCTTCCATCAGTTCCATGGCATTTGCGACTAGTCTTTGTTGGCGTGCAGTAGCCAACAAAGACTAGCGCAAAGACTTAGCAGCCAACAAACATAACGTACAATATTTTTAAAAAATATCACTGTAAGAACCGAGCAATTTAAATTGAAACCTTAAAGGGACCGTTTACTAACTGAAAATTTCTGAAAATTTTTGAAAACTGAAAAATAGAAAACAAAAAACATGTTTACTAACACTGTTTCTATTTTTCAAAACTGAAAATAATTTCTGGGAATTTTTAAAAAATTGAAACACACTTAAAAACTATTTTCGAAATGGAAAACATAATCATATATCATCTATTATATGTCACTATAACCACATTAGTATGATTACATTCATTATCATCTTATTTTACTTATCACTATCTTCTATCTTTTCTACTTACTTTATTTATTTAAACATAATTTATTTGCTTACACTTTAAAGTTAGACATTATTTACATTATCAAAATTAAGAATTAAATTCTATATAATGTTTTAGATTTTGATTGAACTCAATAGATTATTAGTTCGAATATTTTTAATTATGTTATATCATAATACAAATTCGATCCTATCGGATATTGAAATCTCACATATATTAAAATTCAAAGTAAAAGTTATATATTCATATACATTTCATTCAAATGAATATATCTAAAAAAGAGAACATTTTTCTAGTAGTAAACGACCCCTTATATTTTTATTAAGGTTTTGATTCCGATTCGTTTATTTTCAGAATCGAAATTGGAATCAAAACCGTGGTCATATTTAGTGTCACTCACGGAGATTAGACCTTTGCAACTGCTGCTGGTGAGACTCGATCCCTGATCATTCTTCTAAAGCTTCACCTCTATAACCAGTTGATGAGCTGCCCATGTGGGACAATTATTCTCCTTCATGGGCACATGCATGGACGCGTTTTAGGTTATTATTATTATTATTATTATTATTATTATTATTATTATTATTATTATTAACCGATTTGTGTCTATTATTAAATTATAAACCTTGAACCCTCGTCAATAGTTGATAATATAAAAAATAAAATATAAATTGTCATTTGTGTTCTATTAATCTTAATTAACCTTTTAGAATATTTAATACAATAATGTATTTTATCACCGTAAAACTAATCTGAATCTAATTTGGGTAGTGTTCAAAGGGTTTCATTGACCTAATATCATTTACATAGTGTTTAAATATATTTGTAGTCTAACGATTCGGAAAGTGTTTAAATATATCTGTAGTCTAACGATTATTCGAACGCTGTTGGGGGAACCTAACATCGTAATAGCGGAAGTAGAATACTAGAATGCAGAATCAGTACGTATTAATCTCCGACCATAGTTGATATGATCTCGTGTTGTGTTGTCTGACTTGCAGACCGAATAATGTTAGTGGTTTTGACTCAGAATCCTAAATTATGTATTGGTATTTCTGAGCCGCATGAGTAGAGTAAACTGAAGATGCTATATAATGTATATCTGCACAAGGGTGGAGTCAGGATTTGTTAGTGCAGGGGGCCAACCATTACAATGTATTTCATTTCCCTTAGCAGTAAATGCATAGTATTCTAAAAGATGAGTTAGCTCCCATTTAACTACAATATGTAGACTTTTTGTTGTGCGTGAGGACGTACAAATTCATCTCAAATAATTCAATAAAGAGTAATTTATAAAAATCAAAAATCAAAAATCAAAAATCAAAACTTTAAAACTTTATAGAATGTGACTTAGCCTAGTTGGCAGAGCGCATGGTTGGCTTAAAGGTAGGCCAGGGTTCGAATCTGTGGTTGAGCGTATGGTTTGTTTTAAATTTTTCCTCAAAAAAAAAAAAAGAAGAAATAAAAAATTACCTTGGAAGCTACTTTGAAACTCTGGTACTCTGGAAGCTTTTGAATGGGGCCAAAAAAACATTATAATAGTAATAAAACAAATTTTGTTTTTGGATGGAATAGAGTGAGGGTCAAAAAAATATTATAATATTAATAAAATAAATATATTTTTTGGGGGGTGCCAAGGCCCTACAACCTCAAGATGTCAAGATGACTTCGCCCGGGTATCTACATTCATCAATAAGTTTTATATATATTAGACACATAATTTACTTGACTAATAATTATATTTTTAATTATTCAGTTCAACGAAATTATATTACTTAATAAACCTAGTAAAGCATCACTTAATTTAAGTCTCTAATATATAATAATATATATTATATTAGAAAATCTTAGATACCAAAATTTTCCCCGTATGATATATTTATATTAACCATTCGCATATATACCAATCATCTCAATCAAGCATGGGGCCGGTTAAAGTAGCCAAAAATTAACGTGGTGAAGTTGAATGGTGAGACTACTCGGGCAATAATGTGTGTCGGCGAGGGTTTCTTAGCTAGCTTCCATTATAAATAATATCCAAGCTAAGGGCTTGTGATACCAGTCACCAAATTAAAGCCAAGCTAATAAGCTAAAGATCCTATTGTATAGATCAGATCATCGTAACAATGGGGCTCAAGTCCCTTTGTCGCCGCGGAATCCTTCTGGGATTTCTGCTGTCTTTATTCCTAGTTGTGAGTTTCTGCTACGCTGATGATAAGACAGTCCAGGTTGTTGGATTCGGAGAATGTGGTGATTGCAAGGAGAACAACATTCAGACTACTCAAGCTTTTTCTGGTACATATCTATATCTATATTTTGTCTGATCTGTTAGTTTTAACAACACTACGTACATAACAGAAAAACATATATATATATATATATATATATATATATATATATATATATGGTTGCAGAGCTTAGGGTGAGCATTGAGTGCAAGCTGGAGAATGGGGAGATGCGGACGAGAGGAATGGGGAAGTTGGATAAAGACGGCAAGTTTGAAGTGTCGTTGCCGGCGGAGATTGTGAAACACGGCGGCGGAGGATTGAAGGAGGAGTGTTATGCTCAGCTCCACACTGCACCGTGTCCTGCCCTACATAACGCCATTGAAGCTTCCAAGATTGTTAAAACAAGTAGTGGAAAGCAGCAGGGATTTGAAGCCGCCGGGAAACTCAAATTCTCGGCAGCCATTTGCACTTCATCAGCTATCAAATTCCCACCCCTACCCTTTAAGAAAAAACTTCCCCCACTTCCCCCACTTCCCAAATACAAATCCAAGCCTAGGCGATATCCACATCCACCTCCACCTCCCGCGTACAAGCCAAAACCAAATTAAAGCCACCAGTTTACAAACCTCCCACTCCCATCTATATATAACCCAAACACATTTCCACGCGTTCCCATTTACAAGCCCTTTCCAAACCTACCCATTATTTAAGCCGCTTCAATTCCCTTCCACAAATAAGCCAAAGTCACCGGTTTATATTCCTCCCTTCAAGAAACTAACCATGCCCACCCCCTGGCTAGCTAGGCTCTATATGCTGTGATTCAACTTCATCGAAAATTTCATCTTGCATGCACAATAAAAGCAAAGTAGCGTAAGAAGATTATATTAAAGATGCAGCTATGTTAATTAGTGCATGGATCGGAGTGCAACTTTCTACTTATTTGCATGTGTTTGTTGGATTCAAATTCAACCCTCTTCTTGGTTAATTTGCTAAGCTAGTTTGCTTGTCATTTCAATCAAAGCTTGTAATAATAAGTTTCTATGCCACTAGGCATATATTATTGTGACTAAATGTGATAATTTGATTAAGTTGTTTAATTTGTTCATTATTATTATCTCATCTTTCAACCTTTTAATTGGACGAGTCCCTACAAGTTAAATTAGAATCCTTAAATTTCAACTTTGATCAGCTCAATAAAGTGAATAAAAGCTTTAGATTAGCTAGATAACATTTTCTTTTATGAATACTAGTATTTTCGCTGGTGCGATGCACGGGATGGATTTGTTATAATATATTAAAAATATTTGGTTTGATATATAATTATTTAAATTAGAACATCAAATATTATATAGTGCAATTGAAGATATGGTTTGGATTATTTATGTGTTTTGATGTTATCATTGTTTGAATTTGAGCAAATAATTGCTCAAATTAATAGCTAATGTGTAGATGTACGCATGCGGTGCTGTAACTTTTGAGATTTTATTTATCACACTGTTTAGTATTTTTTTTTTTATAAATTAGGCAAATGCGTTCGTTCTCTAGCAACTCAGTTATAGGAATGAATTGCTATCTTAATTCATTTGTGTGGAATATATATTTTTTTGTCTAGATATATTGCAATTTTATCATTTAAAAAAACATAATATCAACGATTGTATTTACACATTATTGAAACCTCTTTGTAGACGACATTGGTAGTAGCAACGCAATCCTGTCCATCATCGTATAGAGCTAACACCTTCAATCCATCAGAATTGGTGACTCGGGTGAAAATATATAATGTAGAGTATTAGTCAATTAACGATCCTTTTATATTTTAAGTCAATTAGTAATATCAAATTCATTTCAACAAATTATTCTTTTATATTTTTAGTCAATTATAATATCATATGCAGTGATATTTTTACATAATTTTCGTTTAATTTTTAATTGATGATATATATATTATTATTGAAATATTTCCGTTTCATTTTTAATTTATCTTTAATATTATTTAAAATATGCATTTACTATTTATGATGTAGAATTATTATTGAAATATTTCCGTCAAATTTTAGTTTTCGTTCTATTTTTAATTAAAATGCAATGATCTAACCATTTATTTGTTACCAAGACTATGTGGTCTAATGGTACCCGGGTTGGACTTCCATTTGGAAGGTTGCAAGTTTGAGCCTCAGTGGAGGCGTTATTGGTTCTTTGTATTTCAGTAGGTTGAGAAAGTATCTGTTCAGATACTACATTGTAATAGGGCCAAAGTATCTGTTCAGATACTACATTGTAATAGGGCCAGTAACATTCAAAAAAAAATCATTTATTTTTTTCATATTAATCAATTATGAATCATTTTTTTTATGTGCAGTCAACTATTAATATTCATTTCTTTTTATATTTCCAGTCAATTTTTTATCGTGAAACATGCACTCTCTAGATTTTATGTAATCACTCCCCTTTCTCTATGGAACTTCATATAAGTGCGCACCAATTGCAGTCTAATAGCTCTGCAAGTCTTCAAATGGAGAAATATCCTGGGCAAGTATAAACATTAGAGTTGGAAACAATTTTATGTTAGTATACATATCTATATCTTTATATATAATTATACTCAACATAAATAAATGAATAAATGAATATAAGGAAAAATATTACCAATTAGGCTAATACGTGAATATGGAAACAATATTATCAATTAATAAATTTTAATTAATTTCTATTTTACATTTGGTTACCAAATAAGTTTTACTACAAAAGTTTGGACGAGAAAATGAAATAGGAGGATTTTACTTTTATATATATATATATATATATATATATATATATATATATATATATATTAAAACGTTAACTTAATTTAATGAATGATTGGATTTTAATTTAAATTATTATTTTAATAACAAACACTTTAATCAAATTTTTTGTAAATCAATCAATTTAAAATACTCTCTCGACCCAACGATTATTATATGTTTTGACTTAGAACCACAATTTATATTCTAAAAATTCACCATTCTAATACTAAAAATACATAATTTATACGTCATTTAGAACCATGTCTACATTGGTCCATGGTATAACAACTCTGCTTATGGTTATAGCAAAGTTAATGAGAATTCTCATATTTAAAAAAAAAAAAAAAAACAGAAAAAAAAACAAACAAAGTTAATGAGAAATTTTTCCAAAGCCCATGCCAAATATAATGGGCTATAATTTATTTGTAGCATGGATAAAATATATGGGCCTGGATCTTACCAAATACCATATTGGACATGGCTGCTGTCGGCCCAATTGATCGACAGCTACCCACGGTGAAATTTGAAGCTACCTGCAACACGTGTCGCTTCTATATGGCACTTCCCTAAATAAAGTCCCGTTCATGGCCTAAGCACAAGGATCTATTAACAATTTGAGAGCATTTCGTGTTGGTGAGAAAATTTCATGGCCAATCCTAAAGTTTTCTTTGATGTCACCGTCGGCGGCCAGCCGACCGGCCGTATAGTGATGGAGTTGTTTGCCGACACGACTCCGAAGACGGCTGAGAACTTCCGCGCTCTCTGCACCGGGGAGAAAGGCGTTGGGAAGTCAGGCAAGCCGTTGCACTACAAGGGATCCACATTCCACCGTGTGATCCCCAATTTCATGTGCCAGGGCGGTGATTTCACCGCCGGAAACGGCACCGGAGGAGAGTCGATCTACGGATCGAAGTTCAGCGACGAGAATTTCGTGAAGAAGCACACCGGCCCCGGGATCCTGTCCATGGCCAATGCCGGCCCCAACACCAACGGTTCTCAGTTCTTCATATGCACGGCGAAGACGGAGTGGCTGGACGGAAAGCACGTGGTGTTCGGACAGGTGGTTGAGGGTTTGGACGTGGTGAAGAAGGTGGAGATGGTTGGATCCGGCTCCGGAAAGTGCTCGAAGCCGGTTGCGATCGCTGATTGTGGCCAACTTTCCTAATCCCGTGGTGATCTAGTTGAATCACGACTCTCTAAAAATTTTAATGTTATCTTTTTTTCATTGTCTTCCTCAATTTCAGGTCTGTGATTGCCTGATTGGTGGAATGGTGGTTTCATAGCCACCAAATAAATGAATTACAATAAGTTTGATGAGTCTGTTCATTTACTATCAAGTTTATTACGTATTTCTTTAAAGAGTTTAATTAAATGGGCATTCAAGTCCATCTGTGGCGGAATCCTTCAGGGATTTCTGCTATGCTAACAGGTTTCTGGATTTGGAGAATGTGCTGATCGCTACAGTATCACTATTCACTACCGAGTTAGACCAGACGATGAGAAATTTCGTATTTTGAAGACGAGAGGATGAGGGATTTCGTTTTGAGGATATGAGTCCTCAGGACGAGAAACTTATCTTTTGAGGCTGAAATCAATCAGTAAATTGCTCCAAACCCACTTAGTCTCGGTCCTTTAGAGTTAATGCAAAGACAATTAACCGCCACGCCCATAATCAGCTCCCTACGCATCAAATACCAATGGCAAATTATACCATGAACCAATGTCTACTTTGTATTGGAGATTTTGGTTTAAAAGTAATCTTCAGATTTATATCTATAATTATCATATTATATGTCAGCATTTATCAAATTTTTTATGAACCCTAGTCTATGATATAACAATTGAATACCAATTGGATAAGCTTGAAATTATTAATGCAAAGATCAAATATGGGCTAGAAGGACCAGGCCTTACCAAATGCCATTATAGGGTGGGCTTTGTCGACCTCGGCCCAAATTGTCTTCAGCTAACCATGGTGAAATTTTAACCTAATACAGACCATGGTCACTTTAACCATAGTGCTTTCACTTTCTAGATTCAACAAGACGACACGTGTATTTCTATACGGCCAGGATTAGCTTCCAGGACATTATCCATTCTGGCGCCTCCCTATATAAAGTGCCGTTCATGGCATAAACCCTAATCACAACGACTTCTACACACAACACAATTTGAGTGCATTTCGTGTTGGTGAGAAAATATCATGGGCAATCCTAGAGTTTTCTTTGATATCACCGTCGGCGGCCAGCCCACCGGCCGTATTGTGATGGAGTTGTTTGCCGATACGACTCCCCAGACCGCCGAGAACTTCCGTGCTCTCTGCACTGGTGAAAAGGGCGTTGGAAAGTCCGGCAAGCCCTTGCACTACAAGGGCTCCACCTTCCACCGTGTGATCCCCAACTTCATGTGCCAGGGCGGTGATTTCACCGCCGGAAACGGCACTGGAGGTGAGTCGATCTACGGATCGAAGTTCAAGGACGAGAATTTCGTGAAGAAGCACACCGGCCCTGGCATCCTGTCCATGGCCAATGCCGGCCCCAACACCAACGGCTCTCAGTTCTTCATCTGCACGGCGAAGACCGAATGGCTGGACGGCAAGCACGTGGTGTTCGGCCAGGTGGTTGAAGGTTTGGACGTGGTGAAGAAGGTGGAGCAGGTTGGATCCGGCTCCGGGAGGTGCTCAAAGCCGGTGGTTATCGCCGACTGTGGTCAACTCTCTTAAATCTGATGATTAACCCTTAATCCCGTGATTATCTGGCTGAATCACGCTATCTAGTATTAAAAACCTTTTTATCTTCCCTTCTGATTTGAATGTACTGTGTGTGGTTGGAAAGTATTGTGTACGGATTATGGTTTCAGGTCTTCCATCGCCTGATTACTGAACCGTCAAAATAAATTACTTCACTTATCATAATTTTCGCATCCTCTTATCATTACTGTTACTTCTGATCTTCTAATCCGCTAATCCAAATCATCAAATTCGAGTATTAGAGATTAATTTAAAGCTGTAAAGCTGTATATGCATTTGACAATGACCATGAAATTGCTTGAAGAGAACGCGACGAATATTCGCCGTAGGATGCCCAGAGTCAATACCAGGGACCCGGGAGGGACCCACCAAACCTGATTCTATAGATCTTTTCCTGTATGAAAATATGAATGGTGTCTGTTGTGTGGAAAAATATGTTTTATTTTTTTATTTTTTAATATAAAAGGAGAAATTTCAGATCAAAAGATTAAAAATTTATTAAATTAAATGTCATAATCTTGTTACTACTCGTGTTAGATTGGGAAGTGCTCCGGATGTGTTTCACTGTTTCTGCTCATTATATTGTCATGTCCCCCAAACTTTTTTTCCTTCATTTGTAAACTAATAATCTATCAATATATCTTGGAAATTGGAATAAGTGAGTGATGGTGGATTGGTGGGTGTTTTTAATAAATAAAACTTATACACACTATTGTTAGAACCTTTTGGGAGATGAAGAATGGTCACACTCATATTTTCTTATTTTGTTATGGGAATATTTGTGAGAGGAAAAGGTTTCCATCAATAAGAAAGTACTATATACATAATACAGTAGCTTATCAATAATGTGCTTTGTTGAACACATCTTTGATTTGACAAAATTAGCTTCTTCCATTTTAAATCCCAAAGGATATTTATCTATAATTGCTCCATTATAGAATATGTTCCTAATACTAATTAATTCGTGTTATATTGTTCAAGAATCTGTTCAATGGTGGGCACTAAAAGGAGTAAAGATATGCCCAAAGCATAAGTTCTGTATTGTTGATATATATACTTTGTATATTTTTTGATCAAGTTTTGACCGGTATAAATTTTAAAAATAGAATGTTAGTGTAGTACATGAGAAGTTATATTTAATACAAAATACTTATTTTGGTGAAATTCGATTTCTGTCACAACCATTAAAATTAAAATTTGGATTGATCGATTCGATTCTTGTGAACATATAAATAAAAGTATATAATTTTGTGATGAGGCTTGAAAAGCATTGCAGATTATTTGTGTGATGGTACTTCTCGAGCTCCGTGCATTGCAACTTTATTGGCGTATTGGACTTTTTTTTGTTAATGGATTTCTTTTCCTTTTATTCCACAAGCATAATACATTGAACCAGACTAGATGCAACAAACACAGCGTACCATTTTTACAGCTTTCCCAATTATTATATGTTCTACCATATAGGGATACATATAAGGAATCTCCTTCAAATGCTAGGGGCTGAACTTGGTCTATAAAATATAAAAAACGCAATCAATTTACTCAACTTATGGGCTTGGTCCATCTCAATTGGGCTATTCAAGCTTTAACAACTTGGTCTATAAAATATAAAAAATGCAATCAATTTACTCAACTTATGGGCTTGGTCCATCTGAATTGGGATATTCAAGCTTTAACTAAACAATTCAAATACGTTACTAGAGTCTTTTCTTTTTTATACTTAAAAAAAAAAAAAGGAGTAATAAGTTTTTTTTTTTTTTCTGAATCAAGGGGAGGGGGGAAACCCGAAAGATAAAACACTACTAAAAACCACGTTGCCTAGACACTCCCATGGAATCATCCAAGAGCGCCTGAAGAATCGCGGCCTCCGGTTAAGCCATCACACTTAATCCTTGAGGGCCACCCAAAGCTTCCTTTGCCAGCCAGTCTGCCACAACATTCTGTTTCCGATGGACATGTTCCACACGCACAACCCAACCCTTTTGAAGCCACCTCTTGCAATCACTAATAATGTTAGGCACATTCCCATTTGGGAGATCACGTGCATCTCTTCCCGTAATCCAGTCCATCGCTTTCTTGGCATCGCTTTCAATCACAACCCTCCTAAGTCCTAACCTCATGGTCCCATGCGAGTTCTAGACCTTTGAGGATACCCCAGACTTCCGCCTTTACAGTCGAGCCATCCCCGATGTTGCACTTGAACCCCCACATCCATTCCCCGACACAGTTGTGCCAAAGGCTAATAAGTTATGACAAAAAAAGTATGATTGACCCATGTAATATAACAGAAATATCATTAATGGTTTGCAATTTTGTTTCTTTGTTTGGTTTTGATGGACAATATGCAACTTTCACAAAACTCAAACTTAGAACGTTGTAGTTACTAAATCAACTACCAACTAGAGTTGTCCTTAATTAAACTGTAAATAAGGACCAATACCCTTAATTTATAGAATATGAAACTTTTGCTTCAATAAACAATACTCATTATGTCTCATTTTACTTGTATTGTTTACTATTCATTGATCAAATCAACTATTTTTTTATTGCTTATTTTGTGAGTATATGTGTACGAAAATAAGAAAAAAAAAAAAAGGTTCAGTAACACGTATAACAGGACAAATAAACTAACGGTAGTGGTGACTTGGAATGACATTTCATGTGCTGTCTTATAAGATGGTTATCTTATTGTCAAAACTCGAAAGGGTTATGGTTTTCAACGTACCTCATTATTTTGTCTGGCATGTTGGACAGCTGGTTTGATCGTTTCTGTAAATATCTGTCATTTGCTAAACTTCACCAATAATACTGTAAAAGAAAAAAAAAAAAAAAAAAAAAAAGGAAAATGGGAGGGAGTACTGTTTTTAATTTTTAATATCTTTTTGGTAAGTCGGACTCTATTTTCGGAATTTTTTTTTTTGTCAATATTGTACACGTGATAATAGAATTATCTTATTTTCGTACGGCGGGTGATGAAATGTCAAAAGCAAAATCAATGGCGTCGTTAAAACGTTAACGGAGAAAATTGCGAGTGTGAGTCACCGCGAATCAAAGAAACCCGCGTGGTCTGTATAATAATAAAACAGGCGGGCGGAGTCTCCGATTAGACGAAGACGGCGACGACGATTCTGCGGGGAGATTGTGGAGCTCTCTCTCAAACGATCAATCTTTAATCTTCTCTTCATCGTTACAGATTGATCATTTTAGATCTCCCGCGCTCCCCCCGCCGATCTCACGTCGTTAATTTCTGCACTTGCTTTGAAGTTTCAATTTGTCCTGTAAATTTTTATTTATTTTTACTTTCACTTCCTATGTAAAAATTGGCCTCCTCGTAGTTCGAGTGCGTTTGGCGGGAAATCAATATTTGTCATTGTCTTAGATTTTCGTCGTTTTGGGAGGTTTATTAAGTTTGAAAATCGCAACACTAGCAATTATTGTGTATTTGTATATGCATTGAGGCCTTGAGGGTGTATAGAAAAACGGACAGGGGATTTGGGAGTGATGGCGGTTTCCGACAACGCGAGAGGGCTAATTCTGGCAATGTTGTCAAGCTTGTTTATCGGGACGAGCTTTATCTTGAAGAAGAAGGGGCTGAAGCGTGCTGCCGCCGGCGGTACTCGAGCAGGTCCGAGTTGAATCTCATCTTTTTCTTTAATAAAAATTCCTTCTTGATTGATTTTTATCTACTTTCTTTTGGGCTTGACTGGTTTATCTCTTTGAATTGAGCTATTTTTGTTTCCCCCTTCCAAATATTTGCTGCAGGTGTTGGGGGCTATTCTTACTTGCAAGAACCTCTTTGGTGGGCTGGCATGATTACTAGTAAGTAGAGCATGAGCTATAGCCCTTCTTGTATCTCCTTTTAAAGAAAGTGAAAGGATTTATGATGGTTCTGGTGTTTAATTTGGTACAACATTTTGACATGTAGTGATTGTTGGAGAAGTTGCAAACTTTGTGGCTTATGTTTATGCCCCAGCAGTTCTTGTGACCCCCCTTGGTGCATTGAGTATAATAGTCAGGTAAACATCTGATATCTATGACCTCTGTAAACTTTGGATGATGTTTATGAAGAAACTAATAACCATATTGATGGATCCAAACAGTGCTGTTTTGGCACACTTTATGTTGAAAGAACGACTACGGAAACTATGCATGCTGGGTTGTGCTTCGTGTATTGTAGGGTCTGTGGTAATTGTAATACATGCTCCTCAGGAGCGTGTGCCAACTTCTATTCAAGAAATCTGGAATTTGGCAACTCAACCAGGTTATCACCATCTGTCTTCTACACCTATCTGGTTGCAATTGTTAAGCCATATGTTGTTACTGATGTTACCCCTGTTGCTTCTTTCAACAGCATTTTTAATTTATGTAGCAGCAACATTATTGATTGTGCTGGCATTGATATTGCATTTCGAGGCTCAGTATGGGCAGACAAACTTACTGGTTTACTTGGGTATTTGTTCCTTAATGGGTTCATTGACGGTAACTGTTTGTGACTTTGTTCCTTAATGAGTTCGATCACTTAAATTGTTTGGTTCTTCTTGGGGGCTTAATTGGTGTATACTTTCCATGCTTGCGTGCAGGTTGTGAGCATAAAAGCCATTGGAATTGCAATAAAACTTACTCTAGAGGGAATAAGTCAAATTGCATATCCACAAACATGGTTTTTTCTCATGGTTACAGTGATATGTGCAATCACACAGTTGAATTACCTAAACAAGGTACTGTTACTAGTCATGGCGTTCTATTTCTGTGGTTTTTTGGTTTCTAAGGAGTTCTTGACTCTGTTTTACCAATCATTTGAGTTACTTTCTTTCTATTGCTAAGATTTCCCCAACTTCATGAACCTTTGAATTGCAATATTGTGCTTGGTAATTTCATACATTCCTGGACCACACTGATATATATAATGCAACATTTCTGTAGGCACTTGATACATTCAATACAGCAATTGTTTCTCCAGTATATTATGTATTGTTCACCACCCTTACCATTGTTGCGAGCGCAATAATGTTCAAGGTATTTAGTGTTTTGCAGTTTTTCAAAATTATGGTTCCAGGGCAACTCAAATTAATACCCATCCATCCTTTTTAAACTTTCCACAGGACTGGGCAGAACAAGATGCTAGCAGCATAGCATCTGAGATATGTGGATTTGTGACTGTACTTTCTGGAACCATTATACTTCACGTTGCTAGAGAACAGGAACCAACAAATCCTCCGGGTATGACAACTAAATCTGTTTTATCTATTTGACTATTCCAATAAACAAACACATATATGTTATGGAGTATTTGCCATAAAAAATCCCTTCCTTATGCAACTTTGTTTCATGTCAAGTTACTCTTTAAGTTTAGCTTAGACAATATATATAATTGATAAATGCAGGAACCATAATTTGGTATGATGAAGAACAGATAAAAGATATGGAGGATGCACATTATATTACATTGCAGAGTTCAGAGTATTTCACATGATTTTATAATGTACAGAGATGGTTGTGATTTATGAGAGTCTCATTCCCAGCAGTACAATATGTCCAAACTGACTTCATTTGCAGCTTCACTGGAATAGAATTCCTAATTTTTGCTAAGCAAGTACTTACACTTGCCAGTTCTTCATTCTGGGTTGAACAAGTTGCTGAGGTCTACATAGGGAGAAATGTGGTTTGATCAATTCGATGTGCATTATCCGAAGAAATCTTGATCTGTTGGCACATGAACTTGTGGATACTGCATCCGTTTGAGGTTTGTTTAGATAAGCCTGGTTCTTCTATGCTCTTTTGATTTTGAATTCTTTGGTGTAAAATTTTGTCCAACCTGAGTTTATACTGTAAAAATGGCAGTCATTTTCTTGACCCTTGCTTATACGGTTCAATATTGAAGATGGAACTCTTGTTTAGAATCTGGTTCAACTAAAAATATTTCCAACTGAAAGCTTAAGCTGTTCGTTACAGTATAAACTGCTCCAGGGTGGATATATTGTTAAAATGCTTGGTGTATTTGAAGAAAAAGAAGTGCATTGTTCTCTTATAACAATGCGCCATGCTGTTTACGCTTACCAATTATCCCAACTGTTGAGTTTATTATGACACAAAATTTTGGATTTAATTTGAAATTATTATTTGCTCCATATTTACTACTCATAAATTATTTTTTTAATAATACCAAACGTATGCATTGATCAATATTATTTTGTGTATACCAGCATCCTCAATAGTTGTAGACTTTGATGAGTTTTTGCAGGTGTAATTATATGGGTGATAAAGTATAAATAAGTCACTGAATTACTTGGGAAACAGTAATTAAGCCATCGAACTCAAATAATCTCCAAATAAGCCATTGAACCCGGCAAAAAAAAAAAACAATTAACACTTTTAACAGGTTAATTTCAGGTTTTTGCTTACTGAATTGCCAAATGTTTATTTTATTTATGTTTTTTTTATTATAATCTACCTACCTAGTAATATATTTTAAGTAATTATAGTCAAAATAATTGTCTTGTCTAGTTTCTAATTTATTTATTGAGTTAATACCCAAAATCGTCCTCGACTATAGTGGTTTTTCTCAATTTTGTCCTAAACGACTTTGGTGACCTAATATCGTCCCAGACTTTTATGTTTCGCTCAATTTTGTCCCATACTTTTGTGTTTTTGCTCAATTTAGTCCCTCATTTGTTATTCTATCCATTTGGTGTTAAATGAATAGACAATTAAGTAATTTTAATATTGGCATCTCTTTACTCATAAACATGTGAACTGCGAAATCCATTTTTTTTTTTTACAAATTAGTCCCAGAATTACTCCTAAAACTGCGAATATAAAATTTGATTTGCAGGTCCGGGAGTAATTCTGGGTGTAATTCGTACAAGAAAGAGGAATTTCCCACTTCACAAGTTGAAAGTAAAGAGAGATCAATATTGACATTATTGAATTGTCCCTAAATTTAACACCAATTTGACGGAATAACAAATAGAGGACTAAATTGAGCGAACACACAAAAGTCTGGGACGATATTAGGTCACCAAAGTCGTTTAGGATGAAATTGAGAAAAACCACTATAGTCGAGGATGATTTTGGGTATTAACTCTTTATTTATTATTTTTAAAACAGAAGATCCTGTAAAAAATAATAATAAATAAATAAATCAAATCTTGACAAGACAAAACTATTTTGATTATAATTACTTTAAAATGTATTACTATGTAGGGTTATAATAAAAAAATGTAAATAAAATAAACATTTGACAATTTAGTCAGCAAAAATTTGGAGTAGTGGGTTATTTGAGTTGGATGGCTTAATTGTTATTTTTCAAATAGTTCAATGATTTATTTGTACTTTATCCCTTAGAAGAAAAAGATGGGAGGGAAGGGAAAAACGGGGAAAAAAAAATAGCAAAAAACAATTTGAAAAAAAAAATAGTTAGAGTAACACACTCGGGCGCTAGTTTTGCGTCTCACGCGACACTGTCTTTGCTTTGTTTATTTCTTGGTAGGTCTTACTACGGAGACAAAAATTATATCTTTATCTAATGAAAAAGTACCAAAAAAACTTTTCTTCTATTTGTTGAAAAATCATGTTTAAATTTTTACTTTCTAATATGCAAAAAAAATCATGTTTAAATTTTTACTTTCTAATATGCAAAACTTCATCAACAATTACTATTGTGGTTATCCTAATCTTAATAAGAGAAAAATTTTGTTCAATGTTTTGTGTATTAGTTACGAGTTTTCCTAATTATTTAAAGATAAAGAAAAGAATATAGTAAGTATTTGACGGATACGCAACCTAATAAAACAACTTACATCCAATCCCAATAGGAATATGATAGATATATTTCCGTTTCACACGCACCGTAGGATTATTGATCATATCGGACATGTTATATAACTGACGAAACCGATCTCTTAGCGTTACGCAAAAATCCTAAGAGATTGGCAGAGAAGAACTCCTAAGAGCATGGCGGCAACTGTGAGCGTGTGGGGAAAGCCGGGAGCTTGGGCCTTGGATTCTGAGGAGAATGAATCCCAGCTTAAGCAGCAGTCAGTTAACGACGACACCCAATCTAAAGGTAGCGGCGGCGGCGCTGCGGCGGCGCTTTCCGATTTCCCTTCACTGGCTACCGCCGCCGCCGCCAAGACTAAGAAGAAGAAGCCGCAAACCTTGTCTTTGCAGGAGTTTTCCACTTACGGCTCTGCTAAGCAGGTTCAGTCCGTAGGCCTCACACCTGATGAGATGGTTTCTCTTCCGACTGGCCCTCGCGAACGAACTGCTGAGGAGCTCGACCGCTCTAGGCTCGGTGGTGGGTTTAAATCGTACGGTTCTTCGTACGACAGGCCGGCTCGGGGCTCGTCGGACGAGTCTGGCCGGCGAGGCGGGTTCGGTAGGGACTCCAGTCGTGAATTTACCCCTTCTCGCGCTGACGAGACCGATGACTGGGGAGCATCCAAGAAATTTACACCCGGAAACGGTTTTGAGAGAAGGGAAAGAGGGGAGAGGGGAGGGTTTTTCTCTGATTCGAATTCCCGCGCTGACGGGTCCGATAATTGGGCGGCGAATAAATCCTTCGTCCCGTCCGAGGGTCGGAGGATTGAGAGGAGAGTCGGGTTTGAATCAAGCGGCGGCGGTGCTGATTCAGATAATTGGACAAAGAGGAAGGAAGATGAAGGACGGAAATTCGGTGCATTTGATAGTTTAAGAGAGAAAAGAATGAATAATGTTTCAGAACCCGAGGCTTGGGGGAGAAAGAGAGATGACAGTAATGGCAGACCAAGGCTAAATTTGCAGCCCAGGACAATTCCCATAGGTGAAGGGCAGCAGAACGACAATGGAACCACAGGGAAGCCAAAGGGGTCGAACCCATTCGGGCAAGCTAGGCCGAGAGAAGAGATTCTGAAGGAGAAGGGGCAAGACTGGAAGGAGATTGATCACAAGCTGGAGTCTTTAAAGATGAAGGAGGCTGGAAAGAAGAGTTCTGGGAGCAGTAAAGAAGGAGCTTCTCCTGAGAAGAGGACAGAAAGGAGTTGGAGGAGGTTTGATATGAATGCTGATACTCATTCCAGGTTGGTGATATAACCTTTCTTTTCATTCTGATTTCTGATTGGTATGGTTAACTGCCTATTCTTTCAATTATTTGCTGCTTTGTGCAATCAATTTGTTGTGATTCTTCTGAATTTCTTCCCCTTATTATTAACTTATAGACTGTGTTCTAGTCCTAATATACATTACAAGTTGGGATAGACTGAATGTGATAATCAGTGTTGAATGCTCTATAAACTAACTTCAGGCTTATTGCTACAAGTTTAAATGATTGCATTTGAGTTAATGAGCTCTGATCATATGTACATTACCTAGAGATATGCATTATAAATTCACTTTGGTCTTTTGCATTATTTATACCTGTGTTTCTATCTGTATAAAAGAGTAGGGGAAAGATGGACTGATATTCCAGCATTTCGAATTCTCATTCTATTTCTTAACAAAGTCATGCCTGAAGAATTTTGATTGTAGTAGTACAAATGTTGTTGCCATTTGTAGGGATGGTATGTTTGAAGAACCCTTGTAGTATCAGCCCAAGGCCTTTTCTCGCTCTTTTGGGTTGTTCCTTGGGGCATAATTTTGGTTTGAACACAACTTTTTGCTCTGAGTATCTATATTCTTAATCTAATAGCTATATTTGCTGTAGAGCTGAGAACACTGTAAATGGATCTTCGGAGGAAGCTGGAGCTGGAGAATGCAAAAGTTACGCTGAAGCTTGCCAACGAGAGAACTAGTGGTGCAGAAAGGGTTTTGAGATGCTAGGCTATGAGACAATACACACTTCTATTTTTGTTAATAATCTGTAAGCTTGTTTAATTTCTTCCATTGTGTAGTGGAAAAAGTGAAGCAATTTTTGTAGACCTACAAAATTAGAACCTTTATCTGATGACTCTGCTTATGTTCTAGTGAATGTGGAGTCGATACAATCATTTGTTATTACAAACAAGAACAAGAATAAAAATGTGTTTAGATTGGTGTCAGCTGCTACTGTTATATTGCAAATTACATTATAGTTTCAGTAATCTTTGAGAGACAAGTCTTTCTTGTTGGATGATATTCCCACAAGAATCAGAACTGTGACAGCTGAGAAGTTATTGCAGATAAAGTGAATCCAACAAGGCAACAACTAAGTTATCTTGTTGTTACATATGTTTTTCACAAAATTCATGCTTTTGAAACACTAAAACTAAAACTACCTTCATCCCTGCATTATCCATCATTATATTAATCATTTATCCTTGACAACAGTGACAAAATACAATGTAGTTGAAGAAGTTACTCCAAAAAAGTAAGAAAAGTGCAACCATCATTATTACACTAAATTATTGTTTTCTCCTCTACTTTAGTGGCCAATTAAGATAGGAGTAAATAAATTTCCATCTTCCGAACTCTCGAGATAGAATAGGGAAAAGGGTAGGTGTCGTATTCCAGCAATGGAAGGGGGTGTTGAAATGCATTAACTGCAAATTTGCATGCTGGAAGTTGATGAATGTATAAGTGTCTGTCTAAATGAGATCACTTTCCGTACCCTTCTCACTTATTTTCCAGATCTCTTTTTCAAGGACTCATAAATGCCAATGCATGGTGACAGTTGATTGTTGTAACACTAGCTAGCTCTCACCAAATCCTAATAAATTCTTGTCCCCATTCCTCTGTTCACATTCAAGATTTCAACTTTCATACTCTCACCTTCCTCCTCCTCCTTTACAGCTTCTGCCATTCCTGCTGCTTTATTAAATTTAAATCCCCTGATTCTGCACCATCATCTTATCCGCCATGGATTGGTTCTTCAAGCTTTGGTTCGCTGCTTTTCTGACTGCAGCCGCTGCCATTGGTACAACTCATGGGCTAACCATTATCTCCGGCACTGTGTTCTGTGATCAGTGTAAAGATGGCAAAGTTTCCCTTTTTGATTATCCAGTATACGGTAAAGGAAGAGTCTTTAGCCTTCTTGATTAGTTTTGTTCTCATTCTTGTTCATGACATGACTCAAGGACAAGTTTTGTGCAGGAATAAAAGTGGCAATGGCATGCCCAGACGGGAACGGGCAAATGACAACACGGGGAGAGGAAAGTACGAATTGGTTAGGAGGTTTCAACATGAGATTTGACAGCACCCAAGATTTGAGCAACTGTTTTGCGCAGGTTTCCGGCAGTAGCCAACCGTCGGCAACCTGCGGGGCAGCCGGCGGTCCACCCAAGCCTCTAAAGCTAATGTTCAGGATGTTTGATATGGAAATGTATGCAGTGGATGCTCTGATTTCTCAGCCTGCTCAGCCTATGTCCTTCTGCCCATCTTCTTCCGTGCCCGCACCAGTCACTCCTTCGCCGCCTGTAACGCCTGCACTGCCGCCATTGCCAAGCTTACCCCCAATGCCTCCATCCCCATTTCTAGAAGCTTCAGCCTGCCCATACCAGTAAGTTAACAAGTTAGCCTATAAATAAATTAGTTTCACTCAGGTGGACGTAGACACATTGCTGAACCACGTAAATCTTGCATTCTTTCTTGACTTTCTGCCATTATTATTGTTTCTTGTTCTTGTTAATCTCAACATGTATATTACAGGAAATGGATAATGCCAGAATACAGATGCTATTGGAAGGTTGTGAGTCCTGATGCAAAAGTGGGGGTTGTTTTCGGGCTGCTGGCGGCCCGGAAATATGGAACAGACATGACACTTTGGGAAGGGATGAAGGGAAGAGGGGAGCCCTACAGGACACTGCTAAGGGAAGGAACAACAGCCCTTCTCAACTCATATACTACCTTACTGTTCCCATTCCACCCTCTGGGAGTCGTCGAACGAATGAATTGGGCATTGATGGGATCTACACAGCAAGTCCTCCACACTGCTCTCAGTTTCATGAGAGCAAACTCTGGAATCTCTCTGCCTACTTCTACCTGCAGATTCACTCCTTGCACCACAAATTCTTGATTTATATAGTACGTGTATTCTACTATACAGTCAATTTCTGGGTTTATGGATGGCTTGTAATGTTGGGTTATACTAATACTCAATATATATTTGTTATGGTTATTGTTGTGTATGGACCAAAATACGCATTTCTGTCAGGTCCTTTTACTGATAATGATATATGGTTAGTATTCCTGTATCATCACCTTTAATTTGTCCGTGATTCATGTTACAATGAAGTACTTATTTCCCTTTTGTTATTAAATGGAGATTAGATGGCAAACAGTTTTTTATAAACTAATGTTCATTACTAATCATAATAATTGTTCACCACAGTCCTTTTCCCTGGGACAGTTGTATCCATGACTATGAGTACTCATTGTCAAAGTTGATTGCAGCAGCAAACATGATGATGGCTCCATCATCTGCTCTAGCCGTTGTACTATGAGTTATTTCAATTTTCCCATTTCAATTCGTCTCGACTAAAAAGTTACATAGATAGCTTGAGGATATTATTATTGAGTACATTGATAAGCGATTTTCATCTAATACTAATAGCTTACTCTCATTGTTTTATATATTACCAAGAAAGCAAAACTGTTTTATATTTAGTTTAGAAAACTTGTGGTGACTAAGTCGGGTAAGTAATAGTAGTAAGAAGCATTCAAATCATTTTTATCTCTATGCAGTTGTCTACAAGACAATTGTCTTGGTAATATGAGCCGCACTATACTTTAATTTGTTCAATTCATAAGTTTGTTGTCATGTCGTTAAGGAATCTCTATTCCTTATATGTTGAACGAATCAAAGTAAGGTAGATGGTCTGACCTTAAAACAAAAAGAAAAATACGACTTTGCCGTCCAATGAAGTTTGGCCTTGTTTTCTGATCTTTAAATATACACAGCAAACTGTTTTGTGCAGTAAATTACATACATAGGAATAAGGATAGATAGTTTCAGAGTTTGAGCCATAGTGATGAGCAGGCAGTTCTTGTTAGTGTTATTAGCTGTAGTGGCAGTAGTGTCGGGGTGGTGGAACAGTTACAGTTGCGATGCATTTAGAATAGAAGAAGCCACCATTGATGAACTCCGGGCTGCTTTCAAGCACAAGCAGCTGAGTTCTAGGCAGCTTGTGGAGTTTTACCTTGAAGAAATTCAAAAATCGAACCCAGTTCTCAAAGGGGTAATAGAAGTGAACCCGGATGCACTTGCGCAGGCTGACAGGGCTGACTATGAGAGGAAGGCAAATAAGCCTTGTTCCAATTCCAGGTTGCATGGTATCCCTATCCTTGTCAAGGACAACATTGGAACAAAGGATAAGCTTAACACCACTGCTGGATCCTTTGCTTTGCTGGGATCAGTGGTGCCTCGCGACGCTGGCGTGGTGATGAAGCTGCGGAAAGCAGGAGCCATTATCCTGGGGAAAGCTAGTTTGAGTGAGTGGTCTAGTTTTCGGTCTGTCAATGCTCCTAGTGGCTGGAGTGCTAGAGGAGGACAAGGAAAGGTGAGTATACTATACTACACTATTTGATTTCTGGATGGTAGATTATGGGTAAAAACACATAATTATTGAGTCCGGTTGAACATATAACCATTAATGTGCAATCTAACTAAACTATCAGCTTAGGCTTTTAGTTGAGATAAAGCACATGCTTCAATTCGCAGTATGAGAGTTTGGCTTCCTTTTGTGCAGAATCCCTATGTTCTCTCTGCGCAACCATGTGGTTCAAGCAGCGGCTCTGCAATTTCAGTGGCTACAAACATGGCGGCAGTGTCGTTAGGGACAGAGACCGATGGTTCTATCCTCTGTCCTTCTAGTTTCAATGCAGTAGTGGGCATTAAGCCAACCGTTGGTCTCACCAGCAGAGCTGGAGTTATCCCAATATCTCCAAGACAGGATACTGTAGGGTACGTAAACATTCTTTCATATCAACATTTACATCAGAATTAACGTTGGTTTTTTGTTTTTTTGTTTTCTGGAAGGCCAATCTGCAGAACTGTATCAGATGCTGCTCATGTTCTTGATGCTATTGTAGGCTTCGACTACAACGATGCGGAAGCAACACGAGCAGCAGAGAAGTTCATCCCCGCAGGTGGCTATACTCAGTTTCTGAAACTCGATGGTCTCAAGGGAAAGAGGATTGGAATAGTTAGGAACCCATTCTTTAACTTCAGCAGCAGTCCAGTCCTAGCTAAGAGTTTTGAATCCCATTTCCAAACCTTAAGGTAATTAATTAATCAGTGATAAACATACAGAAAGTAAAGATTATTTCATTTTACTTTCCTATGATGTTTACCAGGGAACAAGGAGCAGTCTTGATAGACAACGTAGAAATAGCCAACCTTAGTACTATTTTGGATCCCAATTCAAGCGGCGAATCTACAGTACTGCTGGCTGAGTTCAAGATCGCCATCAATGCTTACCTGCAAGCTCTCCTTCATTCTCCCGTTCGATCATTGCCTGATTTGATAGCCTTCAACAACAAGCACTCTGATTTGGTATTTCTAACTAACTTGACATTAGGCTAAGAATGATGTCTGTAATGTTTGAATGACTGTTGTGCGTGCAGGAGAAGATTAAGGAGTTTGGCCAACGGGCATTCCTCTTTGCGGAACAGACGAATGGGATTGGAGATGCAGAAAGGAAAGCTCTAAAGAACATGATGAGATTAACCGAAGAAGGGTTTGTGAAAACGGTGATGGAGAATAAGGTGGATGCATTGGTGACCCCTTCTTCGTTTGTTTCTTCGGTTCTTGCCATCGGCGGTTTCCCCGGAATCAGTGTTCCGGCAGCTTACAACAGCGACGGATTGCCTGTCGGCATCTGTTTTAGTGGATTGAAAGGCTCTGAGCCCACACTCATTGAGATTGGCTATGCATTTGAGCAAGCAACCAAGGCTAGAAAACTTCCTACATTTTTGCCCTCATAGGCAGATCCTTCAACAATACAATACTAATTGTATGAACAAATGGAATTTCTCTATCCAAAAATAATACTCATCTGAAAAAGTCATCGAAATGATCATGTCCAAAATATGATAGTATGAATTATTAAATATTGACAAAATCGATTATATGAGATTGCCACGAAAGACAATAAACTTCTGCCAAAATTAACTCTATAAAACAATTTCATACTTGTCATATCGTGATATTATGAGTTATATATGAATTTACGTACCTAACACTTTTCCTAGCAAAAATATACAAGATTATAATATTGAACATCATTTTCGATCTGTTGATTTGTTCTCTTATCAAATTTCTACTTCAACCTCCAAATGTAAATAAATGAATAATAACATGCAGAAGCAATTGGAAAAAATCAAAAATAGGACAATATTATAGTACATATGGAATATATTAGTATATGTTTCAATTATGAATAAGTTTTATGTGAAATCGTTACACGTAGGATATATATAATATTTTTCTATTGACTTATAAAAAAGTATTGCATTTTAACTTTTTAAAAAAATAAAAATTACACGTCTCACGTGAAATGGTCTTATAGTAGATTTACTCATTTATCATTATGTAAAACCGACCAATAAATAATGTAAATTGCAGAATAAGGTGTTAGTTGGAATATCTAGAACTTGGCCTTACAATATTCTTGTGGTAGGTAAAACTGATTAACTAAAAAATGTTAAAAAGGATTTAGTCAAACTTCCACACAACAAAGATCTAATTAAAAACATAGAAGTTCTCCAAAAAAAAAAAAAATTAAAAACATAGAAGCTAACTACTACAACATAAAAAATTGTAGTTGGACGATGCAGGTATTAGTTATTAGCGTGTTTGATGACTCAACATCCATTATATATATATGCACATTTGTTGAAATAAAATTATATAATACCATATATTAGTTTTATTGAAAGCCTTCTTATTTGTATATATATATAATGGTAAGCCTAGCCTGCCTGTCTTGTTATTAGAGGTGTCTTTTATATTTCTATATACATCGATCCATACACGTAGTACTCTTGGAGATGGAGAGATTAGTTTTGGTTGTCATGTTTTTCCTGGTGGTGATGCCTGGAGGAGGGAATGGGCAGAATCAAGATTCGTGGGTGAAAAGAGTTGATACTGGTAAAGAAGTGGTGACCACAATGCAATTCTACTTCCACGATATACTTAGCGGCTCCAACCCAAGTGCTATCCAGGTTGCTCAGCCGTCAGGGTCCAGAAATTCCGGCACCGGCTTCGGCACCATTATGATGGCGGATGACGCGTTGACGGTGGGACCTGATCCGGCGTCGAAGGTAGTGGGGCGTGCCCGTGGGATTTACGGATCCGCGGGGCAGACTGACCTGGGCCTCATCATGGCCATGAGCTACACCTTCACCGACGGGGATTACGCTGGAAGCTCTTTCAGCCTTCTCAGCATCAACCCGGCGATGAACCCCGTCCGTGAAATGGCTATAGTCGGCGGTACCGGTCTCTTCCGTTTGGCACGCGGATATGCCATCGCCAACACCATTTCCCTTAATGCCAATGGGGATGCTGTTGTGGGCTACAACGTTACTCTTTCTACCTACATTTGATCCAATTCAATATAATATCATCTTTACTTGTTATTAGATTATTATTGTTGTTCTTGAACTTCACTCGTGCGACCATTGAGCTGCTCAGGCAATTTATTAGATTATTCTTCCCAAAGGTTTGCAATTTATTAGATGGATAGACATTATTACTGTTGTCTTAATTTCATTCTCACATTATATTTTAGTTGGCTGCCTAGCTATTTTTATTTTATTTAAAAGACTGATAATTAATTAAGCAGTATTATATTCCAGAGCTTAATTTGTCAATGTTCGTTCCACACAAGAAAAATCATTGAAAACAAAACGCTAACCACTTCATTATATTAAACTTTTTGTCTGGTTGACCAAATATGGATTAGTTAGGATACTCAGATTCAGATAATTAATTGGGGATCATAATATTTTAATTTCGATTTAATGACAATAACGGCTGCAACTAACATTTCCGGTAAAACGATGCACAAAAATTTATATAGTACCAACTTCAAAAATTTTGTTACACATACATGCATTTTGTTAAACCATAACAATGAAGGAATGGTACTAATTTGTGAATAAACAAAAGCCGTTAGAGAGAGATATTAGTGGAACTAGAGAAGTTATTATTCGCAATTCATACATATAAATGTACACCTACTAAAAAGCTTGTATTGTGAGACATACATTATTCTTTGATAGAGAGAGAGAAATGGAGAAAGTAACTTTGGGTTTCATGTTGTTATTGTGGCTGACAGCTATGGCAGAATGTGAAGGTAAGAATAAAGAATCATGGGCCAAGAAAGTTAGTAAAGGAGATCAAGTTGTGACCACTCTGCAATTCTATTTCCATGATAAGCTTAGCGGGTCGAATCCGAGTGCAATTAAGATTGTAGAGCAACCAAAGACTGGCAAATTCAAAACCGGTTTTGGTATGGTTACGATGGCGGACGACTCATTAACGGTTGGGCCTGACCCGAAGTCCAAAGAAGTTGGGCGAGCCCGTAGGCTGTACGGATCGACTGGGAGAAAGATCTGGGCCTCATCATGGCCCTGAGCTACACCTTCACAGAGGGTGAATACAATGGAAGCTCTTTCAGCGTGATGAGCATCAACCAAGCTATGAACCCGGTTCGTGAGCTCGCTGTAGTTGGAGGAACCGGTCTTTTTCGGATGGCACGTGGATATGTCATGGCCAAGACCCATACCTTTGATATGGCTAGTGGGGATGCCATTGTTGCCTACAACGTTACTCTCATTACAACAAACAATTGATTTCAACTTTTTTTTTTTAATAAAATTTTCTCTTAGCTTCAATTCGTTAGAATGTAAATTTGAGTTGAGTGTTCAAAACAGTACAACATATGTAGTTAAGGATCAACATGAATATGAATTTCAAGGGAATCAAAAGAATGAGCAATGGGTTATAGGTAGGCACCAAGACAAAGTCAAAAACAAACAAACTAAAAAATAGAGATTAACGACTGTGATTGATCTTAAAGATCGATGGCCAAGATCCTCGCGCACTAGCCCTAGTAGTTCCATGTTGACCGCGGCGGTCAACATTGTGATAGATTTACGTGAACTTTTGAAGCCGGCAGTGCTCGCCGGAGTTTCCACCTCCGCCGCCGGTTTCAGCCGTCAACATCTACGTAGACAACAGATCATCTCACATGTTGCACTTCTGCAATGCCCTCTCTCCCATCCCAAGCTCGCATTTTCGCAATCAAATCCAGCTCTAGAACCGACAAGAACAACCTCAAGCGCCCTTGCTTGGTCCAGAAACTTGTTGATCTCTGTTCGCAGGGCCACCTCAAACAAGCTGTTGATTCTCTGGGCTTGTTAGCTCGAAAAGGCCTGCGTTTAGACTCCAACACTCTCGCTTTTCTCTTACAACACTGTGCCAGCTCGAAATCCATTAAGCTAGGCAAATGGATTCATCTCCATCTCAAACTCACGGGTTTAAAACATCCAAATACCTTCCTTGCGAACCATTTGATCAATATGTATAGCAAGTGCGGGGATCACGTCGAAGCACGCAAGATATTCGATAAAATGACTACAAAAAATATGTATTCTTGGAACACCATGCTCTCTGGATATGCCAAGCTAGGGATGGCTAAGCCTGCCCGAAGGTTGTTCGAGAAAATGCCTCAGAAGGACATCGTTTCATGGAATATAATGGTCATTGCTTATGCACAGAGTGGGCAAATCTATGAAGCTCTGAGATTCTATAGGGAGTCAAGGGCATCGAATGTTGGGTTCAACGACTACACCCTTGCTGGTGTTATTACAGTTTGTGTTAAGGCAAAGGAGCTGATTCTGACGAGGCAAGTTCATTGCCAGGTATTAGTTGCCGGATTTTTATCAAATTTGGTCCTTTCTAGCTCGATTCTTGGTGCATATGCTATGTGTGAAGAGATGGGAGATGCTAGGAGGTTGTTTGATGCAATGAGAACTAGGGATGTTCTTACTTGGACCACTCTGGTTTCTGGATATGCAAAGTGGGGTGACATGAAATCAGCTAGAGAATTGTTCAACATGATGCCTGAGAAGAACCCTGTGTCCTGGACTGCTTTAATTGCTGGTTATGCACGAAACGCCTGTGGTAATGAGGCTGTTATCTTACTTGCAGAGATGATTAAACATCAAGTTAAACCTAACCAGTTTACTTTTAGTAGTTGCTTATCTGCTTGTGCCAGTATACCATCACTTGTGCTTGGTAAACAAATTCATGCACTTTTGATCGTAACAGGGTTCAGACCTAATACCATTCTATTAAGGTCTCTCATTGAGATGTATTCGAACTGTGGGAATTTTGAAGATGAGAAGAAGGTATTCAATATTTTGGATAGCAAGCAAAATGTGGTGTCATAGCACAACATGGTTATTGGTGAGGATGAAATCTAGATGTTCTAATCCGGTGTAAAACCAGGTAGGATTACTTTCTTGGCAATCTCAATGTGTATAGCGACACAGGGCTTGACTTATTTAAATCTGTCAGTCATGCTTCATGAAATAGTGTTCCTGATGAAGAGCCAGACATTTTGGTGAAGTTATATATCAGATTAGAAAGATGCATTCATTCCAGACCTAATGGTCATTTTTGGAACGCCGTTCCTGATATGTGTAGGACTCACAATAATGTTAAGTAGAATAGCGACTAAACATCTTATTGAGCTGGAGCCTCATGCCCCTGCTACTTATGTGTTTATTGTCGAGTATATACCCTTCCCTTGAAGAGGATTGGACAATGTTTATGATGAATGAGAGAGATGTAAAGAAAGATCCGGCCTGTAGTTGGTTAGCAATTGACAGTAGACTATATGTAATAAGCCAAACCTTTTGTAATGGATACATACAAGGTGAAACCTTTTTTCTTTGTTTTCTGCAGAAACAGATGAGTTTGTCAACTGTATTTTGTTCTGCTATTCTGTCTTCTAATTTGAATAGCTAGCTTTCAGAACTTATGTATTTATTTTTGTGTTTGAACCTTACCATGCTTTGTCAAACTTAAATATGGTTAATGTTGTAGGACAATTTGGGACCTTTGAATGAAAACTAAATTTAATCACAAAATATATGTATGCACTTGTCTCAACAATCTATTATTTCTCGCTACCATTAATTCAGGGTCAGCAAAACCGGGCACGAAACATAAGCCATAACCATGTTGCCAAAGGGAAATTGAGTGTTATGATTAGATAGTTTAAGGAATCTCGTCAGACTAATCACACAGGATAATAAAATACAATACAAGGCTTTAAGAATGCAGATGTCGAAAGCCACAAGACGTGATCTTTTGTGCGTGCACGCAACAAAAGGAGAAGAGGGAGAACAGGATCGGACTTTGTTTTTCTTCTTCTTCTTCTTCTTCCTTCAGTGTTTATTTTTCCTGTTAGGTTGTTCGTGTGATTGAGAGATCAGATCAGATCAGAATGGGTGGCGAGTGGTCTAAACAGGTTGATCGACGAAAAGCAGTCCAGGCACAAAAGAAAGCATTGAAGGAGCTTTTACAGAAAGATGGCGATGGATTCCCGGGTTCAGATTACCGTCCGGCTGATAGGAAAAACTGGATGGGAATTCTGGGGCCGGAAAAAGTTGCAGTGAATAAGATCGTGTGGCCGGGAACCCATGATTCTGCAACTGACAAGATCGGCTTCCCACACATTTCTCGTCCGTTTGCGCAATGTCAAACGTTGTCAATCTACCAACAGCTGGTAATGGGCACCCGCGTTCTTGATATCCGCGTGCAGGAGGATCGAAAGGTCTGCCACGGAATCCTAAGCACCTACAGCTTTGACGTTGTCATCACCGACGTTAAGAGGTTCCTGTCGGAGACGGAATCGGAGATCATAATCTTGGAGGTCCGTACGGAGTTCGGACACAAAGATCCGCCCGGCTTCGACAAGTACCTGGAAGAACAACTAGGAGAGCATCTTATCCAACAAGACAATAATGTGTTCGGAAAGACAATAGCAGAGGTGCTGCCAAACAGAATCATTTGCTTATGGAAGCCGAGGACGGATGCTCATCCCAAGCCCGGAGGGCGGCTGTGGAGCGCCGCATATCTCAAGGACAACTGGATAGACACCGACTTGCCACAAACCAAGTTCAACAGCAACCTCAAGTATTTGAGTCAGCAGCCGCCGCTGAGCTCCCGGAAATTCTTTTACAGGGTGGAGAACACGGTGACGCCGCAGCCGGACAACCCGGTGGTGTTTGTAAAAGCTGTCACAAACAGAATTCGTCCCTACGCTAGGCTGTTCATAAACCACTGTATCTCTCATGCTGTTCTTGATAAGCTGCAGGTATTTTCTACCGATTTTATTGACGAGGATTTTGTGGACGCTTGTGTCGGCCTCACCAATCAAAGAATCAATGGTCATCCATGAGTTTTTTGAATTGGTTTCTTCGAAATACATTTTTGTTAATGTATGAGTAAAAAGCTGCCATCCTCTCTTATCAATCGTTATCAACTCATATTGTATACATTATTATGACATCAAACAAACAAATACAAAATGACTGTTACAACAATGCCTCATAATCTATATATCAACCAATTATTCAAGTTTAGCACAAGTACTAAAGCTGCTATCTTCTAGACTTAGTGCAGCAGTCCTTTCCCTACAAAATGTACTATTTCTTAGAAAACCTTCTAGCCGCACCTGTGTGAGAACAAGAAAAGGAACAGTTAAAAAGTATACAACTTCAGAAAAGGACTAATACTAGAGATCTTCATGAACTCAAATTCTGAATTGGGAAGTACAGAAGCTATTAACCAACAAGGCAACAACTTGTGAATAAAAAAATTAAAAAATAAAAATAAAAAATAGAAAACAGTAAAAACCTGAGCTTGTTGATCTGTCTTTCTTCTGCAATGATCCTCTCACTAAAAGTGTCCCTGGTATCTGCTGAAAGACCTACAAGTACACAATGCATAAGAAAAGAAAACTAACAGAAAGAGCAGAGTCAGTTCAAAAAATTCACAGGGACAATTACCGAAACACGAAAGTGCAGGTTGTTTATTTGACTATTGGAACAATTCAACTCGTTTGGATAGTCAGCATCGTTTACATTCTGTGTCTCAAAATGACACCAGAATGCTCCTTGGGGAACATTATCTGTAAAACAAAACATTGTGATTCAGCTAGGACAATATGATTATACAGCATAAAGAAAAATAATGGAGCATACATCAATATCAAATGAGGCTGCATTTAATTTACAAGATGCACCATTGGTACTGAAAAAGGACTCTACTGATTGCAACAAATTGAAGGCACTGTGCTGGCGTTGAAGTCCCTGAAACAAGAGTTCAAACTGCAATATGAGATCTCATATCTATAGCAGTTACACAAAGAAACATGAAAAAAAGAACCTACCGAACCAACCAAGTAGAGATGCACCAAGTAGCGGGTAAATGAAATTTGCTCCAGTTCCAATATCAAAACCCTTCACACTATTGTCATATGATTGAACTTTAGGTATAATTTCCAATGACAAAAGATCTTCTATACAATGGATGTAATTAGATCTATTAGAAACAGTGGGGCAAAGCTGCCCATCAGGGATCCACCTACAATTTTGCATTTAAAGAACATCAAACTACTCAACTTTCACAATAATAATGCAATAATTTGTGCTAACAACTTAAAATTCAACCCAAGTCATCAAAGTGGCTATTAGAAGAGACAACTTTCAATACTGGCAGCTTAAACATCCATCTAAATAATACTCATCAAATTGTATTTGTGTTCATACAAAAGGCCAAAAGGTGGAAAATTTTCATTTGTTTGATTGGCTGAGCATCGGAGCATATGCATTTTGCAAAGCTATTGACTTTAATTCCTCCAAACATCATTCAAGCAAATTATTCAGGCAAAAAAAAAAAAAAAAAAACAACAATAACAACAGCAGAAAGTTTAATTACCAGTCCAGACGTCGTCTCTACACTGCAATATATACTGGCGCCAAAATAGGGTACACTTGATACGGATTTAATCGGGTTGCAACGACGTCGTCTCTGCACGTTTCAAAAAAAAAAAAAAAAAAAAAACACACACACAATGTGACCTAAGCAATATGAATTTCAGTTATTTGTTAATATACTTGGGCCGATCTACCGCGAAATTCAATAGGCTTAAGACCCAATTCCTAAGGATTAAATACTCCGTACATCATACTGAAGGCCCACTTAAACTTGTTTGGCCCAATTAAAATTTGTTTAGAAAAATGAAGCTTAGTATGCGTTTGCATCAACTTTATTATATTTTTCTTTTCAAGTTAATAATGGCACAAAATATAAATAAAGAAGAGATGCCGCAAACAACGACCTTTAAGTGGGAAAAGGGCTCACAAATTTCCTGAAAAAGTTGCATTTTGTCTCAAAAGTAGTAGAAGAAATAACTCCACTTTTTCCAAATAATGCAAAATTGTTACATTTGATCCGTTGGTAACAAAAAGTAGTAAATTCAAAATGCAATTTAATGAAAATTGTTAGATATAATTACAAAAAAATTAAGTTTAGTCAAATGATCATCACATTGGTTCATCTTTAACAATTATATCTATCTCTAATCCCTTTAATAGATTGTGCTAAGATACTTAAGTCTACTCTCTTCATCGTTGGCAAAATTAAACCCGATGATCTCAGTTACCTTAGAATGTAGGAATTGATCAAAAGTTAACATTAGATAATTTCATTTTGTTTCATCATGTACTCAATGCAAACGAGCGTGTAGTATGATGGTGGAATGAAGGGCAAGTAAAGAAATATGATAATTTAGTCAAAGAACTAATGATGTCGTGCTCTTAATTATTCTCTGCCCTTTTCAGTTTTCAATTGATTACATTGGTGTGCTAATCATTACGCTTCACACCCCAAATCCGCGCACTCACCACATGGACCGTTTTGTCCTTTCCCTTCATACACATTTCTTCCACGCATCCCTTATTAAATCCTTTGCTCAGATCAGATCTACAGCATTCAATGGTTTGCTTGCATCTCTCTAATTCTAACTTACAGAGAGGAATGGCGTTAGGTTGAACTGCATTCATAGCTTTACCAACAATTGCAGATAGCTCAATTGGTTTGACCAATCACCTCTAAATTTCATTCTAATCTAAAAATTGTCAGATAACTAGTGATTTTTATCTTCTCCATGGATTATGAGCAAATATCTCACCCTTTGATTGTGATGGGTTATAGAGTAGGCAATTTCATAGTAACTAAACGTACGTATTGTCAACATGATCCTTGGAATAATTTCTGAGAATGGTGTTATTCACCTAATTTCTCGAGTGTTGCTAACAGTAATAGAAGGCCCAAAATGGAGGCCTGAATCCGTAATGGGTAATGTTGTTTTTACCATGGGGCATGGGGGGGTCAAAACGCCGTTTTCAAGCTGGTCCCATGAATATGATGGCTTTAACCCTAAAATAAAGTGTCCTACATTAGGGTGTTTTGTAGTATTTTTAATACGATTTCTTGTTTTTACGAGGATAATGGCACCCTAAGTTTAACATAACAGCTATCTTCATAACCCCCTCCCTGCCTTTTCACCATTCCAACCTATGCTTCTTGGGACCTGAAGGTAGAGGAAGCAAGGAGACGAAAGAAACTGTAGATTTAGTAACCAAAATAGCCTCTCATGGATCTGCATTCGTCTCCATCCTCTTCCCCACTTGGCATTCTCAGCTTCACTCTCACTCTGCTCCTACTTTCTAGAGGTAAAAACGCCATCTTTTTGGTTGGTTCTCGAGCTTTTTGTTGTTTTATGTAGACATGTGAGCTTACCATGTAGTCTCAACACTGTGGTTTCTTGTTTTTATGTTGCATTTATCAAGTTTTAGATGCTAAAGCTGAGGTTTTTGATGTTCTTGATTTTCAGGTGGTTTAGGGGCTACATTTACCTTTGTGAACAAATGTGGAAGTACGGTATGGCCTGGGATTTTAGCAAATGCCGGGAGCCCCAGCCTAGAAAGCACTGGGTTTGAGCTATCAAAGGGGTCTTCACGCACAATAATGGCACCCACTGGGTGGTCCGGCAGGTTCTGGGGCCGGACAGGATGCAAATTTGATGACTCCGGCTCTGGTTCTTGCGGAACAGGGGACTGTGCGTCGGGTCAGGTGGAATGCAACGGTGCCGGAGCTGCACCGCCGGCCACTCTGGCAGAGATCACACTTGGCACCGGCGGGCAAGACTTCTACGATGTCAGCCTGGTAGACGGCTACAACATGCCGTTGGTCATAGAAGCTTCCGGCGGGTCGGGTATGTGCGCCACCACGGGCTGCGTCACGGATCTGAACCAAATCTGCCCATCCGAGCTGAAAATGGGCGACGGCGAGGGGTGCCGGAGCGCGTGCGAGGCATTCTCGAAGCCGGAGTACTGCTGCAGCGGCGCGTACAGCACACCCACCACCTGCAAACCGTCGGTGTACTCCCAAATGTTCAAGTCTGCCTGCCCCAGGTCCTACAGCTACGCCTATGATGATCCCACCAGTACTTTCACGTGCAGCGGCGCAGATTATACGGTGACGTTTTGTCCTTCCCTCCCAAGGTAAAAAATAAATAAAACTCATGATTTATTTATCAAATTTTTTTTATTTTAGCATATACAGTAATATGGAATGGGGAACCACATGAGCTAATGACATGATGTTTTTGACCCATACACAGTCAAAAATCATCAAAAGACACAACAACACAAGTGACGCCGACAACCGGAAGTGGTGGGTCCATGAGCGGGTCCGGGTCCGGGTCTGGAATCATGGACCCGGAAACAGAGCCAGGGACAATGGTGGCCGGGACAGGTATGGGGATAGAGTATGATGGGTCAGGAATGGATGGACAAACAGGAACTAGTTACACCGCCACAACTACAACCACAGCTGGATCCGGGTCGGGTTCCGAGGCCATGTTGGCTGATGGGTCATATTTAGCTGGTTTAGCCATGGGTGACTCAACTAGGGTTTTGGCTACCAACACATTATTATTGTATTACTATTATGGTGCCATTGCATTTGCATTGTTGTTTATCCAATGGTAATATGAAGTTTTGCAGACTTCAGTTGTAGCAGTATGTATGAAGATCTGGGTTGATATTCCTGTATCAGTACTTTGCTATTTCTTCTTTAATTGTGTATATGTAATGGCAGCAATGCATTTTCTCTTGGTTTCTCAGTATTTTGTGAATGTCAAGCTTGCTCCTCAAAAAAAAAAAAAAAGCTTTCTTTGTTAAAGACGACAGACAGACTAGAGATTTAGTGGGTTGGCAACATCTTTAGAAAACATTTGGGCTGCCTTTGCGGAAATTGCAAGCATGCTTTTAATATTAATGTTGTCTGGTGCGGTGGGTCGGATAATGCGAGAAATTAAAGAAAGATTTCCTATGTTTTTTCTTTGTGTCATCTTTTTTTGTTTTTGTCAATTCTGTAATGATATATACAAATGCCTGGTTTCATCGGCCCGGCAGAGTGAGAATGTAGAATTGGCAGTTGTGTTCCCATAATTGACAGTGAGCTTATATTCACCTAGAAACCCATAAAAGCTGAAACTTCCATGAGTATCTATTTGGCCCTCCATTTTTTCAGTTTGCCATTCTTTCAAGAGTTCATCCACTACGTCTCCGGCAGGGAGGTTTCGGAAATCTTGATCCGTTAGGCACATCCGGTAACATCCATAAGGATGTAGGGCAGTCCAGAGCAAGATCCCATTGATGGCGGGATGAGAAAATCCTTCTCTCAACACTAGTTCTAAATACTTAGCCTGCATCAAAGAAAGGAATGTTAGATACTGTTATAAACTAACATAAACTTGAATCACGAGGAACCTGACCTGAGTTTGTTCATCCAGGGTTTTACTGATATCAACTTCTGTAAGCCAAATAGGGATGTTTAGAGTTGCCAGTTTGTCTAATGCAGCTCTAATGAGGGGAGGGTTTGGTACAGTGAAGTGGCCTTCAAGTCCAATTCCGGCCATGGTGACTCCACCTTGTTGGAGCTCACTTAGTTTCGCGATATAAGCCTCGACTGATGAGTTCATGTCATGACAACTTTCAACAACATTATAGTCATTGACGAATAGTTTGGCAAGAGGGTCTGCTCCCTGCACTGTCTGGAAGAATTCCAGGCTGGCGTTGGGGCCGAGTCTCTCCTCGTAGAAATTGTAGTGAAGCATTTCATTGTCGACGTCCCAATGGATGAATTCATTCTTGAAGTTGTCCATCAGAGTCTGTATCCTAGACTGGACTGCTGCAGATAGTTCAGGGTCTGTTAAATTGAGAACCCATGAAGGAACAAAGATTGGGTTTTCCCAGAAGATGTTATGTCCCCTGGCAGAAATTTGATTTGCTCTCACAAAATCCATCATTTTTTCTGGTATTGTGTAGTTGATCTTCCCTGGCTGAGGCTCTGTGGAGTACCACTTGAGTTCATCTTCAAACACTGCAGTATTGAACCTCTTGATAAACCATTGCTGACATTTAAAGAAAACCATCAAATCTTGTTCTTGTTGAGAGTAAAACAAAGGTTTTGTAGGAGTAAAACCTGGTAAGGCAAATTACCCAGAATTGTCTTTGTTATAGCTGATCCAAATGGAAAGTCCCTGGAAATTTGCTCTAAAACAATGGATACTCCTTGCAGCTTCTTTCCCTTTGAATCTGATACATGTATCATCACAGCGCGCTTCCTTTCCTACATGCAATAAACCAGATCAGATCAAACGAAACAAACTAGATTTAGGATTTCTTGTTTACAAACAAGAAGACGTTTACACTGTTGATTATGTATTGCTGATTTGTTCTCCATTGGTCTCTAGTGAATGGTTGCAATGAAGCACTAGAAACAGAAATGTTCATATCCCTGCCATCTGAATTCTGTATCAGAACAGCAAAGATCAGATTTTTAGTCCGCTATAGTTCCTTCTGAGTGCAATAATCTTTTTAGCAGATGGAGCAGAAATCAATGATTTACTTGGAAGTATAGGAGAGTGTACGATGAAGGTGAGTCGAGCTCAAATCCCCCTTTAAGAAATGACCAACATCCGCGTTTTAACAGACAAAAGAACAAGAAACATGTCATCCTTCCCAGAATCAGCCAACTGTAACAGAGAATCTGTCAACCTTTTAAAAGAGACCTAGCTAGAATGCTTATACTGTGACAGTGATCAATCACATAACAACTATATATACAACGTTTACGTGAATATAATGTAAATACGTTTGAACATTCACTTGGAATGTTAGTTGGTGGAATTGTTCCTTTCACATAATATAAAGCCAAGAAATGAGTCTATTTTGAACACTGGGTTGGTTGTCTTGCAACTCTCAGCAAACAAAAAGTTACATTCATATATAGGACATAGCAGCAGCGTCAGGTCTTGTTTGGCAAATTAAATGTCTATGGAATCTTCTGCTTCCTAGCTAGCTTTCACGATTCCTGGCTAAATGAATCTTGGAATATAGATTCCTGGTTCTGACAGAGAGTAGGACATCTAACCCAAACCCGACAAAACATGCGACAGCCATGACTATAAACACGAGCCGGTAGCAATGTGCGCCTATACATGTGTTGCCACCGCCTGCTGTCTTCATAGCCTGGGAATCATACAAGAATCCAGCAAGCAAACCAGAGAAGAGGAAGGATCCGAGGGGGAGGTTAAGGATTAGGATGTTGTAGATGAGGCCGTAGTGTTTGAGACCGAAGAGTTCGGAGGCGGTCGGAACTGTGACGGCAAGACGAATCCCATAGCAAAACCCAACTGCTATAGAGCCAACGTACAGTGAGCCCGGCATCGCCATAGCCATCAGGAAGTATCCAACTGCCATTAGAATCTGTGAGGCTGCATTCCAGACAGGCCGTGGGATTCCACCTCTCCTGCAAATGAAATTAAATGCTTTGTTTCTTACCATTGATCAAACTCGATCAGTTTAATTCAAAATTAAAGGATTATTAAACTTAATTACTTGATGAAGTATTCAGAGAGGGAACCGGAAAGGATGCGGCCAAAGAAGCCCCAAATGCTGGTGAGTGAGACGAAGATGGAGACGTCTGCGTATCCAAGAGCCAAACCAACCTGCCCCATATTGTTCATCACGGTTAAACCCGTCCCCACTCCGCAAAGAAACGATATAAACAAGATCCAAAAATCAGCACTCGCCATTGCTTCGAAAATATCGTGGTCTTCTCCGATCACCGGCGGTTTCTTCTCCACTGCCGTGTCATTTTCCTCCATAGTTTCTTGGGTTAGTAGCGGCTCGGTGGGATTGCTTTCAAAATCAGAACTTGTTGTCGGATTGGCCGGAATACGATTCACGATCATGAGGTAAACTGGGATTGATAAAGGAGAAGCCAAGAGAATCAAAAGAATCGCAGCAAAGACTTGCGAAAACACACGGCCGTGCCTCCCGGTTAAATCAAACGCTAAGAGGTAAACGGCGATTACTACGGCAACGACGTTGATTACCCAAAAGTATTTGGCTTCGGCTATTTCTACGGTGGGAGTAGACGCCGGCAGAACCTCTCGGAGGAAAACAATGGCAACAAGGCAAACCACGAAAGGGATGACGGCAAGCATGAGCAAGAATTTGGCGGGATCATTGGCGAACAGAGCCGAGCAGAGGTCGGTGAAGATAGCGGTGCTTAATCCCACGTAGCCTTTCAAGATTCCGGAGACCGGGCCTCTGCTCCTTCTGAAATTGCGGATGCATGTGACGAGAACGGCGGTGTTCATCCACGTAGTGCTGTTGCCGCCCATACAGAGGAATATGCACATGGCCCAGTAAGGGAGCGGCTGAACACGGCGGCTGACGACGAGCCACTGGACGCCGTAGCCGATAAACCCCTCGACGGAGCCAATAAGGAGGATAACAGGAGTGGGTAAGCGGTCGGAGGCGAGGCCAGCGAGGAGACCGAAGGCCTTGCCTACATCTTTAGCGACAGAGAGGTTGTTGAGCTGGAGTTGAGTAAGGGCCATTAGGTTTTTGAGGGCGTCGGAGTAGTTGGAGAAGGTGTAGTTGTTGCCGGAGATGGCTTGGACCCAGACTGCAGTCACAAAGCCCATCCATTTCCCCGCCGGCGAAACAGAACAGACCTGAAAAGCCATTGAATCTGCACGAAGACGACGGAGAGGAAATTTTGGAATTGAAGAAGATGATGAATTTGAAGAAATGAACTCAAGTTCCTTCCATTCCTTTTATATTTTGAAGATTCATGAACAAGGAAGAAGCTAAGCTTCGATTTTCTTTCTGAATTTAGAGTAGTTGTTATATCTTTTTTTGTATCGAAGGAAAAAAGTACTGTAAAGTTTCCTAATCCATGACGTGAAACATCTTTAACGGAAAGCTCTACAGTCTACACGTAGAATGAAGTGATATTCGTGGCTAATTCGCCCATACCCATGAGGACCATGACGTATGTATCTTGGTCGGAGATATTAGTCAATCCAGTTTATATTGGGTTAATGATTGGCTAGGCCGTCCAACAAGTCATTGGGCCGACTGATAAGTTTCTTGGGCTTAGTATGATAAATTATTCTCACTAATCACAACAACTTCAGTATGATATGTACTGGGGTTTTTTGGGTAACGTGAAAATCTCGCAGTTATTTTCGAATATTTGATGATGTGTATTATGTAAATTATGTTTCTATGCACTTTTTTTTTTTTGGTATGTAGTAGTTATGTGCATTTGAATTTGCAAACAACTTTTGTTTTTGTGTATTTTTTTGGGCAAAAAAACATACAAAGATAAACGGTACTAAAAAGCAAAAAGACCATGTTATGAGTTTGTTTGTAAGTCGTCTGTTGATTCCTTAATGGAGTAGTAGTTTGTGCACAATATAACATAATGCGCAACGTAACAGTTGAGTTCATATATATGTCTGCGTGGATGATCAATGATCATACTTGATATTAAAGTTGAATCCTAAAATGTCGGGTCTCTTCACCGCGGTTAAGCGAGAAAGTTGAAGTGGCAGTCCTGTTACCGTACTCCACGCTTACTTTGTATTCACCTAGGAATCCCATGAAACTGTAAGAACCATGTTCGTCTGTTCCTCCTTCCAAGGTTTGGGTTTGCCATTCCTTTAGCAGATTGTCCACAACATCTCCAGCTGGCAGATTATTCAAGTTATTATCAGTAAGGCACATTTGGAAGCATCCTTTTGGGCTTATGGCTGTCCACAGCATTATCCCACTCACTGCAGGATGTGAAAAAACTTCTCTCAGAACTGTTTCCAGATAGATTGCCTGTGTTTCTTGGCCGTATTTCTTGTTAATGTCGATTTCTGTGAGCCAAATGGGAAGTCTCAGTGTGGCCAGTTTATCAAGAATTGCTCTTATCAGAGGAGGGTTGGGAGCTGAGAAATGACCCTCCAGCCCAATCCCATCCATTGATATTCCGCCTTGTTTCAGTTCCTTCATCTTAGAGATGTATGTGTCCACAGTGGACTTGGGATCAGAACATGTTTCCACCACATTGAAGTCATTCATGAACAAGGTTGCGAGTGGGTCTGCTTCGTGTGCTGTCTTGAAGAATTCTAAGGTGGCGTCGGGTCCCAGCCGCTGCTCGTACAGATCGAAATGCAGCATTTCGTTGCTGACATCCCAGTGGATAAACTCACCTCTGTATCTGCTCATAAGGCTTTGGATTCTTGACTGGACTGCTGATTTCAGCTCTGGACCTGTGAGGTTCAGAACCCATTTTGGTGTGTACTTCGGATCCTCCCAGAAAATGTTGTGGCCTCTCACCATAATCTGGTTTTCTCTAACAAAGTTCAGCATCTGATCTGCTAAGGTGTAATTCAACTTTCCCGGATCAGGTTCTGTTGTGTACCACTTCAGCTCATTCTCAAACACTGCTGTGTTAAACCGCTTACTGAACCAGTCCTGAAACAGGAAGCTAGACAACATTAATTTGGTTAACATTCTACATAGTATCAGAGGTTGAATACACAACACAAATGGCAGGCATCATTCTTAATTAATTGGACAACCTGATAGGGCAAATTTCCAATGATATACTTGGCTATTGCAGATCCGAACGGGAAATCTCTCGAAATCTGCTCAATTGTTACCGCTGCATCCTGTAGCCTAACACCTTGTTTGTCTGATACATGGATAGTTACTGCGCGCTTTCTTTCCTGAACCAACACCAAATTAAATTAAAGATGGTAATTAATTTGGATGGCTAGCTGCTGTGAATATTTGACTTACCATGTTGATTTTGGTTTGTTGATTTGAACTCCATTCCTGCTGAGTAAATGGCTGCAAAGAAGCACTTGCTATCTCTATATTGATTTCTGCTGTGCCTGAATTCTGTTCAAGAAATGATAAACATAAGTGTGTCGTCAGAATATGATGATGTGTACAGTACAAGGGGTGAGATGTGGTCCAAGTTTTTTGGTTACGACATGACATCTGATATCACACCAGATCGACTAATTCAGATTTGGACCAAGACACGTATTTTAAATATATAGGACATATATATGTTACTATCACATATTTAGTCTTATTATTATTCTAACTTGATTGTGTACCTGAAAGTACAGTAGAGATAAGTTTGATGGTGAAGTCAAAACAAATCCACCCTTGATAAAAGACCAGCAACCTTGCTTAGCAACAACAGTCCCTACACAATCTGGTTCCCCCTTTTCAGTCATGAGGCTAGCCGTTAAGAGAGCAGAATCTGCATTTTCTATTCTGACCCAACCTGCCAAAACCCAAATTACATCAATCATACATCTTTTCATTAAGCTAAGGTTACTATGAAAGATTGAATCTTGAACAAAGAATGGTTAAACAGTTAGTTATTAGGTAATTAGGGATAGAACTCAACTGGAAAAACAATAAATTGTGCCCGCGGTTAGGTCTTGCAGCAGAAATGTTGGCGTATAAACTCCCTTTCCATTCAGCCCTATCACCTGTCGGGATTCTGGGACTTTACCCCCTAGTATTCCTCCACTGTATAATGCCTCCTCTGGATGCTGTTTGCACTGCACAGTTCACACCACAATCAATGCTCATTACCATAAAACAAAGATTTTGACCTTGTAAATGTCTGTTGTCAAACATTAATAT